GCAAATTTTATCTTATTTCAACATGATATTTGAATATGTAATTCAGATTGAGCATTGAGAAAAAAATCAATGATGATAAGGGTTGGAAGGTGACGCGAGTTGAAATTCATGATTATATTCACTATGGCTTTATGCGCTTTGAAAAGCAATGATCTCGAATTTCGAGGTAGAAAAGGACAATTGCGTTCTCAACTTTGTATGGTAACCAACTATTTTCATCATGACCAATAGAATTATACACTTTTTATTCGATTCTAACCGTACCACTACCCTCACTTCCCTTGTCAGAATTCCAATAGGACGAACTCAAATCGAATGTGAACATTTTTCGTCATTTCTAACGAAATCTATATCATCTGTTAACTATGCAATAATCCGGCTTCTAGTTATTCCCAGCTCCGTCAGTATAACTTCGTCTTTTTATCTGTCCAAAAGGACTAGTTGTTGTCATAATTGAACGATTATCTTTAACTTTAAATTAATTTCCCAGCGTAGCATCTAGCATTACTCCGTTGACTTGCTTGAATCCGTTTGAAGGTTTCAGATTCATGCTCAACTTTTTGTCCAAAGTTTTTATTGTAATTAAAATCAAGCGACAAGGAAAACTTAGATGGACAATAACTGATATTACCAGCGGTTCCATATTTTCACAATTTTGCAGCACTAAATGGTTATAGCCTTTGCATTAAAGGAAAATAAAAAATTAGATTTCCTTGCTTTCTGTTGCGCTTGGGTTAATTCCCATCTCACATTTCATTGTTTTACCGATCCCAAGTACTTGAGTTTTGATACATAATATGATGAAAAGCTGATTAATATCTATAACAATGATGAAGAATTGATCATTATCCATTTTGGCAACTCTTTAAAAGATAATCAACTAAATTAGATCAACAAAAGATCGAAAATCATCCAAGATAATCTTTCTATTCATTTTCCCGGTCTTGATCAAGGTTGATTAGGCTTTGATTATGGCTGACAATTGTTTCATCAGAAAGACCTTTCAATAATCCAGGATTTCCCAAGCATCATGGAATAGTTTTAAAAGATATTAACTCGCGTGTTTCATATCTAATCTGAATAAAAAATTTACTCAACTGTTGTATTCAATCAAGTTCCAGGTTCAAAACTATTAGCCTTTACCTTAGCGCTGACAGAAAAGATTGAAAACTCGATAAAAGATTGTCTATTGTGTTGGAAGTGACATTTTACGGATTTAAAGTCATTTCAACACTAGTCTCTACTCATTTAAAGAAAATCAAAGTTCATTTCTTTCATGTTTTTTTCCTTCTTCAGAATCAAGTGACATGAACAGTTTTGCCAATAATGTTCGGGTTCAATATTTGGAAATATTTTTGTCTTGCTATCGGTTATTGATGATTATTAATAAATGTGCAAACTCAACCGGAATTTTAAGTGATTGTTTTCAAGCAACAAAATCAATCAATAACAAATGTCATAGCAAAAAATCGATTGGAAACAAATTCATGCAACACACTGAGTTGATACTTTTTGATGACTTTACTTGATTTCATCTTAAAACAGAAACAGTTTGAGTAAAGCTATTAAACAAGTTACAGTTTTACTTGAATTGACTGAATCCCAGTTATCTTTCAGTTATTTTACATTATTATTGTAACGAGAAATCGATGAAATTTGAAATAATTGAATCTCTATTGACGAGTGATTCAAGTTGAACCAGTCATTTGTAAACGATTCATGAAGAGACAGTTTAAATTGTTTAAGTCTTTAATCTAATGACTTTACCAACATCTTGAGCTGAGAAAATTGTTCAATTCAATTGTCAGATGATGGTTACTATTAAAAGCAAATTAATATTACAATGATAATTTCCTGTTCATTTAATGTAAAAAAACTGGAAATGTTCAGCAATTGTAATTTTCCAGTTAATAGGATTGAATAAATTGAGCAAGCTTACAAATTATTAACTCTTGAATCGTTTAAAAATGAAATTTTCATCAAATTACTTTTCATATTTTCTATGTTGAATTTATGTTTTTTCTTATTATTGTTCAGTGATAATGTTAATATTGTTGGTTTGGAAAACATATCTTTAAATTGTGAATCAAATCAAACACCTGATGTGATACCATTCAAAGAACCAGGTACATTAACATATTAATAAGTGTCTTTTCACTTGAAACTAAATCTTTTGTTTCATCTATGCTTTTGATTAGATTTGGATGATATCAATGAAAGTTTCAAGACTGGTGCCATTGTTATACCTGAAGCCTTTTTAACTGGAGCTTACATTCAATTTCATGGTGAAATAATTGACAACTCACCAATTATGAAAGCTGGTGAAAATATTGCTGTAAGTGATTTAGAGATTTCCCTTTGAAAACAAATGAAAATCAAATCTTTTTCTCATTATTTATCCACAGATGATTACCAATTGTGCCCAAGAAAGCTATCGATCAACGCCTGTGTGATTGGGATATTAGATGATTAACAGTGATAAATGAGGACCAATTTTTTGTGTTTAAAATCTTTACATAATTTATTACAAAATTATAAAAACAAACCATCCAATTTGTTGTAACAATTGATATTTTTACACATTTTATAAATCTATTAAAGAGGATAAATTTTTACTAATGAAACGGCTTATTTACACGACATGATGATATCCATGACCAATAATGCGTCGACGGCAGGCTTGGTAGAGAGAAGAGGAAAATTTGCTGAAATTGTCAGCTATTTGGGCTTGGGATTCACTGAGGATATTGGCAAATATATACATTTTAGACAGCAAATATGGATTTTCACCTAAATTCAAGCAATCAGAATGAAATTTTGTCACCATCTGACTGTACAATTGATGATCAGTTATCTTCACTGCTTGGTTGTTTTGGATTATGGATTGTGGATCACTGCAATAACCGACAGCACACATGTCACTGGTCAATCGATAGAAGGCTCTGTCAATGGAGTTTCGGGCGTTTTTTAGTTCATTGAAAGGTTCATCATTATGTGTGTCCAACGATTCAAGTCCTGCCATTTCGAATGGTACAGCAAAATTGGCCAATTGGTCTTCAATTACAGTAGGATTTTCTGTTTTCACACTCTTTTCGAGACCCATAAATTGTCCAGCACGCAAATCATCAAATATTTTTGAGCCAAACTTGTTTGGGTTTATTGGGGTTTGAGGTAATGCCTCATCAAGTGCTTGAATAATGGAGTCGAATTGTTGATCCAATGTTTCGTCCATAAGGCTTTCCTTGGATCCAGTATTAGCTAACCAGGCAACTGAATATGAAGTACCAAGGCAAGTGTATGGAAACTCTGGTTTATTACAAAAACAAGCGTAGTTTTGCTGGTCAGTTGAAGTCGATGTAACGCTGAAAATATTAACATTGTCTGGTAGGACAGAGTCAAACATGGAGGCTGAATGGTCTGTATCAAGTATAATCATCATTTGTCCATATTTCGAGTCATTGTTCAAACCAGTCAAAGCTTGATTTAACGAGGCAGAGGTTAATACATCACTTGGAAATCCGATTAAACCACTTGCTCCATACGAAGAAATGTAAATTAATACTGAATCATTTGGACTCGAGTTTAACACTTTGTGAGTTGAATTGGTTGAGTTGCCTCTCAAAATCTTTAAGAAATTAGTGGCTGATACTTGTGCACCAGAATAGTCAATTTGAAGATCCGAGTAAACATCGGGACCATCCGGTGAATTGAATAATTTGCCTTTAAATGGATTCTTTTCATGATTAACAACATCGTTGACCATCATTACGATAATGTTTTCCCGGTTAACTCCATGGTTGACTAAAACTTGATAACCATGGGCAATATTGGCTTGATGTCGATAATTGGTCCATCCAGAAGTACCAGCAACTAAAATGGCATGAATTGAAGCCGATTCACTACGAGATGATAAACCAATTAAAGGATTGCAATAAATTAAATGAAACAATGTTAAACAAATAAGCCAAATACAAAATAACTGTTTGTCAAGGAAGGCCATCTTGATTTAGTTTGATGAACTAAAATCTTTTTTGACTCTTTATACCAAATTTAGTTGAAAGGTTGAACCAAATTATCTTTTAATCGATTGTTTGAATCATTGATATAAAAAATTGATTGTGATTAAATTCGAAGGTGGCCTACCTTGTGTTTTCTGGTTAGGTTCTAGGTTAATTCCCATCTTAGATCTCATTGTTTTACTGATCCCAAGTACTTGAGTTTTGATACATAATATGATGAAAAGCTGATTAATATCGATAACAATGATGAAGAATTGATCATTATCCATTTTGGCAACTCTTTAAAAGATAATCAACTAAATTAGATCAACAAAAGATCGAAAATCATCCGAGTTAATCTTTCTATTCATTTTCCCGGTCCTTATCAAGGTTGGTTAGGCTTTGATTGCAGCTGACAATTGTTTCATCATAAAGATCTTCCAATAACCCAGGATCTCCCCAAGCATCATGGAATAGTTTTTAAAGATATTAACTCACGTGTTTCATATCTAATCTGAATAAACAGTTAACTCAACTGCTGTATTCAATGAAGTTCCAGGTTCAAAACTATTAGCCTTCACCTTAGAGCTAAAAGAAAAAGATTGAAAACTCGATAAAAGATCGTCTGATCTGTTGAAAGGTGACATTTCACGGATTTAAGACATTTTAACATTGAAAAAATTACTGTTATTGTTGTGACACAATTGTGATATCTATCATGAGATTCAAGTTTTGAATCTCGTTGCACTTAAAAAGTTAACATGAAATGAATCAGCTGGCAAAAGTCAACACATTATTGCAACAATAGTTAGCGGTAAATTCAAAATCAAAACTACTGACATGAAATGCAACCAAATAAATAAATAGCTGATCAACTTCACCAACACGGATAGTTTTGAAGTTAAATTTCAAATCCCATCATAATATATTGAGATAATCTATAGTTGATTGTAATTTTTAATACTCTTCAATTAGCCTGTGCTAAATACTTATACAGCTTGCTTTACAATAAATTGAATTTACAGCTTAATTATCCTTGATTCAGTGTTTTTCGTATCAATTTTGCTTTTATCAATCGTTTAAATTGTTGTTTCACTATTCACAATTAAGTGTTTACTTGGTAAATTAAAATCCTTTCAATATTTCATTTAAACCCGCATTCATTTTCAAGTTGACCAAATGTATTGCCAGTCTCATCTCTCAATATAAACATGAGTAATGTTATTTACTTCATTATCGAGTGATTATCATTAAAATTATCGTTTACTTGAACTTGAAAATGTAATGCTTCGCAGTTAGCTTATTTACAATAGAGACTGCTCATCATTTTACCCTGAACATCATCTTGTTTTTCCTCTTACTCAGAATCTTCCACTTTCATAACATCCTTTTTCTTCTTTCTCTCTGTCTTTCTCGTTCTATTGAAGCGTATTTTTACCTTCTTCCTCGATACACACAGACAAACATATTAATAATATAACGTTAAAAATTATTTCCAGTTATGAAACTCCTAATGTTGAAATGAGTTCACCAAAGTATAGAGAAATAATTTCAACAAATTTTCTCCTGTATACATCTGTATCTGGTTTGTAACTGTTCATCGTAAATATTCACCTTTCCCTTGACAAGGGTAAAGCCGAGTTGATACTGTTCTTTGGGTTTTTCTGGTTGCTTCAAGTGTTGCCGGGTAAATAACAGTAATCTTTTAAAGATATCATTTGTTTTCTTCTTTCACCCTGAATCTTCATAACAGCATTTGTTAATAAACAACTCTCTAAAAGTGCTCAACCAACTCAATTTTGGATCTAACTGCTGCTTTCGTCTTAACCAATCCGTCAGATGTTTTAGTGAAAACTATATATAGGAATCCAAGCTTGGTTCGTCGTTGAATTTGGACTGTTGTTGCCCAGTAATCATATGATTATCCCTAGGAGTTTATCCAGTGGTAATTCAAAAGATCAAACAAATAAAAATAGTGTGATTGACCTTCATTATCCTCAGCATCTGTATAACCATCAACACCAAAAACAATCGCAGTCATCTCAATCGTTGAATCCATCGATCAGCAAATTAAATTATTTGAAAAATAAAAAGCCAATCAGATCGACATCCCTGTTAACCGGAACACCAATGATTGACGAAACAGAAGATCTTTTACTATCATATGGAGCTGACCCATCGTCACCTTCACCGCCACCACATCCACCTCCTCCTTTACCACCACCACCACCACCAGCCTGTTCATCCTCTAACACTTCATTATCCCTAAGCAGAGGTGTTAACCTTTCCCTATCCTCGACAACAGCAGGTGGGGTTACAGCTTTAAGCACAGCTACCACAACTTCAGTGATAACTGGTAAACGTACCAATAAACGTAAAGTGGCTCTGGTAAAAAGTGAAACGGACTCTTGTGAGACATTGTTAGCGTGCCTTGTTTGTGGTAAAAATTTTGTCTCTTTCGGTAGATTGAAATCTCATGAGAAAACTCATTCCAAATCAAGACCCTTCAAGTGTATTGATTGTGGTAAAACATTTACTGTTCGTTATTCGTTAATTTGTCATACTCGGGTTCATACTCGAGAACGACCTTATGGCTGCTCATTTTGTGGATCAAGATTCTCTCAGGCTTCTTCTCTGAAAACTCATCAAATATATAAGCACACCAAAGAGTTTCCTTACCTTTGTAAATATTGTGGACGTGGTTTCATCTCTCCTGGCCAAAGACATGAACATATTCAAAGGACACATCTCAAATCATTTTCATCTCTTTCATCACTCTCTTCAAACACTTCACCTTCATCTTCCTCATCTTCGTCCTCTTCCTCTTCGTCATCCTCATCCCATGTTGATAGTCACTTAAAATTTAAATGTCGTCCAACAGAACCTCCAGTGATTCGGCCAAGTGTCCCCAAGATGACAACAACGTCTGTTCAAACTGACATACGGCTTCCACCGGGTTTAATTTATTGATTAACATCTTGTTACATTGATTTAATGGTGAATCTAACCATTTATTATCAACCAAAAACGCTGCAGTGCAAAACATTAACCGCAATCCAATCATATTAATATCAAGTTTCTTAACTAAATTAACTGGATTGTTTCTAGACAGGGTTTTCTCTAACAATATTAACTATTAAATGTGTAAATTGGTTACATCTGTCTAAAAATCAGTAGACGATCAGTTGAAATCGAGGTTCATACTGATTCACCTCGTTTTCCCTCTCACATTAGACATGTAATCATTGTTTGCAAATGATAAATTAAAATTGATTTAAAACACTTATTGAGTTTTTTCATTACAGTATTTGGTTCGCTAACTGGACCTTCTCCCATTCTGTTGATTGCTTGTACTTTGAACAGATATTTTTCGTAATTCATATAATTATTTTTCTCAACATACCTCCTTGAACCATTGCTAATAAGCATCAGCCTGTGACTGCCTGAGTTAAACCATTTTTCAAGAACAGGGTCGATGTCCTTCAATACCTCAACGATGAGATAATGTTCACTAATACTCCCCCTGAAGGAGAAAGGGCTGAAAGGCTGAAAGGGAATCACTAGAATGAACTGATTGTTTAAAATGTAAATTTAATTATTTCCCCCTGTATTTCAAATAGATTTCAGCACTCCGAAAAAGCCAAAAACTCAAAGAAATACTGTAGTTCTGAACAAAATATATTGTGATTTGTTCCAAAAATAATACTTGATTGTATTTAAACATGTAATATAAAGGTGGTTTAAGAAATTTAAGCATCACATAAGTTTGACATGATAATGTAAATCTATAGAGGAATCAATTGAAGTAAAAATATGAGTACTTCTTACAACCCATAGTCAGTAATTAAAACTATAAATATAATACTTAAGATAATTTAAGTAAATTACAGATAATTCAGAATTTGAAAAACATATTGCAGATATGATTGAATGTCGAGAGTATATAGATTGCGGCTCCATAGTCACCCTATTTTCATGATTAATTGATTCAGGATAGTCTTGATTAAGTGCTTAAAATTAGTGGTGGCCTGGACAACGAAGTTTGGAAATTTTTACATTGCTCAATATTGAGCTAACACGTGAATAGAATGTATTCCTTCCATGATTAGCTTGGATTAGAGCATGATAATCTCAAGAGAGTTGAAGAGTTTTTTTTATATTATTTTAAGTAAAAGATCAGCAAGCAACGGTACAAGGTGGAACCCAACCTCCAAAAGTCTTTTCAATCTCATGCGCTACAGCAATGGTGTAATGATCATTATATGGATTAGCGACAACTTGTAAACCCAAAGGAAGACCTTCCGAGTTTAGTCCCATTGGACAAGCTGTAGATGGAACACCTAAAACGTTGAAAATTGAAGTATAATTCACGTTGGAAAATTTAAGAAGAGTTGTTCCATGTTTGGTGGCCGGTTCTGGAAATGTTGGATACAAAAGGATTCCATCATCTCCAATTTTCTCTTTAAATTCCTTCTTTAACAATTCTCGAACTGCCAAGTTTCCTTGTACAATAGGTGTTTCCAATGGTGGTGTCGTTTTTTCAACAATGGCTACCATTATAACAGCTAATGAATGAGCGGAAAATCCGAAAACCCATTTAATCAGTTCCCAGAATGGATTAAGAGCATATTTACGATTGGTCATTTCTATCGTAAGAGGAACTGATCCACTTTCCGCAAGACTAGCCTTGAACATGGACAATGTATAATTAAATTTGTCAAATGATATTTTTGTACATTTAATTTTGTATTGCTCCTCTAAATGGTTGACTACAGATTTCAATGAATCTCTCATGTCAGGACTCAAAGGTGTAGTCATTGGATTGTTATCACCTTCCATGTAAAATACTCGCAATTTTGAAATATCTACAGGTTCATCTATTTTGGATAACTTGGCGATACCATCACCAGCCATAGCTTTTAACATCGGGATCAAATCAGATGCATAACGAGTTATTGGCCCAAATGCGAAAAGAGATTCCTTTTCAGGAAGCATTGGCGGATACTTTCCTTTGCTTGAAATTACTCCGGCGCTTGTTTTGTGTGCAAAAATGCCACAATGGAAAGCAGGAATACGAACAGAACCTCCAATATCTGATCCAACGGAAACAACTGATGCTGCTGAAGCTAAGGTCGCAGCGTCACCTCCTCCTGAGCCTCCGGGTATCCTTGATAAGTCATACGGATTATTAGTACGGCCAAAAACAGGATTGTGAGCGTCCCACCACATTAACAGCTCAGGTACATTACACAAAGCCATAGGAATAGCACCAGAATTACGAAGATTTACAATAACTGGAGCATCTTCCAATGCGATTATATTTTTTCTTTCGGGAAGGCCAGAAACTAGATGCATTCCTTCAATACTAACTGAATCTTTACATGTAAATGGAACTCCCAGCAATGGAAAATCTTTAATAGAACGTCCATCCTCGCCGATAATTCCTTGATTCAATTCTTTATCGACTCTTTCATCTATTGCGATCGCGTCTTCAAAAGCTTCTTTCCGAATCTCTATAACCGAATTGGTTAAAGGATTTATTTCCTCAATTCTTTTGAAATAAGCTTCAACAACTTGTTTCGCTTTAAGTTTTCCTTCTTTAACTCTTTGACTGATTTGGGTCGCCGTTAATAACAAAATTGGGTTTGTAATTGGAGGAATTAAACCTCGTTTGGTTGGATGAAAAAAGTTACCATACACAATCGCCAAATAGTCTAACACTTGGCGAAGTAGCCGAAGAAAAAAGTCCATTTTGTTGGTCTAGAAGATATTCACTAAAATCAAGTCCAATCTTAGAAACAGCAAAGTAATAACAATAAGTGAATCGCGTGGCAAAATAACGAGAACAATAGTCAGATCGGAAGCCGATTTGAAATATTTAGACGACCAAAGACAATCTCTCCTTCAATATCGAATAATACTTAGCAGTTGACTTTAATTTTAAACTGTTGCATAACAAATTATGTAGCCAAAATTACACGAAACAAACAACTCAATAAACACAGTATAGAAAAATTGACTGCTTGTTGACTACACCAACCAAAACAATAGTGAACCAGGATTACAGGTTTTCATCATAAACTGGTTGTCATCATTTACTGAAAAATGTTTAATCAACTGAAACGATAGACAATAATTAGGTCCAATTAATTATTTAATTCAACACTTCGACAACAAAGACTAGAATAATATGCAACCGGTGTCACCTTCACCAAAACAAATAGATAACCAGTTGTTTTTCCCCTAGCGTTGTTCATTTTCTTATTTTTTCTTAAGGTAAACAAACGTTTAATTTTGTGTTTTTTTTGTAAACACCTTTAACAATGTAAACAAAACTTATTCTTACATCACTTCAAGAATTGTTCAATAAGAAGATCCAACTATTATCTTCAATTATTTGAAATTTTGATTTAATTTGATTGATTGATGGTCAAGGAAAGATAGACATGGCCAGGACAACTTATTCTTTGCTGTTGAATTGTTTGACCAGAAGTCTGTTTGGTACTTGGTTCCCTTTCTTTTCCTTGTAATATTTTCCTTGATGATTATAACCTCATACAGTAAGTCACCAATCAATTTTCCTTTAATATTGTGTTTGAAAATATTACAAATACCTGAAGTCTATTATAATTATGGAAATTTGTAGTTTAGGTACTAATCAGAGACAAGATGCAACTCTCTCTGATTTTGGCCTTGCTGACAAGCCTTGTATTATTTGATCACATTTAACCTAATATTAACATATTTAATGGTAAAATCAAAGCGTATTCGTTTACCAAGCTTTAAAGATAATAAAGTTGATCGAATTGCTTTGTTCTTACTAACTTTTACTTTGTAAATTGACTGTGTTATAAGATATTCAAGTACTTTTTTTATCTTTCATAGGTAAATCTCGGTGCTATTAATTTGGAGAAATGACATTGCAATACGAAATCATTCACCTGATATTCTATATTAACTCATTAAGACAACCTACGGTTGTCAACCAGTCAATTTGAATAAACAATCAAACAGCTTGTACTCATTGTTGCATTCAGCTGAGATTCACTGCTGGGTGTTGCCGCCATTACACTATAAGATTACAAGTGTTTGAAATGGCTAAATCAATTCATGTGTTCACTGTTTTGACATTGATTAATTGTTTACTTATACTCTCCCCTGGATCAGCCAATTATGATTCAAAACCAGACAATTTCAACTCGTTGTCAGATACCACTGAAGAGTTGGATGAAGATGAGCTTCAATCAATGGTCCATGAAAAGGCAAAATATTATCGACCTGATGAATGGAGCGATTACTTGGTATGGATTAAAACAGCTGAAAATAATCCAAACAAATGTGAAACACAATCATCACTTGGATGCTTTAAATCTCAAATCGACAATGATTTAGTATATTGGATGGATAAAGGAATAACTCTTCAGGATATTGAAACCTCTAAACCTTATGGTGTTCACTACCAGATTATTAATCATCAACTTTACCGGCAATATGATTGCATGTTTCCAACAAGATGTGAAGGAATTGAACACTTTCTGTTAAACCTTATTCACAAATTGCCTGATCTTGAAATGGTAATTAACGTTCGTGATTGGCCTGTCACGGTTAAAGGAGATTCAAGAATGCCAATCATGTCATTCTCTCGTGATGACAGTTACAATAACGATATTCTTTACCCAGCCTGGAGTTTCTGGTCTGGAGGACCTGCTATTGATCAATACCCAACCGGTATCGGTAGATTTGATCTATTAACTCGATCAATCGTCGCATCATCACCGCCATGGAACCAAAAGACTGAAGTATGTTTCTTTCGAGGATCACGCACTTCAGCTGATCGAGATTGGCTAATTTTATTAAGTCGTCGTCAACCCGATTTGGTTGATGCTCAATACACAAAAAACCAAGCCTGGAGATCAATTAAAGATACTCTCGGCTATCAACCCGCTCCGACAATATCATTTGAGTATCATTGTAAATACAAATACTTGATCAATTTCCGAGGAGTGGCAGCTTCATTCCGCTATAAACATCTTTTCCTGTGCCAATCTTTAGTCTTCAATATGCAATCATCATGGATCGAATTTTTCTACCCTTCTCTAGTTCCTTGGTATCATTATGTTCCTGTTAATGAATCCAACTTTATTTCAATATTAACCTTTTTCAAAGAAAACGATTCTTTAGCTGCTTCAATAGCATCCAATGGCTTCCAGTTCATAAAGAAGCACCTGACGTTAGAAGCTGTTGAATTATATTGGGAACATTTGTTGATGAAATATTCCCAGGCCTTAAAATACAAACCTAAATTGATAAAGTCGTACAAAAAGATAGTACCAAAAAGAAAGCCCTGATTTACATGGTTAATGTGCCTTAAATAAATCATGTTGCTAAGTAAATTAGCGAGAATACAGTTTGATTTTGTTTTCATTGAATGGATGAATTTTCAAAGAAAAAGAAATGCATTTATTGGGCAGAAAATAATTTGTTGTTAATTTTTTTTGTGGTTCTCTTTTTTCGAGAATAATCTTGGTTCCATGCAATTTAATACAGTCATGTCAACATTTAACATATATAACAATCGATGAAACAACTATTCATCTAACTCTGGTTATACAATGATCTATACTTGATTTATCTATCAACATGCCTATTATATTTTTATTTCGGACAACTTTACCATATAGTTCAGTTGCAACCTTGGAAGCTTTAGGACCGAAAATTTCTCTCACAACCAAATTAGCTGGCTTGACTGATTTAAAACACCAATAGACAATATTAACATAAATGTCAAACTTGAAAGCGTAAACGAAATCAAAATACTTGAGTAACCTTCTTTCAACTTGTTCCCGTTTATCTTTACTACGTGTAACCAAATTCACCATAAATATGGACGCCTTTGGATTCATTAATTTAACAATTTGTTCCATAAATTCATCCTCAACAAAAGCTTCCGGAGGACAACTAAGACCCGACTGTTGATCGTCGCTATTTACATCAAGCATAATTACAGAATATGTTTTAGCTTGGCTCTCGGATGCTCGACTTATCACTTTTAACCCATCGTCGATAATGATTTTCAATGGTAAGTTGACACTTTCATTTCGTGTTTTAAGATTAAACCATTCTTTTGATATCCTTTCCATGGCAGGATCAATATCAACAACTTCCAAATCACAAGTACCATTCAACTTGAGATTTGCTTGTAAATAGTTAACAAAGCATCCACCACCCAAACCAATTAAAATCATACTATGGTGGCTTTCTGGTTCAGCCAATTCTTGATACACTGCCATTCCAAGGAGGAAAGCATGGTGATGTCTACACGATAAATAGTCAGTGTCAATTACCCAAATTTGATCACGAACATGGCGCAGTCGAGCTTCTGATTGAATCATATTTTGGGAACCGAGGAAAACTAAACGACGGTACCAGGAACCGTCAATGATAACGTCTTCAATTAAGTATTCACCACTAATTGCACTGCGACCAGAGGACATCAATTGGCGTTGACCTTGATCTTCGTTGACAGTTAAAAATTGAACACGTTTATCCTTGAATGATTGTAAAACTTTTTCTTGAGCAAAGTACATCACAATACCTGAAAGTTCACTTTTAATTCGCTCAATTCCACCAGGATAAATGTGATGTCGAGCTAAGTGAACCACCGCCAATCGGAAACATCGAGAATTGTCACACAATTGAATCCGCCCTTCAGGAGTTCCAAAGATCCATTCAGTTTCTCTTCCTTCGGGTACAATAAATATTGCATAATCTTGAGGAATTTTAACTTCAGGTGCATCACAAATGTAGATGTAATAACGTGGATAATCTGGGTTGCCTGCTGAATAAACCTCGACAATTATTTCATTATCTTCTATCGTTTTATTCCGTAAACATGAAGAGAGTATCATTAATTTGTGCAAACTGTCAACTGCATCATAGACTTCAGCCAGACAATCTGTTCCAGTGTACCTCGTGGGTTCAGTAATTTTCTCTGTCAATGTGAAAGTTGTTTCAATGAGCAACTTTTCCTTTGCTGAAGTTAATTTGATGGCTACAACTGCAAACATTGGAAGAACTAAATTATATTGTCCTTTCTCTTTCTGGTAAAACTCTTCTACTCGGGTTATTCGGTGAAAACGAACGATCCACGAAAATTGGCTAACATCTTTAAACCAGGAAACCAAAAATTGCATCATAGTATCAGGCAGTCGAGTAAGGAACATGAGTCGACCAAAATTTTTCAAAAGCCTCGACTCTTTATCCAAACGAGCACCAACCATTGTTAATGCTTTTTCCAAAGCGTTGCTCATATCAAAATTTGCGTAGTACACTTCATCTATACCAGCTTTATCAATAAGGACGGTATAAGTTGGTTCTGGATCTTCTATGTCCATGAGATCGGTTGGAATTACTTTTAAATCAACTTTCTGTTTTCTCGACGACGCAATGGATGTGGTTTCCTTGTCTAACACGACAATATTGTTTACTTCATTAAGAGTCAACCAATGTCCAATTGGTCCATTAGAGGCGCCCAAGATGCACACTGAATCCTTAGGTTTTGTATATTTTTTGAGGAGAAACTTTAAATGTGTATAGTCACCGTATGCTTCGAGATCAAATTTAAAATTGTCTTGCCAAAATTGATCTATCGGAAAATCAGTAGTTATCTTGGTCAAAATGGAATCAACACAGCACCTAGTTTCGATAGCGTGAGGCGGAGGCGATGAAGAGGTTGATGTTGATGCTACCGGCAAGTGAGCATGAGAATGTCCATGAGAATGTCCGTGTGAATGTCCATGAGAGTGTCCATGTGAGTGTCCATGTCCGTGAAAACCAGCCATAATACCAAGAAATAAAAAAAAGAAGCAAAATTTCCAGTTTAAAAAAATAAGATGAAACGATTCAACTGCACAACTAAACAGTTACATTGAGTTTGAACAACGTGAGTAATCAGCTGATAAAAGAGTCAAAAGGAGAGCATAGATGAGAAAACTCTTTCTTTTATTCTTTCTTTCTATTCGCTATCTTCAATCACTTTTTTTAGGTTCAATTTTTTCTGGTTTTCTTCAATTGAAATCAGCTGACAAATTTATACCAATACTTGAACACTAAATGCACCAAACGGTTCATCGAGCAGTCCATTATTACTAATGTAAAGCTTCACTCAGTCAAGGTGATACCGAAACATAAACAAACTCAGAGATGAACGAAGAGGATGATGGAAGCAATCAACGTCAGAATGCTCGCTTTGAGTTTTGATCAAACCTAGGTTACCCAATTCGGAACCGAAGATGGTTGACATTTAAGCATGGAAAATTGCATAATTAAATCAAATTCATATTGGATGAAAAGCAAGAGATGGCTAGGATTAATTGCAATTTAATTTTTTTTTATTTCTATAATCTCTAATATTCCTTGATGTTTAAACTTGCTAACTTTGCGTTGAACTTTGACTTTAAGCCGTTGAGCCATTTATTTGTATTAAGCTTGATTGTAAATTACTAAACTCTTAAATTTGTTACATTTTTTATAAGACTTTTCAACTTTCCTGAATGTCACCCGTTTCAATAAAAATTTATTTTCACAATCAATCAAACTGATCATGTTGAAGTCTTAAAATGATTACCTGTTTCTATAGTTTGAAAGGTTTGTCGCTGATTTCTTATAATGTTGATCATAGAATATGGTTTGTAAAATTTTCTTAATAATTTACTGATCGCATAATTTACAAAATAATACATTCGATTAATTTTTGGAATAAAACAAAAATGAACAAAAAATTTGTCAATTGTATAAAAAGTTTCAACTCATGGACAATATTTCTTGTAATCATGGTAATTCAGTGATAAGAATCGACTGTTTTCATTGTTCATTTTAGGTGCTTTACAAATATCACCAAAATGCTAATCAACTAGATAATTTCATCTTCTTTCTCTCACTAAAAATTTTTCCGTATAATTTCCACTAACGAGGTTGGTGAAAATTTGTTAAGCACATGAACAATTCAATCCATTTTCCAAGATTAGATTGAGATTTCAGTTTACAAATTACAGCATAAACAGGGTAAAAGTTGCCAATGATGTAAGAATAGATTTATCAATTGACCTCTCTTAATATTATTTGGTCAATTGATTGGTTTGTCATCTTGATTGTTTGAATTGTTGCGTTAAGTGAAGTCATGATTATTTTTCTTTCTGTTTTCCATCAGACGAAATTCAATCAAATCAATTTTTCAATTTTCAGTCCTCTTGAAGTTTGTGCATCTCATCTTGTTGGAAGTTATCGAAAAAATGAAAACAATTCAAGTTGAATATTTTAAATAATTCGGCCTTTTGAAATTCACATGATTTGTCTTTTATTTAGTGATTACTTCCATTTGGAGATCGCTTCAAACGCTCATTAATTTCATTCTAAACGAGTTAGCATGAGATCTTTGTATTTATTTTGTAAGAAGATAAGAATTTGCAATTTGTGTTTTGGAATGATGAGGGCGATGGCACGTTTATATTTATTTAGATTTGTGGAAATCTAATTTTTTATGAGATTGAGAAGGTTTCAGGTAAAATCACGATTTGCTGTTTTTGTTCACTAAGTCCAATTTGACCAACATTTCAGTGTATTAAATGCGATTTGTTTAGCATATGGAATGGTTGATTTTATAATGGCAGTGATGATACTTTTTTATACAATTTATCGGTGAGATGGTTCCAAATCCATTGAATTTTTTGGAGTCAGTTCCAGAATGATGTGAAGTCTCTTTTTACAAAAGTAAGAAATGATGCAACTGATGAAAAAGAATGATTGTATCGGAAAATGTTGTTCGTTAAAATACAGATGAATTGAATTGTAAAACATGATAATAAATAAAACAGGATGAGTGGTGAAGATGGTGTGTTCAATTAAATGTCATGAATGGAATGCAATAGAATGGTTAAGTGTTAAAATTAAAATGATGACTAAGTATCTTGATTGAGAATATCAAGAGGTAATGGAGACTGGATCGTATCAACTTTGTTTGATTGCCTTTTCTCCATTAATCTGCGATTCATCATTTTTGATGGCGTTTGTCCTGAAATTTGGATTAAGAGTGATTGGTCATTAATTACCTTTCATTATTACGACAACAGCAGCAAAGTGTACGAGATATACAATGCCACCAGGATTTGATAGTTTTAGCTGATAATATCCAGAAGAAATTCGTTATTCCTGGAACCAGAAGCATTATATATTTGAACAGATAAATGGTGACATAAGGTGTTTCAATACGAGATGGATTACATGCACAAGTATAATGAGTTTCCCAGACAGAGCCATATGAGTATTGATAATAATTACAAATGATTACTAAGACCATTGGTACAATATGTAAAATGGAGAAGATAATTATTCGAACCATTAATTTATCCAGTCCAAATTTATCAGTAAAATGACGAATTTGTTCACGTATTGCTCTACGAATTCGCACAATAGAGATGAGACCAGCAAAAAGGAAAATAATTCCGACAATAAGATAGGTACAAAGAGGGACTATGATGAAGCGCATAAGAAGATGAGAATTTAGATTACCAACAAAACAGATGCCGGCCAATGGTTCACCATCGATAGCTTGCATAAAAATGACCAGACATGTTTTCATGAAAGGAATGCCCCACGCAATCATATGGAAATATGGTGAATAATCATTAATAGCCTCGGCAGTCCACTTAAGACTGGCAGAAAGAAACCAGGAAAAAGTTAAAATGATCCACCAAAAAGAGGCGGCCATACTGAAAAAGAAGATCAGGGCAAAGACAACGGTACATTCCCATGTAGGCGTCCCGAAACCTGCATACAGTAGTTTATTTGTATCACACGTAATTGCTGTTGAATCGAAAAATTTGGGAGCGAGAAAGCCAACTGACACCATAAGATAACTGGTTGAAAGAAAGATTATCGATCGCTCAGGATAACAAAAGCGTTCACAATCAGTGAGATAGGTGAAGATAACCATGAGAGAGCCAAACAAACTGCAAAGTGCTATTATGGTGATAACCATAGATGATTTTGATTGTTCTTGTTTGGAGAAAAATAAGTTCGTCTGACAGGGTTGAGCACAGTCAATAATTCCTCCACTGTTGATGTGTTTGTAATAATCGCTTTGGATATTTATCGGAATCATTGGCGGTCTACAGTTACAAGGGCATTCTCTCAGACCTGAAGCAGAATTTTTGACTGAATCTGAAAATGAAAAGAAAAAATTAGTAACTTTGAATATTCAAAAGAAATTGGATAACAGTTCAAAAAAGGCAAAAAACACAAATTGATCTAATTGAAGCATCTTTATAATATATAAAATGTAAATCAATAATTATGTCGCATTGAAAAACAAACAATTTTACTTACTATTGGAAATAGAGTTAAATGTTGAAGTTGCTAAAGTTGACAATGGATAAGATGCTGTTGTTGACGGCTGGAATGGTGATAGATTTGACGGTTTAAGTGGCTTTACAGGTCCAGGTGATTCACCATTCTTCTGATCCATACAAAGTTGTTCAGGAGTTCCTGGATAAACTGGAAAATTATTACAATCCATCGATTCAGGCCATGGAAAGCCATATGTTAACATAATTGCGGCACAACCTGCATGTGCTCTTTCACAGACTGAACGGCAAGCAGGTAGTCTACCCGGATAATCTTCCATACAAATTGGAGTATACATGGAGCAAAGGAAAAGTTTCAGATCATCCGAACATGAAATTTCAACAAGCGGCCAGAATTGATGAGCTTCCATTCCAGCTTCATCTTGTTTTTCATGATGAAATTGGTTTGGCATAGAGGTCATGTTATAACCAATGCCTCTACACATTGGTACAGTGATCTCTTCACATTTGGGTCTATCTGAACTTAACTCTGCCGCGGCAAGAATTATTTGTATAAAAAAAGTACTAATCACTGGATTAAAATTCATTTTGATGTTAACTTAATTACATCCACATTTAAAAGATTAATTTGAATATAAATAAACAAACCATGTCAATAAAGAAATGTAGACAACTTCATATCATAAGATATTTATACAACCTTCCCATTTTTTTGTCACTTTTGGAGTTTGCGTTTCAATAAAGATTAAGGTAAGTCAGGTTTAAGAATAAAAGGATGACTAAAAACTCAATAGATGGCAGCTCAGTAGAAGATTTCATTTAATTTCTGAATAATGATAAATAATTAAAATCAACAATAAATTACCAACAATCAAAGACATAAAGTACATCAAATCTTATTACAGTACATGTTGACTAAGTGTCGCGATTTAACTGTTGGTACAAGCAGATATTCTGAGTTATAAACGATTCTTTTCTTGTTTTAAGGCAGGAAATTTTTTCTCTAATTATTATTACTCAGGTAACCATTGAACATTTCCGTTGATATTGTCCAGATTTTAATTGTTGGCTGTTTAGTTGAAACTTTGATGTGCCTAGGTGATAAAGAAAAGATAATTAAATGATTAGAAAGGTTTGACTAGGTAGCATTTTGGGTAATAATCAAGTTGCGATGAAATATTAAAAGTAAATTGACGTTTTTCCGTCAAGAGTAAATTAACATTAAAACGTTAAACATTCAACAATGGAAGAGAAACGATTAAACTGATTAGCTTACATTAGGAATACCATGAATTTTTATTGAGCTTTGCTGGTTGCTGGGCGGAATCAATTGATTTGAAACACTTTGTGTGTGTTCTTATTAACATTGAAAATAGTATCGAAAAACAGCTTTAATTGTTTCCTGTGTGTGTGGTGTAGATTTATAAATGTATATAAATGCATAAAATGTAAAAAACAAATAATATTGTTATACAATGATTAACATTATTTAGCATAGGCTTCATCGTAATCCCTCACTTGAAAGTTAAAGATTAACATGATGCAGTGTAACTTGTCACTTGTATCTTTCACAATCTTGTATCAATGGTTTTAGGTAATGAATTATTATTAAATGAGGCTTGAGCTGGATGATTCTGATGGTGGTGAGAGTTTAAATGATGGCCAAACGTTTCCGTTGAAGATGATTTAATGTCTGTATGATAGCGTTCTGAGTAGGGAATAACAGAACCATCCATAAAACGATATCCAGTCCTTGTAGTAGCATCATTTAAATCTGCCGAGTCAAAAGCACTATTAACGGTTCCTTGCCATTGGTGGAATCGTCCATCTTTGATCGTATCAAATTCAACAGCTCCAACATTATTTGGCACCTAAATTGTACAATAGAAAGCAATAACAGAAATACAAACAGTTAATTTGCCAATAAAAACAGATAAATTAAAACAAAAACACAAACCATTAAATTAAACAAGAAAAAGCAATTTTTAAAAATGAACGACTTTTCAACTTTTGATTCATAACTTTTGAATAAAGCTTATTTTCAGGTCAATCACATGTTTCTCTTATTTTCACAGCTAAAATATTTTCCCTCTTTATCTGCTGTGCACCGAGTACCTTCATAACTGTAACTCATATTTCTTATTAATATTAATATAATTTGTTGATTAACCTAATGTGAAACCTAAATTTAACTGTTTAATTTATCTTCCAGTTATTTGCTACCTTAGGAGGAAAAAACAAACCATCGTAAAATGAAACAAAAAGTGTCAACCAACCAACAGACAAAAAATGATTTAGTCATTATACGGAAGCAACAACAGTGAACCAGTGAAAATGATTATCATAATGATTATTCTGAGTGATTTTTCATCCTCAGACAGGATTTCCAGCAAAACTTTTCCTCTTCAATTTCATCAGCACCTTCTTTCATTGTCATAATCATTTCAACCTAATTCAATCTTAACCTTTTTTCTATTTTTTTTTATTCTCTCTACCTTTTTCTTGTTTGTGTAAACCTCTTTGGGTTTTATGTGTGTTTGTGTCAATGTTTTAGTTAATATTTAATCATTACCTTAACTGTTTTCTCTTTGGACAATTTACGATAAATGTAAACAACCAGGATAAGTACGATGATAATTAAGAAACAACAGAATCCTAATAGAATCATTGTTAACAGGAAAAACTTTTTTGCCTGATAATGGTCAATCTCAAGTCTATTTGAATCACAAATTGTCTCATTACCTGCTCTAGTTTGTGAACTTGTTTCATTGGAAATGATAATAATGTTATTATTTTTATCATCATTGCTATTATTGGCATTACCATTGACCAAGTCGACGGTTAATAATGTTGTTGGAGAGTCAATTAAAGATTGATTTGGTAGAAGAGTTTGTTCAACAGTTGAATTCACTGAGGGTGACTTAAGTAATGGACTTTTAGGTTGAAAGGTTACTGGAATTGGTAGAGATGTATTGTCACTGATTGAATAATTAAACTCTGTTTGATTAATTACATTATTCAGTATAATTGGAGACACATCTATGGTAATTGTCGATGATTGGGTGTTTACTTCATCCGATTCATCAAGAAATGCTGTAACACGACTAGGGTTACTTGGTTTTAATGTTGTATTACCAACTTCATTATTTTCACTACTTTCAATCAAGCTTGCATTTGTAGATAAGTCCAAAATCATTGTTGACGACGATGATGCTGTTGAATTGGTGGACTGTCCATCTTTTGGAGATAAAGTTGTCGGTGGAACAGTGGAGATGATTAAATTTAAAAAGGTACCAGTTGTTACCTCGGAAGGATCAGTTAAAGTTAAACTTGAAGGCGTTGTAACCTCATCAGACTGACAACGGACCAAACACAAGTGGTTAGTGAAAATGGCAATCAATAAAACTAAAACTAGACGATTGATGGTCGATGATAATGGCGATAAAGATGGCAATGATGAACAAGATGAAAAGGTTGATGAAAAAACTGGTGAAAAAGGTTTTGAAAAAAGTGTCAAAGGAGACCCAAAAGAGGACAATTGGTAGACCGCAGTGAGGCGCTTTCTTCCCATGGCTTTAACCATTGGTGTGGGGTCAGTCGATGTAAATCATGCAACAGTTACAGGGAAACAAAAATAGACTATCAATTGTAATGGATGAAAATTAGCCAAGACAAGTTAATTATTGTGAGAGGCGGTTTAAACGGAAAGTGTTCACACAATTGTTTGATCAAGTGAGTGAGAGACACAGAGAGAGAGTCAATTAGTTAGTTAATGATGAAGGAGTAGGAGGAGAGTTACCATGAAAAAGAGTGACTATGAAAAGTTACTATGAAAAGTGATCATCTAGAGTGGGTACGAGAGTTGTTATGTGAAGTGTGTTAACATGATTGTTTGATGATGGGGGAGAAGGAAGAAGCTCAACACTTTGGTACAAAATCATCAATTGTTCAATTTAATTGTCTTCCTATTCTTGCTGTACAGGTAATAATAGATATATCTAACAGGCTCCTGTAAACCTCTGGTTCAATTGGTATATAAATTGGATCATTTAAATTTAACAATTTTTGCTAATATTTTTGTAATACAGTTGAGTGAGACTGTGAATGATGCTTAAACTGATGCCTAACCCATTAACCCATCTTTGGGTTAGTTTAACAATCAAATTGACCTGAACCAGTTTGTTTGTTTATTTACCAGGTTTTACAAGGAGAAAAAGCTATTCAATTAATTGTCTAATTGTAACTGTAACCCAACTGATGTCTTGATCCCAAGTTGTAACATGTAAACATTAATTATTATCATCACTTGATGCTTTCCATCTGTTGCAAGTCAAAAAATTTGCTGTCAACCAATAATGGTTTAACTATCAAATAAAATGGTTATTTATCACCCTTTTTGTAGTTGCTTCCTATTCTTGAACCTTTCCATTTCAAATTGAATGTTCAATTTTTACACTGAAACAGGAAGTTTCCCAAAATATTACCTTTTTCAATTGTTGAGTCAAGTTTAATTGATAAAAGGCAACATTTAACTTTATTGGTTATTGGATAATAAAAGAAGCAAAAATTTCATCTTGAAAGTTTACCTTTTCATTCAATTGATTTATACCAGAATAAAACATGATAACTTTAATCGGTTGATTGTAACCATGAATACAAACCAAATTGTGAACCATTTATATTAATATTGTCATGTTTAAGGTAAACATTGCCATTGAAGAGAACAATTTGGGTTAATCGAAATGGATAAACAATGAAATGTTGAACAATCCAAGAATGAAATCTCAATGTAATCCTTAAATTGTGCCCATTAATCAATAAACATTATTCATAAAGAACAGGAAAAAAGTGAAAAGATAATTGGAATCTTTTGGTTGTTTCTTTACTTTTTTTTTCTGCAGTTTCCATCAAATGTTTCCAATTACTATTCAAGTGATTAATAATGGTGAAGATCAAGTTAAAGATGGAAAGGGTTAAGGGTTGACGATGATGATGATAAAGATGATGGCTTAATTACAGCGAAGCTGGCAGCATGAAAACGGATCAATATTAAGAACTGTGAAAAACTTGTTGGTTCGCATGTTGATGTAAAGCCATGCGTCAAGAAGAGGCAAAGTGATGATGAAGAAAAAAGAGGAAGAAACTTGATGAAAGACAAAAAAAGAAAGATGAAGAGTAGGATGATGATGATAACAAATAAAAGAGATGCATTTATGATGCATGTGTTTACCAGTTTTGTACCCAATAGACTTGCTCATCCAGCTTTGAAAGGACCACGTCATTGATTACCTTGAATCAATACTGACAACAACAAGAACTCTGCTTTTCCTCTCCTTTTCATCCTCATCTTTTTTTATCTCACTCTGAGTCCAACAACTGTTGATACTTCATCTATACCATGGATTCAACACTCCATGAGTAACACTCCATTGGTAACTCTATCCGTTATCAAACCTAAAACCGTGTCCAACTTGCTTCAACTGTTCAAATAACTGACCCATTAAAATGCCATTAAACATGCTTTAATTTCATCCATTGACAAACATCTTCAACTTTCCTTATTCATCTCTTTATAAATCACAAGTTAATAAATAATTACAGAGCATTTCCAATAATAAACTTGCTCTGAGTGAAAAGTTGACTCTTTTTTGTGTTATCAAATATTGTCTCTCAACATTGAAATTACTCCTCAGTTTCATCAATCCCTGAGTTGTTCATTGAAATGCCTCCCTTTCAAACTGATCCGTTGATCAAGTTTTTAACTAAAAGAGTTGCTTTCCAAGAAACATCTGATAAAGATTTAGATTTAACTACGGAAGATTCAATTGATTATACTGTCTCACCTTTACCGTCAACTTTACCAACCCTGATGACAGGTTCACCCTCATCGACCTCATCTTCATTACCATACTCGTCATCTTCATCAGCATCAATCCTGTCAACAATAACTCAGTCAACTGAAGCAACAATTGATAACCTGTCAACCTTAAATGTTAACAAGGTTAACTCATTTTCATCACCTTCATCATACTTTCCTTCACGAATCTCATCATCTACACTTTCACCTTTCCAGTCAACAGTGAACAAGATTAATACTCCAATTTACAGTGATAATAATAATGATAATGATAATATGGTAAAGGGTAAAGAGTTTGTTGAGGACATTTCAAGATCGACTCACATGCCAGTCTGGTCTGTCCTCTTTGTCCTAACCGTGATTGCTGCTATCTGTGGTTTAATATTTTACTGTTGCCTCCATAAATGGTGGAGACGATGGCGAGCCGATAAGGGTAAAGGTCTTATCACTGGTAAAGTGGATCTTAGGTCAGTCCAATTGTTGGGACAAACTTACAAAGAAAAGGTAAATAGATCAATAGATATTAACCTTTTCCTTTCTCCTTTTCATTTCATCCTTTTAATATACTCCAATCAATCAATATCATCTAGTAATCATAATATAATAATAAGGATAATAATAATCATTCTCGTTTAATACTCCAAAGAAAAAGGTTACTGATTAAGGTTAACAAATACATTCATCATTCAATTATCTCACAACTGATTAACTTATGACAACCTATTTCACTCACATTAATTGGAATTGAAGACAAAATTTGTTATCATTCATCACCTTCATAACGGTCAAACTTCGTCATCAAATAAAGTCTATTAGACAATATAAATAGATAGTTTGTAACCCAACAAGGCAACTTGTCCGGTAGCAAATATGGTTCACAATTAAGGTCTTTTTACATTAAATTTTCTCATTTTCCCAGTCTTCATCATAACAACATTCACAAAATAGATTCAACCTTAATCATCAAAATCATTAATTTTTCTCCGTCAAGTCCCTTCTCCCTTCCAACTTGCTAACCTAAGAGGGTGAGTCTTTGCCCATCAAATATAAGACACAATGAGGGGTCTTTAATGTCAGAGATCATTTGATTTTTACATTTGTATATTCATTTCAACCCAAGACAACCCTTGTCCAGCATCAATATGCCTTACGATAAGAGTCTTTTAACATTGAAATTTCGCATTTTCTCGTCTTGTTGATCAGCACTTTCACAGTCTTCATCAACATAATAGCGTTCAGAATATAAATCCAACTTTTATTGTCATCGTCATTTTTTACTATCAAATCCATTCTTTGCTTTCACTTTTCAGACCTAGAGAGTCGCTCTTTCCCCATCAAGTATAAGATACGATGGAGGGTCTTTAACGTAAATCTTTTCATTTTCATATCAATTTCGTATTCTTTTTATTATTGTTTTATTTGATTGATTTGATAAACCAATTAACATATTCAACGTGAAATATCTATTTTTATCCGTAATTTAATATTGAGAAGGAAAATTTGTTCAATTTGATCTAAATGAAGACAAAATGTTGTTTCTTGATTCAATCATTGGGAAGGCTTCAATTTAAATTGATAAGTCTTCAATGTTTGCCTTCGTTAGTTTAATTGGCTTCTTTTAATATTTTATTTCAAAACTCTTGTTTTAATGTTAAACCCATTTCTCATTTTAATATTAAAATGAATATAAAAAATGAAATCTCTTGATGATGAGTTCTTGAATGGTAAACAAAATTGAGTCTAAATGTAAAAAGCTAATTAAAAGTCAATAAATCTCATTTATTTTTCATTCAGTTATCATTATTAATAAGTAACACTTTAATTATTCATTTGTTTCTCTCCCTCCAATAGCAATATTTCCAAATGAATTAGTAAACCCAAAGTCTAAATGAAAATTTAATCAATTAAGATAGACCATGAAATAACACTTCGATAACTGTTGAACGTCCCAGTAATAATGTAAAAATAAGGACGAAAAAAGTTGAACTCCAAGTCTATTGAACTTTGACTCGTTTTTTCAGAAAAAAAATTGATATCAAATTACCTTTGATTCATGAAAAGCATCAACTACAAGAATCCTGAACCAAAATTTTGCAGATCCAAGCAATTTGTTGGCAGAAAAGGGAAATGCTTGCTTTGAATAGATATTGAATATGAATTTCAAGAAGAAATCAAATTTAATTTTAAACATTTCGTTATTTTTTGTGGTCAAAAAGCTCAGCAAGTTTTCAATTATTAAAGCGACTCAAACCTTTGCATCAATATTGAAAAGAAAATTGAATAAATCGATTGAAAAATTTTGCCTCTTTTTCTGGACAATCAAGTTCAAATGTCAGTTGATTTCAGTTCGAATTGAATCTTTTCTGAAATTGCCTCGATTTTGATTAGATAACAAAAGTGTTACAATTGAGATCAGTTTTTCCGCTCAACATCACCACCTAAAGGCTAATGATGAAGACGGTTCAATTTATCATAGAACAAGATAAATCATGTTCAACAATGTTGCTAAAATTTATACTTAATTGTTAGGCTTGAAGGATTTAGATTTAATAGACTTTTATGCTTTTGTTGGTGCAAATGGTTTAAGGATAGGATTTTTTGTTCCTTTTTTTCTCGTTCGAAACCAAATTGTAATCATTATTATTAACTCAACTTTGGTTTATTGTTTTCTGACTTTTACACCTACGAGTTTAGTTTACATCCAAACTGAGTGTTTCCAAGTAATAACTCAGCTGACTATCGATCGATTCAACTTGAAAATTCTGAACAAGTATATTCTAGAAAAGCAAGAGCAAGGCAAAAAAACTTGTTGCTTGTCAGCCTTTGAGAGCTAACAAGACACAAAAAAAACAACTCTTAGTCGAGAGACTAATGATTATCATTGAGGGAATCGATTTGAATGAAAGGAGAAAAGACAACTTTTTTCCTTGATTGTTAATTAAATTATCTCCAGGTTAATTTAGATTCAATTACAACCCTGATTTGCCTAGTTGCCATTATTAACCTAAAAGAATTGGAAAATTGCTTCAGTTACTAATCTACTGTCAAAGTGCGGGTAAACATCAGTTAAACATTGATATTGGGTCTTCGGCTGACAAGGAAAAGTTATTTTACATTTACTGTTAATAAAAATGCTTTCTGATATCAGATGAAAATCGAGTTCACTTAACACCAAATGTGTGACGGGAATCAGCCTCTAGATTCGGATTCTCAGCCTAATCTGTTGAACTCGATCATTGATTATTTTGAACAGAAGTTGTTTTGTCAGAAAAGTTCATCGCTTAAACAAATTGAATGAAAAGAGTCGATCTTTAAGATCTTGCCTTTTAATCATTCGATCAATATGAAACTGCTTCGAGCGATATTTTTTTCTTGTTATTTGAAGGCAAACATAATTGGTACAAGATTGAAACATAACTCTTTGGATGACTGAAGTTGCTTTCGATTGATTTTTGAGATAATTTTAAGTGGTTCGTTGAAAGCAAATTAAGCCTTTGGTTGTCATCCCGGGTCTAAAATTTGAGCAAAATTAAGTAAGATCTCATCTATTGATAAGATCATGGTTTATTTTAGATACTTATTGCTGGAGAAATGCTTCAGTAAAATTCCAACAAAAAGTGGTAAATTTTAATTTAAGGCAAGTAAATCTTTGGTAAATTTATTAACATGATCGTGAAAGAAAATTTTGTAAGATCTTGGTGGTTAAGTACATGACAAAATATGGGTCTTTGAAAACATAAGATCTTAGTCATGTTCAATAGGTATATTCACATCTGAAATTGAAAATCTATTGACATGGTTTTCATCTTGTAATATAATTGCTCTTGCTATGAGCTTATCAACATCAACCAATTCTTCAACTCGACTAGAAGTAACAATGAAATGTTGATTTTTAAGAATATTGACTCGCATCATTTGTCTAACGTTAGAAGTTAACGGCTGATCTAAACCAGAAAGGATATTGATTCTGCCTATTTTCGGGTATATTTTCATGAACGCAAATTTTCTGAGATAATCATTGCTAACAATTCTTGATTTTATCGCAATGAAGCAGACAATTTTACCATAAGTAATGCTAAGATCTTGTCGTCGAAAAGAGGCAAAAAAACTGTTTGAACCTCTTCGATATTTATAGTTGCAAGAGTGAAATGTTTGTGAATCACTTGAAAAAACATGGAAAATTTCAAGATCTTCCTCTGTTATTGATGGATAGAATACTTTCAATCGTTGTAATAAATTTTTATCAATACTGAAATTGCTGTCAGCTGATTTCAATGCCTTTTTAAGGCTTGTACCTTGTCGTGTGTTATCACTATATTTTTCATAAAATTCATGTATATCATTATCATAGTTGCACATTTTAAATATATAAGAGTCTCTCATCTGATTTAACTGTCCTCTTGTGCCATGAAAAGATCTTTTAAGGTTATAGATATTATTTTCAAATGAAAAACATGAAACATCTACCAAGCTTCCAAATTTCTTATATTGATCAACGAGATGCAGTAACAAATGTAAATTGAATCGCATGTTTTGTTCACCATATATTTCCTGAATTGCTAATGATATTTTGCTTATAAGAAAACTCACTTCTTCGAGCTCTGATTCTGTTTTAGAATCAGAACATAAAGATCTTGTTATGGCGACTAAAGCTAACAAAATAACAAAACAATCTGTAGATATAACATTTTTAAGCAAAGGCGTTAAATGGATCAAAAACGTCTTTGCCTCGGATGACTTCCAATATGCTATTTCAGAAAGTTTTCTGAACTTTCGATTTGTATCATGTGGTAATAAAACATCTTTCACTTTCCCGTCAACGTAAGATCTTACAGATGCTGTCGAGAAAGGCTTCATTGCCATCAGAAATTTGAACACACCTTCGAGAATCGCGTGCATGTAATCAATTGGAATGTTACAAGACACCATGATAAATTTAGAAATTTTCGTAGTCCCTTTAACTCCATTGTCGTCGTGACAAGATCTTAGCCATGCATCTTTATAAAATTGACATGTTTTCAATGAGTAATCATTCTCATAGCTATAAACAAGTTTCTTGGTTCCAGTTCTTACATCAACAACTGATTTTCCTGGATGTAAACAATAGGGGCAGCCAAATCTTCCATTAAACATCTTTATGTTGAGAATTTTAGCTTTAGCCACTGAATCACATGTTATAGCTAAAAATCTTGATATGATTACAAGATCTTTGTTGTAAATGTTAAGAACTTGTCTTGACTCCTTCAGTTGATGCTCAGTCCCACATCTTGAATCTTGTACTTGAAAATCAATGTTGAATACATCTTCAATACATTTAGAAAATAAAATATCAGGCTTGATTCCTGATGAGCCCCAATAAATTCCTATGTTGAAAAGATTATTTTTTGATATTCTTTTGCCTCTTGGTAGCTCTGCGATCACACATGAAATCGGTGTACAACAAGTTCTTGATGAACGCATCATCTGAGCATCATCCAAATTGGCGATTAAACTTAGCCTTATTTGGTTATTGTCCGTTTCAAGATCTGACCAAAGCTCATGATATGATTTAGAACTCATGATTTCCGTTCTAAATCCTGACGACAGAGCAATATAATTTCGGGAAACTATTAATTTAATCGTATCAAAATAATTAAATATAACCAGATAACCAAGATCTTGGGTACAATCACATGTTTTTATAGACTCCAAAGCAGCATGGGTTTTGCAGTAGATTAAAGTTGAATACTTTATTGATACTGTTGCAGTTTTAATAGCAACAAAAGATTTGTAGTTAATCAGTGGTATTTTGTGTACTGAGATAAACTCCATCAATTTGTAAACTTTTTTTGCTGCTTCCGCATGCAGATTACATTCTTTGAAGATCTTAGCAATGATCAAATAAATTTTGTCATTCATTTCTTGATTTTGTGGAAGATCTTGTCGTGAATTGTCTTGTCTTTCAGCACATGTTATGAATGTAGAAACATCCGAATCACTTGAACGTATTTCACTTTCAATGGTTGAATCACATTCACTTGTTGATGAAGATGATTGTAAACTTAAGTTGATTGAAATTGAGGAAGATCTTTCATTATCTGAGTCTGATGATGAACTTATGTTTGGTAATTTTTTATCAGGAAAACGTATTCTTCGTCTCAATTTTTTCACTCTCCAAGGATTGATCAAACGTTTCCTGCCCATTTCCTCTGATAAACAAGATCTTATTAGCAAATTACAACAAATTAAAAAATATACTGATAAGAAATTGATTGATAACAAGGATTAATCTTAGACTTAGTAGAACAAAGGAAACCACGTGTTCTTGTGAAGAGATATTTAAACCTTGAGCTTGCTCATTCACGCTCATTCAACTTGTTGTTTCATTCATTTTTGTTTCTTTATGATAATTTGCAAATAATTATTTCTTGAAATTTCTTGATTTACATTAATCATTTATTGTATCATGTCATCATCCGGATCTAAAGATCTTATTGATAGCTGTGAATTACATATTCCAATCAGAGGTAAGTTAAATATTCATTAATAAACTAATTTCTAGAATTGTTTCATTCACGTTTTTTCCTCAATATTTACAGCTGGATATGTTATCTTGAAAGATCCTATATCAGAAAAAAAGCTTCTAAGACCGGCAAGGTATTATGGTAATTATGTACGAAAGATCGAGGAGCTAATTGATGAAAGAAAAACTGTTGATGACGCCGAATCAATGGATGGAGATAGATATGTTATCATTTTCTATGGATCTCATGATTCAGCTTCAAAGTTTCTTGAATCAGAAAAGATGAAAGATCTTAGACGGAAACAGTTAGCTCCATCATCACAAACTCTCAGTTTGCCATCAACTTCAAGAAAGGAAAGTGAATTGGAATCAACCACTCGTAAATTGCGATCTCAGAGCCGAAACGTTAGTGAATCAGCTCATAAAGTTGCCCCGAGTTCAGTTCCACAAGTGAAATTGTTGAAAGATCTTGAGATAAAATTTGAAAGTATGAAAGACGATCTCAAAGAAATCAAAGTGTTACTCAATGATTTCATCTCCTCTCAAGATCTTCCTGATTTGTCGACCGGACCAACAAAAGAGGCTTCAATGGCGAAACAGGCTTGCAAAGCAATAAGATCTTTCAGGAAGCAAGGTTTCGAGAAAAAGTTGGCATTAGTTGATTGGGATAAAATCATTTCAGATCCGATCAAAGTAAGAGAAATAAAAGATATCCTGATGACTCAAGAATGGCCTTCTAAAATGGTATCAGATATTGCTGAGATTCTTTATGGTGATACATTGCTCGATCATATCTTAGGACGACATGGTAAAAGGGATAGGAAGGCTAGAAGGGGTGAACGGCAGTTGACTGTATCAAGATCTGAAGAGGAGAAACTTCGCTGTATTTTGTCTGTATTTGGAACTACATTTACGACTGATACAGCATGGCAAATATTGGTTCAACATTACGTGAACCAAAGAGGAAGAGATATGAAAAATCGTCTTACCAAAGAGAAAGATGAAGAGCGAGTTGACCCTAATATTGATGATGATTCTAGTGATTCGCCTGAAGCTAAGCGAAGCAGACTAGTTAATCATACCGACGATGATGCTGATAACGTTGAAGAATGAAAAATTATTTTGACAAAGATCTTGTTAATGAACCTTTAAGATCTGAAACTTTTCTTTATTTGATAATTAATTTAATTATTTGTTGAAAATTTAAATTATTTTTGCTTATATTACCACTTTCATTCGACATTACTGTTAAAAATTTGAATAAATTAAATCGTTATTGTTAAAAATGTAAATTTAAAAATCGCGGTCGAAAACGTTCTCTTTGAAGTCTTCATTTAAAGATCTTATTGCGCAGGTGTAAGGCAGAATTTTTTCCATGGTTCAGTCAAGCGTTATTGTTGTTTACTGTGTTGCTAATTTGTTCAAAACTGAGTTTAATTATTCAAAAATCATGAGTTTAATCGGATTAATCTATAAAATTCGTGCCTCTATTCAACCTGTTGATGCGCAGGATCTTACAACTCAAGGTAAGTTCTTGTATAACATCAAAATTTTTGATTAAATGTTAATATTTTGAAATTCAATTCTTTTCAGAAGCTTCTATCTTATCATTTGATTCAAATGGAAAGCTGTTTATTCACAAAGTTGAAGATCTTGATGCCTCATTGTCCAACATAATGAATATTATGTCAAATAACGAAGAACTTAATGTGGATGGAAAGATCTTGAAAATTTTGTTTTACGGCAATGAAAAAGATACCGAAGAAAAATATGTCTATTTCTTAAAGAGATTGAACGAGGAAAAAGAATGTTCGCCACAGGAACAAGATCATGAAATTAGCTCCAGCCAAGAAGGTATTTATATTATTTTATTGAATTTATAAATTTATTAATGTCTAAGATCTTGATTTTCTATATTTCGACAGAGAATTTTATTCCCAACAAACGTGTAAAAAAAGAGAATATACAAAAAAAATTGAGCGCGATCAAAGCTTTGATCAATCAAATTGAAAAAGATCTTGACGGAACGAAAGAAAGCGAACAGAATCTCGCAAAAACAAAACCAACAATTCAACAAGTCAACTTGGAACCGACTTTGACTTCTAAAGATAAAGAAATTTCCTTGAAACAAGATCTTATACAAAAGTTCCAAGTTAAACTCGCTAAACGACGTAATTCTTTTGATTGGATTAAGATGGTAAATCGATTTGAAATTCCCAATGTTGAAGCTGATAAGATGAAGGCAATTCAAAGAACTCTTACATCAGGAAGCAAACTTCATGGTGCTGTTATCAGAGGTGTTGCTAAGTTCTTATTCGGTGAAAAAAAATTGATTGAAACATATTTAATGAATCCAAAAGGAAAATCTTATTTGACCAAACAGGGCCAAAGATTCAAGATCTTCAGTCCACAGGAAGAGAAAGATCTTAAAAGTAAGTAATAAGATTTTTAAATCAATCATCTGAATTTTAACATCATCTATTATCTATTGAATAGGTATTCTCAGTCTAATCGATGAAGAATTATTTAATGACCCAGATGCTTGGCATTACCTGGTCCGAGCACCAATAAACCAGCAAGGTTTGGATTTGAAAAGAGATCTAAATAAAAAGAAATCAAAAAATTCTAGTGAAGAACCAGCAAGTTCTTATACTGAGGATCCGTTTTTGGACGACGATGTTGATTTCTCACAGTATGAAATAGAGGATTAAATACATTATTCACACAAGATCTTAGATAATTGTAAAAATTTTACAGCAAAAATATCCATCATTTACCTTCCATTTCATATAATTTTGACTAAAAAATTTGTATAAGTTACAAAGAAATCCTTGACATTCACTATTTTTTATCATAAAAAAAGGTAAAACTTATCAACTTCTCATTTCTATTAAAATTGAAACATTTAACTTTTCAGTAAAATTTGTATATTTATTGTTTAATTCATTGGTTTCAAATCCAAAGATCTTGCAAAAATACTCCATGATCTTGTTTTGGGTCACTCCATAAATGTACCAAAATGATCAACAAGATCTTATCTGACCTATGTCACTTTTTTACTGAAATTTCATTGAAATTTAGACCCGGGATCAATCAAATATCACGTCTCAATTTTATGGTAAATCAGAGTTAATTTTATAGTCTCACGAGTTGTATGTTAATTGGCTTGCTTCGAGTTTGAACATTGTCAAGTCGTTTGCATTATTAATGTTTTCACTAATAAGACCTGTGAGACTCGATTTTATCATTATCATTACTTTAGTGTCTAGAGTTGACTTTATTTTGTTAAGCATTTGAATAACTTTTCAACACGATTCGATTTACTTGTTATAACAATTGAATCATTTCATTATTTCTGGATTAACAGTTGTCTGATTATTCAGGTGAACTGAAAAGTTTTAATTTTGTCAAGAAAATGAAAAGTCAATTATACGATTGAATGACTGTGAATTAATCTTGAATCTTTTGTTCAAAGTGTTAGGTTAATAGAGTTTTCATCATGAAAAATACAAAACGATGGTCACATGAATGAATTTCAATGATGAGAGCAAAATTAAACTGTGAATGAAGTTGTGAAATTATTTGATTGATAATCCAAAATGTCATTAAAAGACAAAATTTACAAATAATTTCCTCTTGAAAGCAATCAATCGATAACATTTCCGTCCATTAACAATCAACTCATCATTTATAAAATGTAAAGTTTTCTCACTGAATCAGTAAACAAATTGAGAAAAAAGTAAATCTTTTCATTCGTTAGACCTTGCCAGTTGAAATGCAACCAAAGAGTGTTTTTGTGACTCGATAATGTCAATCCGTACTTTTGATGAAATGGCAAAAGTAGCAATCCAACGCAACGGCATCTCACCAGACCATGTAACCTTTGATTCAACCCCTTCTAATTGGCCTCAGTTGCAACCAAAGTTTTCCTCGGAACGCAACCCATTGACATCACCTAAAGGAGCGTTTGCGGGTAAAAGTTATTCAACAATGGCCAAGAGATCGGTGCAAAAAGATTCACGAACATTGAAAGCCGATGAGGCAAAGAGGGGAATAGGGAATAGCAGACAGCCTCGACACCGACGAATAGCTTTTCTCTTCAGTTATACTGGAGGCTTCATTATGGCCGTTATGGTCACTCAATCGTATTTAAATTACGAGACGACAACCAATGTTTACATTGCCGCACCTCAAGACACTGAACTTCCTTCTGTTTCAGTGTGCTTCTTTTACAGGATTCCGCACCTTAAACATGAAAAGGGCGAGGATGGAAAAAACTTGACGAATCTTACTTTGGGCCAAATCAATCAGCTTTTGCCTACATTCAACGAGTTTGTGAAAGACTGCCAAGTATTGGACAGTAAAAACAACTACACAAGCTGCATGACGGTCTATCAAGAAACATCGAGTACTCATATCAGTTATCTGAGTTTGTTTTCCAAATGTTACACCATGTTTGAAGGCATGGAAACTCCTATTAAATACACTAAAAAGGAAATTGGATCGAATTGGCTTCTCGATATTACTTTGAATGTCTCCCGAGTGCCCACAAACAAAGTGGGCATCTTTCTTACCCATTCAACAAACGAACTGGACGAATCTCTTGGTAATCCTTCATTCCTTCAATTTGACACTAAAAATAACAATAGAGCAACAGTGACCTATGAACGGACTAGAATCAACAAATTGCCACCTCCACATGATTCAAAGTGCTTCAATTATGAGACGAGTGACTCTACACACGATTGTAAAAATCGAGCCACTTGCATTCGAAAGTGTATCGTGTGGGAATCGTATGAAAATAGCAAGGCTTGGGTCGATCAGCGTTATGTTCGAATTGAAGATCATTATTTAGATGGAAGATTTGGAATTGAAAGTGAAGCCAATTTTACCGAATTTTGTTTCAACAAGTACTCTGAAGAACCTTGTGTCGATTATCTTTACAATGCAATCATGGCCAGTCAGTTTTATTCACCTTTTCGTGACCAAGTAAATTCAACCTTTCAGATAAATGTCGCCTATCCTTTGGGCATGGAAACGGTTGTTGAATATGTTGCGGTTCAATCGTTGTTGGACTACATTTGCTTTGTGTGCAGCATTGTCAGCCTGTGGACTGAAGCCTCAATGGTACGAATCAGTGAATACCTTTTAGATGTTAGCACAAGTCTACTGTTACGGTTACTCGAAACTGAACACTTCAACGATTACCAAATCGACTCCGAGACTAATCATATTAATAATGCTCAAGGTTCCATAGCTGTAATAACCAGCTTCAAGCCAACCGAGATTAACATTAATACATCAATGGCTGGCTATGATGTGATACCAAACAGTGTGGGAGTTGGTAATGCTGTTGGGATTGGTGTTGCAGGTGGGAATAACGATAATCAGCTAATGGAAGAGCCAACTTCAACTCGTAACATTTACAAATCATTTCCACCTCGTTACAATAAACCAAGTTACATTGAGTAATTCATTAGTCAACAATGAAACAGAAAATTTGATAAAAAAAACTCCCAGTCAAACTCCCAATTCCAAATTATTATATCAGCCAATCGACAACAATTTACCGACGATTTGCTAGATGATCAAGATTAATGATCACATCTTAATTGGCTGTTGATGATAGTTTTAAAAGTGAAGGAAAATTTATCAAATTTTATCGAGAAAAGTTTCGACAGATGTTTGGTTGAGAGAGAAAATGTTGACAAAAGCATCTTCATTATCAACTTATTTATCTTTACCCTGCTCATGTTACATTCATGATAAAATTGTTATTTGAAAAGGAAAAATTTCATTCTCTATTATTCTGATGATACAATTCTTATCATCAGCCTACATGAATAAACTATTATAATGATAAAAGTATTTTTTTATTGTTTTCTCTTCCAATTGAAATGAAAATTAATCTTTTTTTCGTTGAGAAATTATGAAATGGAAAATAATCCTTTTCTTGAAATTGAAATCAAATGAAAGAGAAGAAAAAAAGTTTCATCAAAATTCAGTAAAGCAATTAAATGAATGGAAATTTTGGCCAAAAATTTTGTCATGAAATGAAATCAGAAAAGATGAACCAAAGTCTAAAGTCTTGCGGAATAAACTTGTTGATTCAATGTTTACTGGAAAACAGATCAGTTGAATCTCAATTCTCCTGAGTTTCCACTGAATTTAAAGGTCAATTCAATTTTTCAGATTTATTCACTTTCCAACTTATTCCAATGGTTTGAGTTGAATTTATCAAATTTATTCAATCGAATAAAAGAAAACGGAAAAGAAAAAGAAAAAATTCAAGAGCAAATTGTCTGTAAAATTATTCCATTGATTTCACTGATTAATCAGTTTCAAGGCGAATAATGAGCTTTAAGCTGCAATTGGAAAAGAAATTTAAAAGATTTAATTTTCTCAACCAAATTGTTGCGATTAAAGTTGAAAGTTGAATTACAATAAATGGAAAAGTTAATACTTGGAATTTACCATTTTCTCGAGTTTTTATTATTCATTTAGTCTGACATTTACAGCATGGGATGAAGTATTCAATTAACTCATGTTAACCATTGAACTTTGTCAACCTTTCCTCTCTTCATTCCAATAATCTTTTCATTTCCTTTTCATCTTGAACGTCTTTTACCTGAAAAAAGGTTAAATGCTGTTCAATATTTATCTAAATGATGAATGAGGTTGAAGATGGTGAAGCTGAAAAGATCACTCAAAGGATAAGATTGTTAGCCTTTTTTGTGAACCTCGTTTTTGGACCCTTAAGGTATCATTATTGTAAACATGATAAAGTTGAGCCATTGATTTGCATTGATTTGTATCGATCGGTTTTCCTTCCATTTATTACCTTTTTCCATCCCTTAACAACTTAATTTTGATGATGAACACAATTTGCTCCTTCAATTAAGTTAACTCGATTAATTTGATCACCTATTTACAATTGACTAAACAGGTTCAACCAGATCAGGAAGAGTTGACGGCAAATATGGAGGAACAAGCTGAAGATAAAGATTCAACTAAAAGTGAAGTCAAGTTGGGTCGATTGCAGTTTAAAATTGATTACGATTTCAGTCAAAGCAATGTAAGTATTGGAGTTAATGGTCAAAATTTTTTCAGTAAAACAACTTTTTTCCTTCCAGCTTTCAATAACTGTTATCCAAGCTGAAGAGCTTCCAGGTTTGGATTTGAGTGGAACCAGCGATCCTTATGTAAAGGTTAGTATTGAACAGATCAACCTTACCAAGTGTTCAACGAAAATGAATAAACTCATTCTTTTGCCCAAACTTGAACTTGTAAACCTCAATTCTCAGCCTTTCCAGAATTAACTTCGGAATTTAAATTCTTTTCTAGAGAATAGAAAATTCTTGTTAATATTTCAGCCAAAATCACAATCGAATATAAGTTTGAATCATTTTCCGAGAAAAAGTTGTTCATTCATTACCAATGTGTCTATGGATTTAATTTGGATTTTAATTTTTCCTTAAAATTCGTTTGACTTTGCAAAGTTTTGCTTCGGCTGAAAATATTAGACGATGATGTTCAATCAACTTAAACGCATGATGTTATTGTGTTCAATTCTTGGGCTTAAATCTTTCGAACGATTACAAAATTTTTGGATCAAAGATTTTGTCTTGCGAGTTTCGTTTTTTTCAACAAATTATTATAACTTTGTTTCAGAGCTAGAAATGGAGTTTGATAGACATTATTGAAAGGAGTTAAATAGCACTCCTGCCAATCATGAGTTCATTGCAACTGAACGGCTTGAATCAGGAAATGCTATTTTTTATCTTTACTATAAAAACTGTGCTTAAAGGTATTGAATGAGTTTAACCTTTTCTGTTGCTCAATATGAAGCTGATTATTGGAATCAGATAAACATTGAGATTTTGGAGTTATTTTTACTTGTTAACTGGGAGTCAATAAACTCCAAAGTATCAACTTTACATTGTCTTGATCAACATAACTGTCAATCTCGGTGTGTTTCCCTGAGCAGCATTTAATTGTCGAACAATAATAATTTCAATTTTTCTTCTTTTCCTTCTTCCAATCTCTCAACATCCAACTCCTCGGGATCAATTAATTGGCTCAACTGGATACAAATGTAAAAACCTTTTATTTCCCATTAAAGGTTTATCTTCTTCCGGATAAGAAGAAAAAATTTGAGACAAAAGTTCATCGGAAAACACTGAATCCAGTTTTCAATGAAACTTTCGTTTTTAAGGTAAATCATTAACTCAATTATCAAACAGCAAAACCAGTGAAAACCCAAATCGAGAAAAAATGCTAAACTAATCTCTTCTCTCTTCCAGGTAACTTATTCAGAGATAACAGTAAAAACTCTGGTATTTGCTGTCTATGATTTTGACAGGTAAAAACCATTTTCATTTTTGTCCTGAAATTCCCTGAAAAGAAAAATTCTGTTCCAAAAAGATTAATTTGCTAATTATTCAAATTGAACAACAAAAGTTTACAAAAGGTTAATTATAAATATTTCAAATGAATCAGTTTGGCGACAAAATTTTACATTTGATTTTGAATTTAAATCTTAATGTGATTCATTTGAATTGAATATTCTTTACTGAATTTACTGAATAAGGCGATTCCATTGTCATTTAGCTTTGAATTGTCATTTTTGAAATGAATTATTCTTTTGCCTTGAACAATGTTCAAAGTTCTATTTGTTAATAACTTGAATTTTTGTTGCATATTTTTCCAGGTTATCTGAAACCTTTTCATTATTCAATATCATCCTTGCTCAGATTACAAAAGTAACTTTTTCTGTACTTTTTCATCATTTTGAAGGTTCTGCTCGATCATGTTATACAACATGATAGAGTCGCAATTTCAACCTTAACCATGTTTCCGAGATTCTCGGATTCATTTACTCCAATTCATTGGATAAAGGTTGAGAAATTTATTTCCAGGAAAAAGCACAAATTTATTCACCAAATGAAATTAAATTATACATTTGAAATGTTGAAAGAAATTCTGATTGATTTTTTGGCGATAATTTTCTTCCATTTACCATGAGTTTACTCTTTCTGTTTACATCTTCACAAATTTTCAATTCCATTCAACAGTTGCTTTTAATTAAAATCAATTTCAAGTGTCAACATGAATAAGGTGCGTTCACAGGTAAATAGAGTTGAATTGAAATGGAAAAAGAAGAAAAGGAAAATTTTCTTAAACGCTTTTCAGGCAACCATCATATTTTTCAGGCAACATTCAGTTGATTGTCAAGTTCAATATTTCAAGTCCAAGCTGTTTTCCTGACTTTAATTTTGTTTTCCTTTTCTTTTCGATAAATCAATTGAAAAGTGTTCAATAAAGCCAAACAAAAGGTTTCCTTGTTTCAAGGAAAAAAAAGGTTAAACTGTTTCTGGTTTCAACTTGGAACATCTGAAAGGTTCCAACCTGCAACGATAAAGCTAATGATGATCGAGTTTGTCCCAAGTTTACTTTATTATTGAAAGACACATTTATTGTGAACTTGTTTCACTTTGAATATATTCAGTTTCATCCTTTTTTCCCGAGTTTCTGAGAACATTTTGATTTGCCTTTTCCATTTTCCCAGGTTGCTCACCTTACACCGAAACCCAGTCTAATCTCATGATAATTGTGAAACTTTTACATGTTCACAACTGGAAGGAAAAGGAAGAAAAACAAATTTCTTCTTTTCTCAAACAACTTGCAAATCTCTGAATAAATTGAAATTAAATTTTCATTTGTGCACAATTTCACCAAACTTATCAATCTTAATTTCTCGATTCACTTTCAATTGACCTTAAATTGTCTTTTAGAGACAAATTGTAATCAAATTTTTGTTTAAAATGTAAATTTCCAAGTTCGCTTGACTCAACAAGATTCAATCAGTTGGAGCTTTATAAAGACTCAATTACACAGTTTGCTTCAACAATCAATGTTGCCATTTCAATGTTTCTATCGATTATGGAAATAATGAAATGAGAAGAAAAAAAGTTTTCCAGAAAATGAAGTTTTCACATTTTGTCGTAAAAAATAAACTCTTTTTTCCCATTCTTGGGTTCATCTTGAATATCAAGATTAATTACTTTTTAATTACTCGTTCAATGTTTACATGTAATGTTCAGTTTTGGAGAAACCGTTTCCATGATAATAACATGGTGATGGCCATTGAACAGTAGAGTTGAATCAAGCTTGAAATTTGTTTCATCATTTGTAAACTTACAAGATTATTGTGATTAAACTCATGATAACAGTTGCGTGTCTTCATCAACTATCAGTTTTGCGCTAAAAATAAAACGATTTCATGTTTCATGGAAAATGTTTCTTATTTTCTACTTTAGATAAATTCAGGTGAATGTTTAGATTCAATTGAACCTTTTTCAATGTAATCTTTGCTCTTTCACGCATTTTTCAATTGAAATATTTTCAAAGAAAATGTTTCTTCAGAAAACTTGAAAGATGAAGGAATGAAATCTCAACACTTGAATAGCGTAATCGTGAGTTTAGATTAGTTTGAAGATTAGTTTGAACTTTCGATTTTCGATTTTGTAATTTAATTTTATTCAACTTTCATAACACCGAAAGGAATCGAAAAGGATTTTAAGAAAAAAAGTCTAGAATTTGGATCTTGAGTTGGTTAAGTTGGTTAAATAATGATTTTGTTCATTTAAATTGAAGCACTTTTATTGATGGGAATTGAAGAGGAAAGGAAACTCGAAAAATCATAATCAATCGAAACATCAATATCGATTAAAAATTTTCTTTTCCTTTTCTCTCTTTTTGTATTCTCCCAATGGGAATGTTTGGATATTTTTGAGGTCAAAGGAATCATTTCGAGTTTCATTGTTTTCTTTCTTCATGCAATATCTTGAAATGTCAAAATTATCAATCAAGTTTCCCTTGTAACTCTAAGGATATCAGTTCAACCTTTTAGGATCTTATTTGAGTCAATTTTTGAGAAGCTTTGAAATTGAATTTGAAATAGGAATAATAATATTTGGAAATAAATGTTCATGGAATTTGACAGAGAAAAAGATTTTGCTTAATTTTGCCATTTCCATGGTTATGTAGGAGTTGGTGATAGAAATTTAACAATTTTTGTCTTTTCCTAGATTCTCAAAACATGATCAAATTGGTGAAGTACGAATCCCATTGAATACAATTGATTTAGCTCAAACCATTGAGGAATGGCGTGACTTGACCAGTGTTGAAGGTGAACAAGGACAGGTAAGAATTGTAATTGAAGCAACTGAAAGTAGAAAGTTGAATGGAAGCAAATTTTTGAAAACCATTTCCATAAAGTGTTTCAGGAAAATAAATCAATATCAGTTGAAAGTTTAAATAAAAGATAACTTGGATTTAAGGTCAATCATAGGCAAGACTAATAAATGTCGAGTAAAAACAATATTAAAACAACATTGAACCAGGAATTTAGGACAAGGCCAGGTTAACTGGTAAAAATGGGTTCTTCCCTCTTCAACTGAAACTGACAGAAGGATTGCTCATTAAGGTTGACTGTTTAATGATGAAAATTGATCTAAATTGATTTTTTCAATTCTCGCTTCAAGCTCGGTGATATTTGCTTCTCACTTCGCTATGTTCCAACTGCTGGTAAGCTTACTGTGGTCATTTTGGAAGCTAAAAATCTCAAAAAAATGGACGTTGGTGGCCTTTCAGATCCTTATGTTAAAATTGCATTAATGATGAATGGTAACTACTCTTGCCTTGAAATCCTTTTTTCAATCCCTTTTCTGGTCTCTTCTTTAACAACCCAAAACCATACAAAATGGGTAAAACGAAAATCCTTAAATCTGTTTTCTCGTTTCTTTCTTTTCTCTCTTTTTTTGTCTTCCTCTTCATATCTGTCAACCTTCATCTTCATTGATCCTGATTCACTTTTTCTTGGATTCATCCTTTGGAACCATCTTTGCTTTCCAATTTAATCTCTAATTGGGTTGTAATTGAAAGGTAAACGGATTAAGAAGAAGAAAACTTCCATCAAAAAATGTACTCTCAATCCTTATTACAATGAATCGTTTACCTTTGAAGTTCCCTTTGAGCAAATACAAAAGGTTCAAACGGTAATTACAGTTGTCGATTATGATCGCATCGGAACTTCAGAGCCAATTGGAAAGGTAAGAAAAGCATTCATGAAATGGAGAACAAAATATTTACTCTTCTCTTTGATTATCTTTTAGGTTGTTCTAGGATGTAATGCCACTGGAACTGAGCTTCGTCATTGGATGGACATGTTGGCCTCACCTAGACGACCCATTGCTCAATGGCATTCCCTTAAAGATCCAGATGATGTTGGTGATAAAGGATAACCAGTTTGGTCAAACAAAATTGATCTTTTGATCGATACAGCAACCTAAAGAAAAGAAAGTGAAAAATTATTTAAACCCGAAAAACCTGGAAAAACCAAAAAACCCATTTTTCCTGACCATTGATATTTCTTGTATTTTACCTTTACCATGAGACACACATTTTATTTCTCGGGAATCTTTTTTATCATCTTTACCTTGAGTATGATTGTTATATGAAGAGCTAACAAAATAGTGAGCAAAAATTATCTTCCAAGAGTTGATTACTTCCATTGTTAAATGAGATATAATTTTCGTTACAATCAACCGTTGATTGAGTCAACATTATTATCATAGTCCATGTTGATGTCAATCTCAACTGAGAAATGTAAATTTTTTGGTTCAAGTTTCTCCTTATTTTGCAAGGTTTGTGTGTGTTTACACATTTATGAGTTAAACCATGTAATCAGTTGGATTAAATTGTTTTACATCAAAGACTCTTGGAATTGCCTTGAAATGAATCAACAATTTACTTGTTGACAAGAGTAAAACTGTTGATTGTTGATTATTTTTTAATAATTTAGTTAGTCCTTGTTTCTCCTTCCAATTGTAAACCAAACCTTTAAGCCTGTATTGTGTATTGATTTCATTTATGTATCGTCAGTACATATTACAATTAAAAAGCTAGTGATACGTGGACCAAATGGACCTTTAACCGAGAAGCCTGACCTTTCAAGGAATGGCCAGTGTTTGTAAGGGCACCAAACATGACCAAAAACAACATAAACTCAACATTGTCTTTTGTCTCTTTTGCACTTAATCATTACCTACTTTCATTACAAACCATGTATCACTATTAATTGTACCTTAATTTTAATTACCATTAATGGATTCCTTTACTTCTCCCATTATACAATAGATTATTTAATTTGTCGATCATTAACTTCTGTAATTTAGTGATCAGTGTAGTTTGAAACAAACATGTAGTATTTCAATTGTTCAACACAGAAAGGCAAAATTATATTGTCCATTAACCTGATGATAAAATTGTTAACTGAACTCCTTTTACTTTTCTTGTTATACATATCATTGGAATTATTTTAAAACATATTGTTTCCCTGCAACATGTCGATCAACTAAGCAATTAATCAATTTTGGTTCCTCTCTTTCAGCAACATTATTACAATTCAATGGATATTTAATGTAACTTGTGTTTCACTGTACTCCTTTTGACCATGGATCACAATTTTAACATTCATTGAAAAACCTTCAAATCCGTATTTAAAATTTACATCTCCCATTATCTGTCCTTCTGAGTTTGTTCAGAAATCATCTTGTATCCATTAAATCCTAGTATTGCGTCTATTCCGTGAATATTGTGCCATAAATGAATATATTGTGTAAATCATGAGAATGAAAAACTCTTTCATTTGTGGTAACATTGAATAAAGTTGAAAAATTTAAATAAACCATGAATAAATTCATTTTGTAACTGAGAAAATATGGATTTGGAACTGTGAGTTTCTCAATATTATCGACTTCACACAATGCTGTATAAGATTACTATATCATTAGAGCTAGGCGTATTTAGCATACAAGGCATCAATCGATCCAATTGTTTGTCCTTTTGATTTCAAATAGCAGACTCATGGTAAATTGAGCTCCAATAGCAAAAATAAATTATGTCCACGACTTGATAAACAAAAAATCACAATCCCTTGAATATCATGCGAATATTTTATCCTTTTTTTGATACTTGTTAATATAACGAGATAAATTTTACAGAGATTGCAAAAAATGTAAACAGCAGGTAAATTGACAGGAGGTTCATGTTAGAAATTTTAAGAACTATGGCTTTTTGTGTTCAATTCTTTCGACCTTCACTTCATCATCGATCAACTGGTAAATATAGATGACTACCGATGTTGATTGAATGTCCATTAGCACAAAAGACGGAATAACCTTACTATTAATAGAAAAAAGAGAAATTGTTAGAAAGTTGTTCGAAATCAGTTGAGATTCACAAGATTGAATTGTAAATAATACCTATCAAGAGGTCCATAAGCTCCGGTAGCTGATCCTGGGTTAATATAGAAACATCCATCTCTTTCATAGGCTTCAAATTTATGGGAATGTCCAGTTATGAGTATATCAACATCAAGTTGTCTTTGGAGAAGAGCTAAACTCTTTGCGTCTGACCAGGGTACTATTTGATGACCATGACAAAGTCCAATACGAAACTGTCCCACTGTGACAACTTTTTGCTCTGGATAATTTAAACCAATGTCATCAAAATCTCCTCTAACAACATGAACATCAGAAGCTAATGTTTTCAGGTAATCATATGTCTCTTTGGTGCACAAGTTACCGGTGCAAAGAATATGATGAATACGACCTGGAACCAGTAGTTTCTTAAATTTACTTGGAAGATTATGCGATCGGTATGGAATGTGAGTATCACCAAGAACTAGGACTAACTGAAAGACAAACGGTGTAGATAAACACAATGAGAAACATGATGTAAACAAGTATAAACATGAAAATGGTTAGGATAGCAGGTTGAAATTGACATCTTCAATTTAACAGATACATTTGAGAATGTTTGAAATAATGAAGATTGTTTTAGTGATTGTGAGTAGTTGATGGTGGACAAAACAATTAACTTACCATGATTAAAGTTGAATTAATTCAATAATTCGGAATAAAAAAGCACAATTGACAGATGAAAACGCCTCTTTACAAATAAAGATTGAACAACAAGAGTGAAGTGTGTTACAACAAAAAATTAGCTAGATGGCAGTACCCTATTAAGGGCTTGAGATTTCTTAAAATTAAAAATTGTGAGTTATTTGAATTAAAATGATCAAAAAATTAACTAATTTTAGTCTGATTTGATTGCAATTTTCCAATTCAAATCTCACCACATTCAAGAAACGCCATCTTTGTAATATGATTGACATCAAAAAGAAGATCGTCTTTCAAGCTTCAATCAAAACAATCTTATCTAAACAAGAGATGAATTCCTCCTCTTCGTTGGTTAATAAACTACATGTACCCTGATTACTCGATTTAATTAGCCCTAGTTTTCACCTTTTAAAATTTTATCCAAGGAACTGGGACAAGGAATCAAAAACAGCGTTAAGAGTATCGTGGAATCATTTGAAAAACTCATCAATTACGTTGTGCAGTTTGAGCTCATTTCCAGGTAAGTTAATTTTTTGATGTACCTTTCATTTTTTGTATCTCTTCTAATTTGATCATAAAAATAGATTAAACTTTATTGTAAATAATATTTATGTGATTGTTATTCACTCTGTGTGAAGGAAAAGATATCAAATTTACAATGATATTGAGTCTAGTCTACCTCATTCCACTCTTACATCATTTCATTTACCATTTTACCTTATCCATTAAAAAATACATTAAACTCTCTACCACTAATTGCCCGTTTAGTTCCCTTGTTTCAACTTTCACTCCACAAAAACCTGATCGTTACGTCACAATAACATAAAATAACATGTTGATAACATTTGGGTTTAATCCGTGAGGTAATTTTGTCGTCTCGGTATATTATGGTGTGTTTAAATCATTATCTTATCATTGAGAATTCTATGTTTAAAAATCTCTACCTGTCATCCCTCTATAAAAATTCTGCATCTTCAAATGACACCATTTACTTGTTAATCACTAGATTAGTCAAGTTTTTAATAATGTTTCGTTTTGTATTCTTTCTCGTAGTTGTAACCTTTTGTCTTCTTTATGGCATCTCACCGAGTTTTGATAATGCGAGAAAACGGGACAACTCAACACTTAGAGCTGCTGTTTACGAATATCGACGTTTCACCAACCTGACTGATAACCAACTTGGTGTCAAACAAGTTAATTTGAGAGCTTATGCTAAAGCAATACAAGTTGCCTCTCATAATGGAGCTGAAATAATAGTTTTCCCTGAGTCTGGTTTGTTTAGCGCCAGTAATCGTCACATCGCATCGCTAAATTATGAATACATTCCTGAAGCTAATGGATCAATTACTCCATGTATAGATTGGGATCAAGAATCGAGTCCATCATCATCTCAAATTGTTCACACTTTAAGTTGTTTGGCTCGTGGATTCAAAATTTATGTTGCTGCCATCTTAGGCGAAAAGATAGAATGTTCACTTTTAAGTGATCCCGATTGTCCAGAAGATGGGCATTACCTTTATAATACACAGATACTTTTCGACTCGACTGGTAAATTGATTGCTAAATATCACAAAACTCATCTCTTTTTTGAACCCGCCAATAACATTCCAAAGGATCCAGAGATTGTAACTGTTTCAACTCCACTGGGTAAATTTGGTTTCCTCATATGTTTTGATATTCATTTTGAGCAACCAGCGTTGAGTTTGATTTACGATGAAGCCGTTGACACTATTTTATTTGGTGCTCATTGGATAGATGAACTTCCATTTTTAAATGCTCACCGAGTACAATCTGGTTTCACAATTGAACATAATGTTAATCTGTTAGCTGCTGGGGTAAATGACTTGGTTAATGGAGCTCTAGGATCAGGAATTTATGTTGCTGGTGAAGGCCCGATTGTTTACACTGCCGATGTAAAAAAAAGTGGATCCAGATTATTGATTGCTGATATTCCAAAGTCACGGAAAACCCCAAATGAAGAAGATTCTGAAACTGAAAGCAGATTTATCAAAGTTATTGAACATTTAGATGAACCTGATGAAGCTTCAACTTACGTACCTTGGGAATTGGCGCTTGATATATTCAATCACACGGTACTAACTCATCAATCTGATAATATTGTTTCTTGCACTGAAACAGTTTGCTGTGAATTGAGTTATTCGTTAACAAAACCCAGTTTTACTTCAACTTATTATCTATTGGCCAAAAGATGGATTCGACCAACTACCAAAATTTGCGAGCAATTTTGTGGTCTAGTCGCTTACAATCAAACAGATTATGCTTATACGACAACCGATCAATTTAGTTATGTCAAATTGACCGGTACCTTTGCTGGCAATCTTAGCATTCCAAGTGTGGTAACCAATAATTTTGAATTGATTGCTAAATCAAAATGGAATTATGTTCACAAAGATAATGTCGCGTCAATTTCATTTGAAAAATTAGATCAACCTCTTGTTGGAGTTACACTTTACAGCCGAAATGAAAAAGATGATCAACAATTATAAAACCAAATTAAAAAGGTTACCAATACGCTGAGCGGGATTCATTTATGTTATGAAAAATTTTATTTTTTGCATTGTATAGTAAATTAATCATGACTGCACTTTTAACTTAGATTAAAAATGTTTATTTGGGGCTCATCTGACTGTTGACTTTCTTGAGCTAAAAATCAAGCAGAATGTGATTAATAGATATTTAGGATTATGCAAATCTCAATTGGATTAAATTATGCAACTTTGATTTTCCGAACTTTTCCACAAATGAATTTTGAAATAACCGCGGTTGCATGGTTACCGGTTCATCCAATGAAACTTGTTAACGTGTAAACAAACCATAATCCTCTCTGTGTGACATGATGATAAAACGATTTAGTTAATCATTTTAGTTGATTTAGTAGTTTACCTTTTTTATTTGCTAACTCTTCTTTTGCTAGCTGTGTTATTTAGTAAAATTGTCTCATCAATGAAACATAATGAATCATGTTTCAAAAGAAGGCTTACGTCGACATAAATCTACATTTGACAAAAAATCTGACCCTAGGTTGATAAATGCAGAGAAGGGTGATTCCGATCACAAATCGATGTCCTTCAATACATCTTTATCCGGTGATTATGGGTCTATTTTCATTCTCCTTGTACTCTACATCCTACAAGGAATACCATTAGGTCTTGCTGGAAGTATTCCGCTTCTTTTACAGAATTACAAAGTCTCATATTCTCAGCAAGCTATTTTTAGTCTATGTACATGGCCTTTCAGGTAAGTTTCTTCTTCTATTTACATTCTGTTTGAATCATTTTTGTGATATTTAGTGTTTAAATATCTTTCTCTGATCTTAATTGTTCAGTTTGAAACTATTATGGGCTCCATTGGTTGATTCTATGTATAACAAGCGATTTGGTCGACGAAAATCATGGCTCATACCAACCCAGTATCTTATTGGATTAACTCTTTTTTTACTTTCATATAAAATTGATGATCTACTTGGTCCTCTGCCAAAAGATCAAACTGGTCAATCAACGCCAGAATCGACCATCATTCCAGGATCTCCTCATGTATATATTCTTGCATGTGTATTCTTTTTCCTCAATTTCCTTTGTGCAACGCAAGACATTGCTGTTGATGGATGGGCTTTAACCATGTTATCTAAGAGAAATGTTGTCTATGGATCAACATGTAATACTGTTGGTCAAACAATCGGTTTCTCTCTTGGCTACCTCGTTTTTCTTGGTCTAGAATCTCCTGAAGTATGTAACAAATATTTGCGAAGTATTCCATCGGACACTGGGATGATAACTCTCTCAGGTTAGTAATAACTTTATTCATTTTCCATCCATTCACTATTTTAACATGAAAACTTTATTTTTATATCTTCTTTAGGTTTTCTATATTTTTGGTCTATTATTTTCCTTATAACTACTAGCTTGGTATGGTTATTTAAGAGCGAAAAAATGGAAAAAAGCAAGCAAGCTACAGAGGAAACTGTCTTAGGAACTTATCTCATGCTTCTTAAAATTCTAAAACTTAAAAGTATTCGATCTTTTGCTATCATTTTGTTGACCTGCAAACTTGCCTTTGCTATCACTGACTCCGGAACCCCATTAAAGCTTACTGAAGCTGGTATATCTAAAGAAACTTTAGCCTTTCTCAGTGTTCCATTGATACCCTTGCAGATAATTTTACCTTGGTATCTGAGTAAATACACAAAAGGTCCAAAACCTTTAAAAATATTCATCAAGTCATACCCCTACAGGTGAGTAAATAATCTTGTTTCATGAAAATGATTCATCGATTAATCTTATTATTTTATAACCATTGATTTATTTTTTCTTTCTCAGACTAATTTGTGGTATTATTAGCGCACTTTTATTGTATTGGACCAAACAAGTTCATGATCCAGTTACTAAATCATTTCCTAGTTATTATTATGTTATAGTTCTTGTTGCTTCTGGTCTTCATCAAGTCACCATTTACTGTTGTTATGTAGCGCTTTTATCTTTCCACTCTCGAATCAGTGATCCTTCTATCGGTGGAACATATATGACACTTTTGAATACAATCACCAACTTGGGAGGTAATTGGCCCTCATTCATCAGTTTATGGCTACTCGACTATTCAACTATTAAAAGTTGCTCTGTTGATGGATTTTCCTGCAACGGTAAAGACGCAGCATCATCTTGTGCAGCAGCCGGAGGACAATGTGTCACCATTGTCGATGGATATTACATCGAAGTCATTATACTAACTCTAATTGGTTTCGTTTGGCTAAAATGGGCAAGAAAAAGAATAGAGAGAATCGAATCATTACCAGCATATAATTGGAGGTGTACATAGAGTTTAATAAAATTAGCTAGAAAGGAATAAATAAATGAATAAATTAAATCTAATCACATTTAATTGGATATTTGAAAATAAATATGTTATAATTATCCCAACCATTGAGAATGGACTATCAAGCACAACGATAATTCGAGTCAATTTCACAAAATACGAAATTTAATCTGAACATATATTTATTTGACTGAAACGAAATCAATTTCTAATTATTTCAAATTTATAAATTTCATTACTATATCAATCGATGTAATCTTAGTCCATTTATAATACCAAAACTAAACTGTCCACCGAGTGCAAACAAAAAACTTTTCATTAAATTATCACAAAAATAAATTGAAATTTTACCATAATTATTGTTGATATTATTAACTCCCTTAATCGGAATGGTCAAAAATAATGGCACTGAAACTTGGGTATTGATTGAGAGTAAATAAACTGTTATCAAGCACAGTAAATATTTCCTTGTCATCTTTATCTGTTCAACATGTCAACATGAAGTCATTTTTTATATTCACCCAAAAAGCTATGGGAAAATGTGCATCAAAAAAGGATGGTTCCTACTGGTATTACATGTTTTAACAATTACGGAGGAGTTGAGGTGGAGAAAGTTCAAGCTTATGAGCAAAGTAAATCAAGGAAAGGATAAAGATGCACTTGATTTTGCTTTACTGCCAACATTTACAAGCATGCAATATGGACCAGTCCCATGGACATTAATGCCTTTTTCATCGGTCTCTTGGTCTAACCTTTTCAACTTGATCCAGATCATATTGACTGTAAAAAAAGCGAAAGGAAAGAAGATTAAGAGAAAATAAAAAGACAAAATCTTGGCAAATCCTTACAAGATTTAAAAGTTACACAGGGATTGCACATTGAAACACTAACCAGCTTCGATAATCCAAATTACAACAAAAAGAAAGTCCAATGAAAATCAATGAAAAGCTTCAATAAGTCACAGAAACATTGGCGATTATGGAGAGTTAAAAAATAAGAAGAGAAAGGACAATTTGATGAAAAGCAACAATATATTTGATATACAAAAAAAGCAAAGGGAGTGAATTAAAAATTGAGATTCCCTGTTGTGTGTTGAAGTGTTAATTGTGTTCGTTTGACGATTGACTGATCCAGTTTATCTGTAATAGACATGAAGCAAGAGGAAGGAGAAAAAGTAAAAGATTGAAAGACAACAACATTGAAGACAATCGGAAGACAACTCTAGCTTCATCTTCAACATGGGAAGTCCATTTAAAGCATATGGAAATATTCTCATTCCGTATATTTTCATGAAAGAAAGGAAGAGAAAAGAGAAAAAAAATCTAAACTTTTTTTTCTCCATATTACAAATTCCTTTTCATCATCTTCAGGATACTTGAAGATACCTTTAGTGGCACTAATCTGACTGCTGTTTAGAGAGGTGAAAAAGGTGTTTGTTTGCCTTTGATCATTTCTCCTCCTTCTCTGTCCTCTTCCTCCTCCCTTTTGCCCACTTATCCCACTATAAATTGTAAATAATCATTTTCATCCAACAAAACATAATCCAAAGCCAATGTAAAAACGCTAAAAGAAACGCTGAAAACATTCAACTCAGACGCACAGGGAAGCAAGAAGAGACACAAAAAAAGATTGGTCATCATCTTCATTATCATCCTAATAATCGCTCTTTTAGCCTCTCTTCTTGGTCTTCCACTCCAATGGTCTTTGTCAACATGACTACCTAATAATCAAAAAGGACCCCCTGCTTCATTTAAATTGAACAATTTGTTGGGTTAAAATGTCACTCAAGTTGATTCACAATTGCATCTGATTTTTTTTCAATTTCAACTTTTTTTCTTTTCTCCATTTTCTGATCAATTTAACTTTTAATTGTTGGTATAATTGATTTTCACCATTCACTGTTTGCCTTTAACTTTTCCTGTTTCACAGCAAAGGTTGGCAAAACAGTGCAGGCCATTTAAAGTCCAATTGTGGTTGACAAGAGAGATCCTGAAAAGGCTATCTTCACACCTCACTCTATATGATGAATGATGGAAGACGAGGAAAAGATGATGAAAAAGGAGCAAAAGTGTCAACAAGTGTCTCACTTCCCATGGAATGTATTGGTGAAGATAAAGATGATGATAGGAGAGTGAGTGATGATATTTTGACAAATTCGAGTTCATCTTGATTTGACTTTAATTCACTTTTGCGCTCCATTTGATCCTGTTGATTCGATATTCAACCTCCAATGGATATTGAACTTCTTAAAGCTAATCTAACTTCAACTAGTCACACCAACAGCAATATCAACAACAGTAATCTCACTTTATCCAATTCATCAAGTCACAGTTCAGTTTGTTTAATTTGCGGTGATCGAGCTTCAGGTCGTCATTATGGTGTACCAAGTTGTGATGGTTGTCGGTGAGTAACTTTTGCACCTTAATTGTTGTCAAATCCTTTCTTAATTCAATTGTCTTCTCAGAGGTTTCTTTAAAAGAAGTGTTCGCCGTGATTTAGTTTATAAATGTAAAGATCGTGGACTTTGTGTAATAGATGTTGCCCGGCGAAATCAATGTCAATATTGTCGATTCAAAAAATGTCTCCAAGTTAACATGAGGCGAGAAGGTAAGTCAATGATCAACTAATTGTTTCTTTAATCAACCCAAATTTACTGTGAAAGTTGAAAGCTTTAAGAAAAGTAGAAAAGACAAAAATCGAAACTCTGGAAATATTTAAGATCAACTTTTAAGTAAACCTTTCAAAGACTAATGGCAATGAATATTCAATCATTTGTGTTTAATTGTATAACGATTGGTTTAAATCAACAGCTTTTGCACCTCAAACTTGAGTCTTATTTTTTGGATTTTGAATGGACTTTAATAGCATTAACTTTGTGGTTGTAAAAGGTTCACAAGTGATTAAGTAATTGTAAACATGTCAATCCAATGGCTTTCAATACTTGTAAATTTGCTTGAAAATGAAACACATTTCCGTACTTCTTATTTTCTGGTCTTGTTCAAAACACCTTTTAGGTTATTTCAACCTGTCAACATTTACTTTAATAATTGTTAAATATTCTGATGGTAACTTTTTTTTCTCTTGTTCAATTACTAAGCTGTTCAACATGAGAGGATAAATTGCAATGTAAATGGTAAAAATGATTGTAAACCAAACCATCGAAATGATTGGAAAAGCAATCGACTTCAAACAATAACAGCTACAACCACAACTAGCAACACTAGTTCAGTGGGAACGTCAGTATCAACCATTTCCACACCAACCTTTTCATCTGGTTCACCCTTGATTGGCTCATCTTTATCCTCTTCATCATCTTCACCCATCTCTTCGGGTCACCATCATTTGTCCCTGCTTTCAACCATTTCCGGAAACTCTTTAGCTTATGGTTTAGGATCATCAACTCATCATCAGTCACCAAATTTGACCAACAATTTGTCAACAACTTGTTCAACTTTTGGATCCACTGAAAAGTCAACACCATTGGGTGAAACACTTATAACTTCATCTTCAACTCATCCAGTTAACCTTCAATCTTCACCGTCATCTTCACCTCCAACCTCATCAGCATCCATCATTAATCGCTCAGGTACAATCATCTTTCCCTCTTTAACTGAACCAACTCTCAACCTGCACCAGCCCTGGTCACAATGGTTCCTGCCAGTTTCACCTCATCCAAATTTATCTCAACCGTGCTATTCACCACTCAGCCCAACACCAATCACAGGAATCATATTTACGACTCGTAAGTAAATTTAACCAGTTATTAATTTTAATAAATTGTTCATTATAATCGATAAAGTAGCCCAAAACAAAAGATCTCTTGTCTAATTTAGAAACTTTAATGCTAACGATCAACTTACAGAGTTGATTTAATTTAATCGATTGCTTCTACATGATTTAGGTTAAAATAACTATCTATTAATACGAGTTGTTGCTAAAAAGACACAATAAACACATTTGCAACGTTTTTGCACAAGTTTACACAAATGCTGCAAAACAAATGGCCAAAAACGGGTACAAATTGCTTGATTTTAAATTTAATTTGTGCCAGTTTGTAAGGAAATAAAATTTGAGTCCAGTAGTGCTTTTGAAAAGTTTCTCCGACCAACAGTTTTCGAAAAAAGTACGTCCAACGTTGAAACTTCGATCGGCTTTTGTTCGTTTATGGAAGCAGATTTTTGTTAGAGACTTACTTCACATATGTAATTTTTGATTGTCTACCAGATAATGAATTTATTTTGTGGAATAAAACTTTCCATTTTTCGTAAAACAGATAAGTTCGATTTTAATCTAAACCGACTTTTTTCTGCGCCCGAAACACTTAGAGAGCTGAAACTTATTGTTAGTGGATAAAAATTGTAGCTACACATTGACATTTATGTTATTTTTTCGAGACATCAATAACTCTCATGATTTTGGCCCTTTTGCATTATAACTTCGAACTTAAATATTTCGAGAATGGTCGCACCTACAATCAACATTCACTGACCAAATATTAGATTTTGTCATGAGCTATTATATGATATGACGGAATACTGAATATAACTTGAGTTATTTCATTTAATGAGATTTGTGTTTGAACAAACATTTAACTTCATAAATAAAGTATCAAGACTAACAACATAAGTAATAAAATGCTATAACTTTCATTGTAGGATCTCGAATAATTTTATAATGCAATATATTATGCCCTATGACAAGATCAAATGATTGGTCAATGAGAATTAATTGTAAAAGCCATCATTCTCGAAATATTGACGTTCGAAGTTATTATGTAAAAGGGCCAAAATCAAGAGAATTGTCGATCTCTCGAAAAAATGATTCAATTGTCAATGTGTAGCTACAATTTTTATCCACTAACAATAAGTTTCAGCTCTCTAAGTGTTTCGGGCGCAGAAAAAAGTCGGTTTAGATTAAAATCGAACTTATCTGTTTTACGAAAAATGGAAAGTTTTATTCCACAAAATAAATTCATTATCTGGTAGACAATCAAAAATTACATATGTGAAGTAAGTCTCTAACAAAAATCTGCTTCCATAAACGAACAAAAGCCGATCGAAGTTTCAACGTTGGACGTACTTTTCTCGAAAACTGTTGGTCGGAGAAACTTTTCAACAGCACTAATGGACTCAGATTTTATTTCCCTTCAAACTGGCACAAACCAAATTTAAAATCAAGCAATTTTCACCCGTTTTTGGCCGTTTGTTTTGCAGCATTTGTATAAACATGTGCAAAAACGTTGCAAATGTGTTTATTGTTTCTTCTAAGTAACAAATCTTATTAATAGACAGAAATCAAATGCTTAAATCATAAAGGAACAATTAACTGAATGAAATTAACTCTGCAAGTTGATCGTTGGCATTAAAAAAGATCACTCGACGGTCATAATTCAGCAGCATAGTTTATTTACTCGATTAATACTAACAACATACTTGTAAGATTATTTAGTTGCGATTTCAGTATTCTACTATGAACATTCATGATTCAATCCACGATAATTTTAACTTCATTTATGACCCTATTTTTCAATGTTAATGGTCTAAAATACGGCAGTCAACTGATTAATAAAGAATTCTTAATTTACGATTTTCTATTCGAATTAGCATATCAAAGAGAGGTAACAATTGCGCTGGCACTTGAAATCTTTATTAATACACTTAGATGATCGATATTTATCATTCATATGAATACTTTTGCACCAAGCATTACTTCTTCAAATCTCATTTCTAAAATTTTCTGTAATTTAAAGCCAGCAATTCAAAATTGAATGAATATTTATAATATTATACAAAGTGAATGCACTATTTGCCTCAAAACTGTCTCCTTGCCAAAAGAAACAATTTTTTGATAAAAACTGGTAAATTTTGCCATCAAGTCGACCTGGGAAGTTCAATTTTCATAGTTTTCAGCTTAAATCTTCCCTTTTGACTTTAACATAGATTTCCATGATAAATCAGACAAAATTCATAAATAAAATAATTGAAACAACATTTGATTTTAACATATTTGTTTTATTAAAAATTAAAAGATCGCATTTACATCGAAATTACAAAACTAATTTTGTCTTTTACATCTCTTATTTTTCATTGATTAGTTAATTGGGCCTTAAGTATTCCTGCTTTTCAATCATTACGAAGATCCGATCAACAAATACTTTTAGATGAAACATTGATTGACTTGATCCTTTTGACTGGATTACAATATCGGGGAAGTTCCAGCACAGAATTAACGGCCTTATTAACGCAACATAACCATTTCAATCTAACTGACTCCTGGAGGATAAAAGATGTTGCTGATTACATTGAGTCAATCAACTTGGATCACATTGAATACACTTGTTTAAAAGCCCTTCTACTTTTCAGACCAGGTAAGGGAATGGAGGCCTAATAGAGAAAGCAAAGAACAAAAGTCACATCAAATGTTCCTTTAAAACACCAGAAATTTAACCTGAAAATAAACAATTTTCAAGTGTACATCAAATCAAGTTGAACAATATTCAACTAACAAGGAATAGAAGTAAATTAATTAGCATAAATTGATAAATCTTTCAACATGAAAATGGTGTAAATTAATCAGATTGGTTGAATGTAAAAAGTATAATTCAATTTGCCATTTCTTTTCAATACACTTGACATTGACTTGATTCGGCCTTTATTTTCACTTTACTTTCACTTGATTTTCAGTTGATCTAATTGTCTGCCTTTTCCTTTCCTATTTAGAGTTAACCGGATTGACTGATATAAATCAAATTGCATCGATACAAGATCAAGCTCAATTGTTACTTTATCAACACACAACAAGCTCATCATCAACATCTATTCATAATAATGGTCATCATAATCACTCTCATTCACTGGTTACTTCATGTCCACTTCGTTTTGGTCGACTATTGCTTTTACTTTCAGCTATTAAGCGAATGAATAAGCATCATTTTACCTCCATTCAGTCAACCTTATTCAATCCTCTTATTCAATGATCAATTTGATTAACTTGGAAAGATGAATCAAGAATGATTCCCTTTTAAAAATGAAATAACCAAAGCAAACCAAGAAAATAGCAAATCAGTAAATATCTTTACTCGATTCATTCATTTTCTTGTCTCCGCCAAATCAACGGTAAATATCAAGTGATTCAATGAGAAGTCAGTAATTAATCTTCAATTGAACTGTCAATTACATTCAGTTTACATTTTATTGATTCATTTTAATCACAGCTACATTAACATGATCTTTGCTCCTTTCCATAATCAATAATCTTAATATCTACTCTTAAACTAGTCATTTACAAGATTGTAGACTTAAGCAAATTAATTGTTAATCTTTAATCAACTCGAGAAAAGCTCAACTATTCAGAAAAGGTTTACCATTATTGTTGTACTCAATTTACTGGATCTCATTTACATCAAATCCAATTCAAATAACAATAATTTGGTTGGAAAATGTTGTTTGAAAACAAATTGTCCAATATGAAAAGGACAAATCATTTTGTACAAAATTAATCAATTGTAAACCCACAATCAAACACTTTCAACCTTATTGTTAAATGAACTAATTGACAACGTTTCATCAATAAGAAAACAATTACGTGTAATAAGAGATTCAATTTGAAACAAAATTGTCAATTAATTAGTTAACAAAGGTGAATCATAAGAGGCACTCTTGTAATAATTAGATATTGAATGTTGGATAAGACGAAAGCACTTGATATTAAGCTCGTAATACAAATAATTGCCATTCAACAAATCCATCAAAATCAAAAATCTTTTCCTTAAAAGTGGAAACATTAGAGTTGAATTTGATTCTAAAATTGATCGACTAATCGTCTAAAGCCATTCAATGTATCCATTTAAAAATATTGGCAACATCTTTGATTGACCAGTAATTGTAATTTGATTTTACATTCCATTGATTTTGATTGTTCATCGAGTTTGACTCCATCTGGTTAATCTTTCGATAAATCTGAAAAGGAAATAAAAAAGATATTAAAATGCTTGTTTATCAATGTTCATTTTTTGATGCTATTGAAAGGCTGAAATTGATATTATTTTTGAAATGACCGAGACCGGAAAATAAGTTGATTGTAAGACAATTTAAATTTCGTATTTTTTCTTTGAAAAATGATGAGAATCACTTTTAATTAAGTTGATATAGTTTACATTTATGCAAGAGGCACCAATTGTTTTTTTAGCATTTTTTTATGTTTTAATTTTGTGAGAAAAAAAGAAAAGAGATTTTTGTTTTTTTACTCTTTAAATGTGTTGTCCGTAAAGATTGGTAAGATTACAATCACTTTAAATTAGGTTAAATTAATTAAGATGAAAGTGGCTAATATCCAGACCAGGTGAGGAGCCTGGTGGACCATGATGATATCTCATTTGAGGGTGCAGATATGGAGGTGCACCATACGGATGTCCCATAACTGCTGGGTTCATGGCTCCTGGCCGGAAGATGGGATGGTTTGGGTCAAAGGGCATGTGAGTAGCAAATGAGGCATGTGCTGAAGGATGTTGAAGGTATGCAGATGAAAGATAATAACTACTTGTTGGAGGTGGAGGAGGCCCAGTTGTTTCCATGGTGGGTTTAACACCTTCATTTTTACTATGTTTATTTTTATCTTTATCATCATTGTTTGACTTATCTTTTTTGGAAGATGAGGAAGATGAGGAACTAAAAGATGAATTTGATGAATGATGATGGGCTGCATTTTTGGGACTAGATATTGATGAAGAACTTGCGTTTGAAATAGAAGACATCACAGAATTACTGGCGACAGACATTGGAATTTTACTGCCTTGCGGTATATTCAAAATGGAGGATGAGGAAGAGGAAGAGGATTTCATTGAATCCATTTTATTATCACGATGCAAATGAGAATCATCCCGTTTTAATGGTGGAGGTCCACTTGGATGAGGTATTGAAAGAGACGGAACTCTAGGTGAAGAGTCTTCATTTTTAGAATGGTCGACCACATAAAATCTTTTCATGTCGTCTTTTGATTTATCATAAATTGAATCATAAAGTGAGTTGGGATAATTAGCTGGGGAAACCATCATTGAAGGTCCAGCTAAAGGTCCACCTTTATTTTTAATTAGTTGAGGTTCGACTGTTATATCATGATTATCTTTCAAGATTCCTCGATTATCTAAGTCCATTTTATCTTTCGATGGGATATTGGTTATTAACATGGCATCCACTTTTGATGTTGGAGTTATCCTGAGATCGCCTTGAGGTGCAAGACTTGATGATTTAGTTGCTAAATCAAGGCCCATACATGCAGGAGACTGTCTTTTGTCATTAGAAGCTAACTGTGATTGCTCCTTCAGATCACCCTTATCAGACATTTTTAAATGTTGCTCCTTATACATTCGCTCATGTTCAGCTGAAACCCTTTCATACTGGTGTTTATAATGAGGATCATTGGCAAGTAAATGCATTTGGTAAGCTGGATCAAGTGAATATCCTGGATATCCTGGCATAAATCCATAAGGATAGGGAAGAGATCCTTGCAATGGTGAACCATATTCCGGACCAGTGGGAGGATTAGTGTTAGAAAGGGTTGAAGATGGTCCATGATTATTGGGTGGGGTTGAAGATGAAGTTTGATTACGGGAGGAACATTTATCATCTCTCTTTTTATCATTTGAATCGATAATTTCTCTAGGTCTACGAGGATCTGTAGGACCAGATGATCGTGAAGATTCATTTTTCTTGCTATCAGATGAGTTGACACTTTGATTTTGCTGAGTTGATGTTGACGAGCTCGATGTCGATTGTTGCTTTTGTTGATGCTGATGTTGCTGATGTGGCTGGTGATGTTGTTGTTGCTGCTGTTGCTGCTGGTGATGCTGATGCTGTTGCTGTTGTTGTTGGTGCTGATGTTGATGTTGTGGTTGTGGCTGTGTTTGTAGCTGGGGTTGAGGTTGTGGTTGTGGTTGCGTCCGCGATGACGGTTGCGGTAATTGAGGCTGAGGTTGATGTGATTGCGATTGGGGTTGCTGTTGTGATTGGTGCTGTGATGTTTGCTGCTGATTTACAATGCTTGGAGGAGATGAGTTACGAGTCGATTGTTGAGAAGATTGCTGTTGAACAGAGGACTGAGAAGGTAACAATGATGAAGATGGTTGAGAAGATAACGATGCAGAAGATGATTGTGACGATGATGAAGACAGAGATGATTTGGATGACGACACTGTCGATGGTTGATTTGATGAAGATTGTGATTGGGGTGACGGATCTTGATTTTGTTTGTCTCTGAAATTGGAAAATGAGAAAAAAAGGAAATTAGAATGAATTTAAGGTGACAATCAGTTTCAAAATCCATCAACTAAAGATAAAAATAAATCTTTTCTTTGAAGATGGCGAATTTTGAATAGAAATCGAACAGTTCATTCATTTTTGAGTTGCAAGTAACTTACGAGTATGGCTGAGGGCTGGCAGTTTTATCCCCAGAGGTTGCTCCAACTGGAAGAATGTAAGGTGTTTGGTTGAAAAAAGGGTAGATGCCAAAATTATTAGAAGCTGATTTAGAAGAAGCATCAGAACTGGTTGAGGTAGCTGGAACTACAGGTTCTTCAGATTTTCCACTGGGTTTGAGTTCAGTTTCGGTATCATTGGCATCAGAAATATCTGAATAGGCTGGGCTTTGAACATTTTCAATATTACACGCGTCAGAATTTGCATTATCTACAGGTGATCCACAAGAATTTCCTGATGGCGAAGTATCCATAGGTACTTGATCACTAGGTGTTTGACCAGTGCAATCAGAGCTGGTTGATGTATCCATGGGATAACCAACTACCTTTAATTTGATCCCAGGCACTGAAAAGAAAAAAACTTAGATCAGTAAAGTACAATTCTTTTAACACGAAAAAAAATCCATTGATGGAACTTATGGATTAAATTGATGGATTTCAATCTCATAAGTAAGAGAAATGGTTAGGGCATCAAAAAGAGTATTTTAACAAAATTCCATAAAAAATACACTGAAATTAAAATTCATCGATACTTTTTGGTACTTTCAAATAAAAGATTCTGGACGCTTTTCTTAAAAAACGCTTGCCATAATATGCATGCGTGGATGGATTCAGACAAAGCGTTTTCAGTATTTTGAAACACTCCAAGTGTAAACATTTCTGTTAACAAGATTTTTTTTCAGATATAAATGTTGATCTAATTAGTAATTTGCCTAGTGATTGAAATCTTTTTTTTAAACGGAGATGTCATCGATAGAAGCAAAGTAGATACTTATAATTGAAAGAGATGAATCAAATTGATTAGAATTGACTGAAAAAAAGATTCATGAAATTATCCTTTGTTTTAAAGGAAAAATTACTGATTATAGCTGAACAATCTTTGAAATTGCAATAACTGATATCTCAAATTGATTTAAAGTGATTGGCGTGCTAATTACAAAACCAGTAAAAATAGAAGGTTTCGAAAAGAGATCAACATTGGATTGTATAAAATGTGGTTTAAAAAGTGTTTCTTCCTTATTGTATGCTGCAATTGCCTAAAAAGTATCCTTATACACATCTACAGATTTGTCATCTCACAAGCCTTGTTATACAAGCCTTGTAAGTAGACAATGATAATCTTGAGAGGAACAACCAAAATGTTGAAATAACCTAAAATTAAGAAGCCCGCTAGATGGCGTATAAATCAAACTGTTCAAAGTCATTTTGGTTGCTATTTAATTTTAATTTACTTTCTTGTTTATTATTTGCATTTTAAATCACTCTTGAACACTTCATGCACCTGGTGATTTCATCAGATGGTTTTATTTTCATTTAATGTGGAGAAAACAATCAAAGTTAGTCATTGTCTTTCAATGTTCTATTTCAGAATATTTAAATCACATTTCTTTTAAAGATCTGTAGTCAAACAAAAACCAAGAATTTGAAAATCAAAAAAAGAAACTCATTGCAACCAATTAAATTCAGCCAAAACTAACTCTTTCATTTTTCTCTCCCTTCTCAATCTGAAAGAATAGCCCACACACCTTCATGAAGACCTGGACCTCACCTAGTCAATCAAGTTGTTATAACTAGACAAACTCATACCGAGGTTTTATATCAAATCTTGAATTTCCCTAATAATCTAATCTAAAAATGTAAATCTTTCAAGATTCAATCTGGATAATATTAAGTGGAACCATTTGGGTTTAGTGACATTCTTATCCCTGCAATGAAATAATTTCACTAGACCAACACATTGTCATTGATCATTATTAATTAAGAGTCTGATTCAACATATTGAAAATTAATCTGAGCTACTATTTCTGGTAAAAATGTCAACGAAATGTTTTAGAACCAAAAATCGAAAAACATGCACAATTCTAAGCCCAAGGTCACACACAAATTGAAGATAAACTCTCTGATTAAGAAAATAAATGAATCCCTTGCCACCAAAAAAAAGAATTTGGAGTTTCTAAGATTGCCCTCTAAAGAGTCTTGATCTGATTACTAATTGGATTTTGACCACTAATCCTTTGGGTATTTAAAAATTAAATAATTAGACAATAGTAAAGATAGGTTACCTCCTTCAGAAGAGCCTTCTGGATGCTTGGATTTTTTATCCTTATCCCTGTCCCGCTCCCGATCTTTATCCTTTTTCTTCTTTTTATGCTTTGATTTTTTTCTTTTAGCATTATCAGATTGAGAATTTGCAAAGTCCACTGAAATTGGTTTACTTGGCAAAGGCTTCAACGGACCAGAACTTGATAAATTACCTATTGAGAGAAAGTGTTTTAGGTTAGTAAAATAATCAATTTTTGTTAAGCCAAGATAAAAATAGTTAATCCAATGTGTTTTGAATGTACCTTGCGAACCCGAAGATGGGACTAGGAATGTGGCACTAGGAGTACTACTAGTATTATGAGACGATGTAGAAGTTGCAAGTCCAGATGAAATACTGTTGCTTGTTGTCACCGCAGTGGATCCATGGAAAGGAGAAGTGGGTGAATATCTAGAATCCATTGGAGTATCATTTAAATCGTCACTCATAGGTGATCCAGCTGAAGAATTGGCAGTTTTAGGATCACAGATAGGCTGAAAAGTAACCGATGACTCTTGGTTAACACTATCTGAATTATTATTCCGATTTGCTTCGCTAGGGTCACTGGCACTCTCACTATTAGTTCCACTTTTGGGTGTATTTTTTGAAGATGGACTAGGTGGTACACTTGAAGCTTCAGTGGTAGCTTCCTCACTATCCGAAGGCAAAACAGAATCTTTATTTGGTTCCAAATCGGTCGAATCAGTTTCAGTTTTACTTGTTGGCTCACTTAAACCACTATGGGCACGGGTTTGATGATATTTTAATCCATTGATATGCTTATACTTTTTACTACAATTAGGCTCCGGACACTCAATTAGAGCCAGCGAGGGTGGTGCATGCATTGTTGGAGTTGTTGGTTCACTTGAGTACACATTGGGTGTTGGAGTATTCCGAGATTGTGAACGGTTACGTTTACCATTTTTAGCTGATTCTGGAACTGGACTTAGTTCCAGATCAGGACGAGATTTACGCTTGCCATTGACACTGGCAGGCGCTTCACATTTCACTGGACTTGCGGGTACAGTAAAACTTGAATTAGCAGTTCTACGTCCTTTTCCATTGCGTAATTTACTTTGAACACTCCGCAAATCAACTGAAGTTCTACCTCGCTTAGCTCTACTACTTTTGTTAGCTTTAGCTTCAATATCACTAGTCGGGGATTCACAGAAACGAGGTGGGGCCCAATCATGCTTAGTGCAGTCCAATAAAGTACCAACATAAGTTTTACCTCTCCAGGTGACATTTACAACTAAGACACCTAAAATAAAAGTAAATGCAAATGTAAATAATTTAAAATCACGCAAAAATTGCAAAAAAAATCTGAATTATGAACCTACCTCCTTCGGTTTCTTGCCAAACAATACCTTCCAAGGTAACACTTGTACCTGGTTCACATGGCCCTAAGCAATCTGGTTCAGTTACGGTACCTACACTTGTGCAAGTAGACATATGCCTCATCTCAGGTTGACTCGGCGTTTGTGCTTCCATTGGCTAAAAAGATCAAAATAAAATAAAAAGACTAATAAGCAATTGTTGTTACACCAATGAAATGTTCTAGCTTCTTGCATGCTTAATCCATGAAATAGATGAAAGAAGAAACAGAATTAAACTAGAGTCTGCTCTTCGAGTCAGATAAAGTTGACTTGACCAGTGAAATCGATCAAGAACAGAGTGCTGACTCGAATGGATAATAAACAACCTAAATACATAGAACTAACAAGTAGATAATAAAGATGAAAAGAAATCAAAATGCAGAAATAAAAGCGAGTTTCTCTCGAATAAAATTTAGCTGTTAAGTAACCAAAATTAATAAAAGAGAGTCAAAATATGAACAATAATTATTGGTTAATTGTAGATTCCCTGCAGGTCTAATTCCAGGAGAAACAAAGCTTCTGTTGGTGTGATCCTAGTCTTTGTAGTCTTTACTGTAGTTTGTAAGTGTACAAGAGATGACTCCACATTCGCCTGAGCATAAAAAGACTTGAAGAGAGTCTTCTCTTCCATTGAGAGAGCTTAAGGTACCACCTATTTATATGTAAGATGCTATTTGTTCAATGAGTCCAATCAATTCACATTTGAACATAAGATTGAGAATGATAATGAAGTGAGAATTAACTAAACCTGAAATCAACTTGTTTGTACACAAAGTAATTAACAAAAAAGGCAAAAAGCATATTTTCAAATCTAATCCTGGTAAGGTTAAGCTATCAACAGTGAATATTAAACAAGGATTAGGTGGCAAACCCAATTTTAAGCCAGGAAAAAAAAGAAAAAGCAAAATTGGCAACAATTAACACTGATGAAAAAATCAAGAATGTGAAGAGACTAAATCTTGTTGAAGAAGTCATATTGAATTAGTAAGAACCTCTTGAAATTATGATAAACGTAAACAAAGACATGAATATGTCATCAAACAAAGAATCGATGATAATCACTTAATACAGAGAGAAAAAAATGTTCATATATCCACTGGAAAATAGTAAACTGCAGAAACAATCAAAAATTGTGAGCACTGTAATTAATCCATAGAAATAGGTAGGTGAGAAGAAAAATGGCAAATGGTAAAAATCATTTTTTTTACATATCCTTAAGGAAACAGATCACCATTTTTTGCAGTAAATGTTGGTAAAGAAAATGTATGTAAAGGAAAAGAAGTGTAGTTACATTTTCTTCTCCTTGGTACTTTACCCTTGATATTTCTGTTAAAGGCGAAGAAGATGCAGAACCGTTTGGCTGGCTATTATTTTTTTCAATGTCTGCATCCAAGTCAATTATTAAATCACCAATACCCAATTCCCATTCATTGTAATCATCATCAAAATTGGTAGCAACACTTGAAGGTGCTGTGGAGGCAGTTGGTAACACAGATTTTGAGGCTGGTGGAGTCGTTGTCCTTGCTGGTGGTGAAGCTGATACGCTTGAGGATGTGCTCTGAATTGATCCTGATGTCATGGCAATGACATGGCAATGATGAAAAAGAACAGATGATTGTACTAATTACCACCTTTAAAGATAAAATTAACAAAATAAAGTATCAAGAGTAATAATAAAAAACAATTTAATATTAAACAAATAATAATAATATAATTTTCCGAAGCCTCAGTTTTTTGTTCCTAACACAGTATTTCTCACAAATAAGATGGAGCAGAATTGAAGACAGAGAGAGGGGGAAAGTAAAGAAAGAAAGGTAAAAAGAAAGACTAACAAAGAGACTAAACAAAGACCAAGAATAGATGGCGCTACAATCGCTCTAGAGCCATCTATTGGTAGCAGAGAGAAGCAAAAGAAATGTTAAATGTTTCCCAAAAAAATGTTAATGAGGAAAAAAAATGAGCTTATTCATTGAAAAATGGCCATTTTTCATCGAAATTTTGACTCTTTTCAAGATTTTTTCAAAATGTCTTCTTTACCACCATAGAGGGTCAATGTTACAGTCGATAAAAATGATTTAAAAGGTAATTTTAATGCAGTCATGATTGTAAAAACACTCAAATCTCATTTCAACTCTGGCTTTGTTTTGTCACAAAGCAAAGCCTGGAAACAAGAAGATGCTCAATTATTGAACCTTTTTTTTGATCAACTCTTGTACCCAAATTGTGATCGAGTTTACTTTGATCTCTATTTTAATGATCAATCAGACAATGAATAAATATTAGCTCGCAACGTTCAATGTTTATCAACACCTAATAATGCAAGAACAAAAAAACCTGTTACTGATAAAAGAACCTTGATTATTATTTCATCGATTTCTCAGTTTATACACATTCAAGTGAATCTCTCTCAGTGTTACAGCATAATAATAATCATCTTCATCATCATCAGCAACAACATGTTTTCAATACAAACGATGAACCAGAATTTAAAGGAAAACCAAAAAAAAGATGAAAATTGAAATGGCAGTTGCTTGAGATTAGCTATTCAAATGATTATGAAGCAAGTTGAAAGCTGACAATAATCAACTTGCAGGTTAAATGGTCGAAACAATAATGTTGATTGTGACGCCATATTTTAACAATTAACCAGTTTTTTCTCTTGTTTTGCTTCTTCTTTTCATTTCTCTGTGTTATAATCAGCTTCTACTCAAGTGCAAAGAGGCAAAAAGCTTGAAAAAAAAGTGAGAAGAAGAAGAAAAAGAAAAGGAGAGAAAAGAAAGAGAAAAAAAGGAAGATAAAAGAAGATGGAAGATGAAGCAAAAAGAGGCTCGAAATGTTTTTCCTCATTCAAAAGATGAAGCTTGAGATGGCGAAAAAAAAGAAACAAAAAAGATGAGCAGAGACAAAGGAAGTGATGGCAAATAGGGTAAAGATGAAGATGAACAAGAAAATGATTATGAAGATGATGATGAGAAAGTGAAAAGTTAATCGCCAAGGAAAATGATACAAGGTAATGAAAGGCAAGAAATGGGCAAAAATATGAAAAAACGATGACAATTGTTCATCTTTTTTTGCATCCATTTTTGTCACCATTTCATCCAAATTTTCATCATTTTCATCATCAATTTGGTAACCTTTAAACAAGAGAAAGAGAGAGAAAAAATGTCTTCTTTGCTCTTGTTTTTTTCTCCTTGCAAAAAGTAGTTTTAAAAATGGGTCCAAAATGTTGTTTTTTGTGTTGAAAATACAAGATGAAGGCAACGGCAAGGAACAAGATGATGAAAGAAGAAGAAGAAAAGGCTTGAAGAGGGAAAAGTAGAAAGAGAAGAGAAAAAGAGATTAATAACAAAGAACAGTAGCTTATACCGATGTGACCTGACCTGACCTGGTCTGGTTCGGGCTCTAGTTTACAGGGAAACAGTGAGCTAAAGCCATTTTGTTCAACTAGCTTTCAATGGTTAGAGAAGCAAGAAAATGATGAAAAAAAGTAACTAGAGACTCTCTTTTTGGGTCCAATTGACAGACACAAGGAGACCAAGATGATGATGATGATGATGATGACAGGGAAAAAGAAGGCAAGAAATGAATCGAAGGGGAAAAAGTCTTCCAAGGACATTTGATGAATCAATATGAATGTTGTTACCTTGTTTGTTGTTGATGGGTCCTACTTTTTTTTCTTGACTCAAAATTTTTTTCCTCTTCTCTTCTCTTCTTCTTTCTCTCATCTTCTCTTTCTTCTCATCTTCCCTCTTCATTATATTACAAGACTAACCTGGTCAGAAGGTAACAAAATGATTGTTATCATTGTTACTCCATTATTATTGTTGTTAATATAAAATCATATACTTGAGGAGTAAAAAAAATGAGCTTGTAATATGTTAAATTGATGCAATAATTTCTTTCTTTATCATTATCTTGTAATAATCTGATGAAAGCCACAATTATTCATTTACTTTTATCATGTTCATCTTAAACATAATTCCCATTGGATTGTAATGATTATCATTATAAAACATAATCAATTGGCTCTTTTCAAATTAAAACCATTATCAAAACAAAATGGGAAAAACAATGAAACAAATATCATTTTTCAGGTTTATCTTGCATTTGATAATTTCAACATTTCTGAAGGATAAAGAGATTCTGTTCAGTCAATTTTCAGCTCGATTGAACAGTAAATTGTAAATTCAATAGAAGTGAGTAAAAAGTGTTTTGGTTCAACATTCCTTGTCCAGTCTTTTGATTCAACTCTTTACCAAGTATTTGGGTAAAATTGCATGTAAAGGTTACATTTCAAGTGAAATATTTGTAATTTTGTTATGAGATTTTTTTTATCAATTTTAATCAACATTCACCAAGATTAATTGATATCAATCTAGATTAAGTACTTGTGCCTGGACAAACGTTAAGACTGCTTAAGATGTCACTTTTTTATTGTCAATAAATTGAGCTCGCCTCAGTACTTTAGGTTTAAGAATCAAGATTTTTGTCTTTAGTTTTTTCTTTGTATTTTGTTTTTCATTGGAACCATTTGAATGATGATGAAGAAGACATTGACAAAGATCACATGATTCAAGAGAAAGAAGGGAAGAGAAGAGAAAGACAGAGAAGAGAGTCCAATCGATTATCTTGAGATGTTTGTGAAACTGGAAGAGGAAGATGATAAAGAGGAGAAAGACAAGATGAAGTGAGAGTGAATTTGACTGAAAAAAACCTTAGCTTTACCCTTGAGCACGTAGCCGTGAAGATGATGATGATGGGAGGGAGAAAAGGAAGAGAAGATCGATTTTGGTTGAACATCAGAATAAGAAATGAGAAAAAGATGAGTAAAAGTAGCTGGTTCAAGTGAAAAGATCAGACAAGATGAAACTGGAAAGAAGATAAAGAGAATAATGTTGATGATTTTGATGATGGTGATGATGGTGATGATGAATCAACTAAATGGTTATTGAGGTTGATTGAAAGGTAAACACTTTATCGATAGTTTTTTTTTCTTCTTTGCCTCTTTTCTCAGTAACAAAGGTTGAATGTTATATAAAATGTTGATAGTGATAACATTTTTGTGTTTTGTTCATTAGACAAACAAATATCATTTTTTTTGTTTCTCTTTCATTTGATTAACCAAACATATGATTATGTTGCACATGAATGTTATGTTTAAGATTAACACTTTGAAAATGAGTGATTAGATTGATTAAAAGTGATTAGGTTTAATCGTTTTGTTTGGGCATCTTTTTTGGTTTGCTTTTTGGGTTTAGACTTTTTGCTGTCTCTTTTGTAGTTGTTACCAGAGATGTTGCCGTTGCTGATGAGGAGGGTGATGATGGTGATGACTTATTACGGTGAGGAGTAAAAGGAGCAAGGATGATTAGGATGAGAATGGGAAAACAAGTTACTAATGATTGTGAAAGTGGATAAAAGAGAAGATAAATAGTAAAGGGAATGAAAAGAGATGAAAAAGAAATGAAGATGGAGAAGAGATGAGAATCAGCAACAAAGGCAAGAGGAGAGATGGAATGAGAAGCAAGATGAACACGATGAAAATGGTGAAGATGGTGATGATGATGGTGGAAATGTCAAGGCAGTGAATGATGAAAATTGTGTAAAAATGAAGAAGCTCTTAAAATCACCTTTTCTTTGGCTGTTACATGCAACTTATCATCAAATGATTAGACGATGTTTACAATAATTTTAATAAAAGAAGTTTATTCTTTCTTTTTCCTTGTGACTTTATCCTCCTAGGCCCACCCAGATACACCTTTAAGCGATAAAGGTAAAACCAAGAAAAAAAATTGGTGATGATGCTTAAATGTATGAGAGAGTTTAAGGTTTTTTTTTGGTTTTGCTCATTGATCAACTTCCATTGAACCTGCCCAAGCTTTGGTTTACTCACAAATCAACTCTTGTGGACGACATAATAAACTGTTACAATGTTGTTGTTGGCCCAACCATTGATTGTTGTTACTGTTTTCCATGACTAAACTTATTGATTGATTCAAGTTGATTATCTATCTGGTAAGGTCATTGGACAATCCATCTTGTAATCATGATGATTATTTCAACTTGTTGTTTCATCTTTCCTTAGTAATATGGTGATAAAAAAATTGTTAACTTCAAGATGAAGATAAAGGTTAGTCTGGTAAAGATGATGATGGTGAGATTTAACGATCAACTTATCAATTTTTCTCATCTTCACTTCATTTTTTTCCATTGATTGACTGATGTTCATCACAAAAATGAGGAGCAAAACTTCATTGGCTTTCCTTTAAGATCCTGCCGTATGAGATTGTATCGTGAAAATTGCCAATAAACATTTAATTAACATTAATGAATAGCTAATTGGTGAAACCATAACTGCGACTTTGAAAATTTGGATTCCTTAACCTGGATTTACAATTGTAATGAAAGTTTAAATCAATTAGGTGTGCTTTGATGGACAAGAAAAAAAGGATTACCAGATTTTGTCGAATGGTTATGGAAGAGTCTTGGTTGTTGATTGAAATTTTGGTCTCAATGGTTGAAAATGTAGCTTGGAATTGAGAGTTAAATGTAAATTTTAAGCTTCTCTTTCGTTTTTTTCACTTCCACTCTCAATATCACTTCTCATCAATATTAATTATGAAAAGTAAGCATTTTTCAAAATACTGACAGTGAAAGTTAATCAGCTAGTTAGATTATTTGTCAACAAAAATAAAGTATCCTTCAAACGTTTGGGAGATTTGGGAAAAAAATGTGAACCCAACAAATTCTGGTTTAGTCCGCAGTAAGATTGAACAGCAATTTTGAGCTTGTACTTTTGCTGTAAAATCAATTTTGCTTTTTTTTGTTTCGCTGTTGCTGTTGCTGGAGCTGAGGTTTAGTTGATGATGTTTTTGTTGTTGTTGATTATGTTGATGTTGTTTTTAACCATCGTAAGACGTTTGCTTCTTAAGCAAAATAAATAAATATTGACTATTCTTTTGGCTGGAGTTTGGATGCTGTAGATGTTGTCATGGTTGAGTTGCATGTTTGCCTTGCTCAGAAAGGTGAATGAGTACCAGTAAGACGTGAAAAAAATATCATTTTCATGTTAAAACCACTTCAATGTCAAGTTATCAGGTAGAAAAAGGTAACTGATGAAGATAAAAAAGTAGTAAAGAAGATGGCAAAAGAGAAAGAGAAAAAAACCGGCTTCTCCGTCTTTTTTCTTCATCCTTCTTATTCTCTCCATCATCTTGGGCATCTTTTCCGATGAATGTAAAATCCATTGATTAATCAAATCAGAGTGTACCCATCCACGATTAAATCAAAATCAATCTTTTCCATTAATCTCAATTGCCATATCAAGTCAACTTAACCAGCGGCTTTCAAAACCAACACCTTTTGGCATCTTTTGTTAAACCTAAATAATGTGACACATAAAACATAAATTAATTTTTTACATAATTGAAACATATATTTAAAACATTGAACCATTAAACACTTACCATGAATAGTTGGGGTCGGTCCGGCAACAATTATTAATCTAAATTGATATGAATTGATTATGATATTAATTAAAAATGTTTATTAATAGTCAGGATTAGCAAAAAAGTAAACCTTTTCAAACCAAAAAATACACTTAACATATGATTAAAAATAGGGGGAAGTAATTTTGTAAAAATTGTTGCACAAAAAGCGCGCATTTCAATTTTTCCATATTAATTGATAATTAAATTTTTATTTGAAGTTGAATTGAAAATTTAAACTAAACTGACCTTTTCATTGAATAATAAAGCTAACAGTTTTGATTGACAAAAGATATTGATCAAAACATTGACTGAATAAATATTGGAATAAAAGAAGACAAAATGAAAAACAAGTTTTCTCGTTACATGCATTTTACAATTATCATGTATCATCAATAAAATATGAGAAAATGTATTGATAAAACTATTCAATATTCAAGGAACACATTAAAACTGTATTATCACTTAAACTCAAATTCAATCAATATGATAAAGATGTAAAGAGAAGCAAAAAAAGCTGAATAAAAAATGAGAATTAGCATGAAGTTTGAATTGTGTCAATGAAATCTTTTCATGGATTCTTTATGAGTTTCATTTCAGTGTTGTGACCATGTGAAGTGAGACTTGAAAGTGTAATTTAATATCATCAGGTCATAAGATGCCCTATCGGTGATATGATTGATGTTTGTTCAAGCACGAATCATGATGAAGAAGAAGAAAGAAAAAGATGAAAAAGAAGAGAAAAGATGGTGAAAATGAGAGTTTTTGTTCAACTGTAAACTAGTAAAGCAACTTTCAATCTTCAATTATTACATTTTACATGTAGTTTTGATAGATTTTTTTCCTCTCCATGAAGATAAGGACTGAGAAGATGAAAATGAACCTTAAAAATGGAAATGAAAATGAAGATCAATCAACATGCAAAACGACCTTAACAAGTGTTAACTTTGATGGGAAGAGAGTGACTCTGTTAGGTTGAAGGTTTAACGTTTTACGGCCAATCTGGTTTTCCTTCTGACTATTTGTATTTTAGTTTTTTTGGTTCAATAGGAAAAGCTTTTTCAATTTTGTCATTTAATCTTGCCATTCAACTTTACCAGTCAACTGTTTCAACAAACGCTCTTTTAATTGTAATTAACAATTACATTTGATTGTTTAAATGGTGAAAATTTTATCATTATCATGTTAATTATCAATAAATGAAAGTTTAAAAGTAATCATTGTTAATGCCTTTCCTTTGTTTATTTGCTGGTAATATCTGTTTGGTTATGAGTTTTTGTGTTTTAGCAACTTTCTGTTTCTTATACATTTCCCTCTGTTAATGGATAAAGTTGGTAGCTTCAATTTTAAGCACATCAATCATGAAAATTGCGTTGATATTGAGTGATTAATATCATCTGCTTCAGGCAATAATCTAATAAATAGAATCATTTTTTCTCTTTTTTCTGGATACAAGAAAAGCTGGTGATGAAGAAGAGAAAAAAACAAACCTAAAAACATGCAATTTTTGTATTGATTGAGAAAACTGTTAAAACAAAAACGAATCACTTTTTAATCAAAATTACATTTACCATTGAATTGTCATGGAATTTTGTGGAAATCTTTTTTTTCTCTCAAAATTTTGTGAAAAAAACTTTGACAAAGAGTGAAAAGAGTTGAGAAGAAGATGAAGAAAAGGTAAAAAAACGAGAAAATATGATGATGGCCCTTTCCTTTGGCTCTGTTGGGTTCTTGTGTATATACCTGGAGTGGGCCATAACTTTACCTTTTCCAGTAACAAATGTAATAAGCATGCTGTGAAATGAACAAAATACTTACTTTCAAGTTTTGTATCTTTTATCTTCTTCTTCTTCTTCTCTCTCTTCCTTTTCATCCTCATCCTTATCTTTTATCATCCTTCTCATTATGCTCATCATCTTCTTCTTTCTTTTTCCTCTTATTCACAGTGTTACGTTTACCTGTTTAATTAGTGTGTTTGTGTTTTCTTTGCCTTCTTCTCGTTGACTCTACCCTTACCTTGATAGGATTACATTGAACCGTGAATAGCAATTAGCACTATTTGGCTCATCTCAACATGTTATAACCTTTAAGCCTCGTGTGCTCTTTAACCTTTTACACTATCTAAATAATAATAATGTTAATGATAATTTTTGATGATTATGATAATAAAAAGGTAATAATAATGATAAATAATAATATGTTTTTATTTTCATTAACAGTCCAAAGAAAGTCTAATGTAAACCAGAAATGTGGTAAACTTGCTTTTGTTTTGTTCACTGTTTATTCAGGTTTTACATTTTTCTTGTTTCTTTTACATTGCGCTTTTTACTCACTTAATTACCTTTTTTATTTAATCATTTGATCATTTCAATTAAGCTATTTTTCATCTACAAGAATGGTCTAAAATGTCACTAAAATCAATAAACAATTGTCCTTTTTTTTGTAAATGTTAATTGTAAAATAATGAAGGTTAAAGTATTGATTAAAATTGTGAAAAGTGTGAAAATGGAGAAAAGGTTTTCACGTAAAATAACCTCATTGAGCCTCTTTTTTGATGGGAAGAGAGTCGCTCTGTCAGGTTGATGAGTTGATCTTTTATGGCTTAACAGAGTGGATTGCTGATGAAAACTGAAATACGGACAGTTTTTTGGTTCATTAAAATCTATTGGGATTTTACCTGAAGGCGAGCTTAGAGGCTATTTTATTTGTCAAAAAGTACAAACCTTTATTTCCATCCTTACCTTGCTTCTCATCATAATCATCATCTAATCAGTAACTTTCATAGACTCTGATTTGTTACCTTCAGTCTAATATCTGACATAAAATAGTGAAAATGTTTTCATTTTTGTTGTTCCCTTGATAATAATAAAAAAAAGAAAGAAGTTATTACAAGTTTATTACACTTCGGTTAAAAAGACATGAAGATCAGAATGAAGCTCAAGAATGAAGAAGATGAAGACTGAAAATCGATTGATTATCACTCCAATTACATAGAGATTCCATGAAAATTCACATTGTTACGGCGAAAAGAAGAAAAAATTTCTTGATAAACCTTTTCTTTACAGAAACAAAACTAGCTAAATATTTATTTATTTAGCAAACATTCAACCTTCTTCTTCTCATCATCTTCATCAACATCATCTCTCTGTTGAAGAGTGTTGAAAAATTGTTTAAATTGATTGCAAAGGAAGAAAAAGAAAGCAAGAAGAAGAAAAAAAAGAAAAGAAGATTTTCTTTCTCTCTTTACCTTCGTAAAATGAAATATTAGAAGATGGAAACTTGTTTTTCCAGTTATACCAAGAAGCTCGAGAAAAAAAAGCTCAAGATTCGGAGTAAAATGATGATGATGATGATGATAAAAGTGGCAAAGCAAAACAGCAACATAAAAACCTAAAGAAGCATGATAATACATAACAAGAGTAGATATCATGTTGAGTTACATTCATTTGGAAATTTTACTTTCGCTGTTCAAAAAAACATACAACTTTTTACGTTCAATGGTTTTGCAAATTTTCAGTCTTTTTTAACCTTCTTTTTGCACCATTTCTTGTCTTCCTCATCATCCATAATATTTGTTAGTATCTCTTTCGTCTTCTTTTGGTCTCAAGCTTTTTAAGGGTTTGCTTTGAAAGGTAAGAAATTATTGAATGGCAATGAAAATTTTGCCCAATTTATACTCCATAGCCTTTTCACACTAATAATGGTTGCCATTTTTGTTGCTCTTGTTGTTGAGGTAAACCTTACTGTAATATCATTGTGTTAATATATTCAATCATTTACCATATTGACATGTTCACATACAGTCAATGCTATTGTTATGTACAAGATAAAAAATATATTTTTTACTTGCCTATTCAATTACAATACAAAAGTGTAAAAATAAACCAGCAAAAGTTGAAAATGTGCAAGAGTCTTATAAACGTAACAAATGCATCAATTTTTATTGATATTGATGTTGATCCAATTGAATGGTTATTCAATGGTTACTACAATGTATGGTTATCATATTAGCTTATGTAAATGAACAGTTATTTACTCTGAGAGTATCAAAATAGATTGATGAATCAGATAATCGGATGAAGATGGTTAAAATAGGAATCAAAAATCAAGTATTAGAGATGCAAGATTTTGAGTCTGAAAAAAGGCTCTTCTATGCATTACTTTTAATGCGACAAGAGTGACTTCTTAGGTTTAATCTTTCATGTCTTATAGCCTATCAAACATGCTTAGATTATCAAGAAATAATGATGATGATGGTTATGAAGGTGGTAATGAAGTTGCTTGACATGATGGTTATCATGATGGTTATGGTGATGAAGTTGCAAGTTTAATTTTTAACTTGAAAATTGGAATGAAAATGAAAATCATTGAACGTGTAAAAAGGTCTGACTAAATGGTTGTTTTGATGGGATGAAAGTGTGATTGTTAGGTTGAGGTTTTTCTTGAAGGCTGCCATTAGACGATGAAAATTTAGTGATGTAAAGATGGTTTTTGTGCAACTCAAGTTTGAAAGAAGATTTTTTTTTCTCTTCTTTTTCTTCTTCTCGCTCTGTTCATCATCTCAATTTACTTTGAATGAGGAGGAACCAATATTATAATGCTATTATAAGGCATTTAAAGTGATATTTTTGTAGGTTGAAAGAGAGCTTGAAAATGGATCCAAATACAAACATTGGGTGGTTTGTAAGTTTGGTAAGCAAGAGAAGCAAAAAAAATAAGGTAAAAAAATATTTTTCCCTGTTTTGGCTTCCATTACTGACTGTGACTGTATTAATAAACAGGCATTTTGTTTACCTTTAACTTTGTTGCTCACATCATCTTTTCAACCCCAACATTGGTTAGCATTGATGATGTTATTGTTGATACAATGCGACTTTATTTGATTATTTTGATCCTCTCCTTTAAACTCCTTTTATTCATCCAGTCACCTTACATTGACCGAACCAACACAGATCAATTGGCTTGGTACTCTTGTGATCTTTGGTCAATCTTTTCCCATCAGAGCGAACCTTTTCATCTTTTCTCTTCTTCTTCTCTTTTTTTTCTACAAAACTTTCGCTTCTTTTTCTCGCCATTTTTGACTTGTTTTTGCTCTCTTCTGTTTGGCTGTAAGCAAAAACCACAAGCAAAAAGAGATGATATGATGAGGAAGAGAGGGAGAGAGGGAGAGATAAGAGGGTGAGATTATTGTTGACTAGACTTTGGTTTAATGTTGAGGATAATTCATCTTACCTGGGTGCAGTCCTCCTTGCGTTTACCTTCAAACCTGCTGATTATGAGGCCTAATTACCGCCTAAGGGTATAACCAATTCAAGTGTAGCTCAAGATGAGGATGACAAGGATGATGAAAGAGAAAGAGAAAGAGAGAGATAAAGAGAAAGCTCTGTACTAATAAATACATGTTACTTTCAAATTCATCATTTAATCTTCACAGGCTTTTTGCTCTACTCTCTACTCCATCATCATCATCATCATCTCTTGTTTTTCTTGCTTTGCTTAAAACACTTCGTTAAAGATGACGATTATGACGAGTAAAAACAACCTTTTGTCAATTGTTAAGATGCTAAAACGCTTGATTGCTCAGCTAAATGTGCCAAAGTAAAGCCAACCTCAAAAGTTGTCTTTACCAATGAATAAGTTAATTGATCAAGTTTAACTTATTGAACAACTTGCTATTGAACATTTTATTGTAAATTGAAAAACAAATTAAACAAAACATGAATCCATAACAAGGCTTGATCTTGATAATCATGTACATTAGTGGTTAGGGTTAAGTTAAAAAACGGACATTTTTTCATAGTTGCCCTTTAAAAGTAAATGAAAGGGCCATTAAGATTAAACTTTATTTTTTAGGCCTTCCATTGAAATTTTTTCCTTATCTCTAGCAACTCAATATGCTCGAAATGTAACACCTAAAAATTGACTTAAATCTGACCCTTTTTTTGTTAACTGACCCTGACTATTGCACCTTTACAGAGGGAATGACTGTGTTATTGAATATTGCAAACAAGTTGTTAGTTAATCTTTAATGTTTCATATTTGATGAATGGTTTAAAGCAAACTAAGCATCACATTGGATCAAACATTTGGTTGATTCATGGTAAAACACCTTAAAAGAGCAATTTAAAAATATAAATTGCTAAACTTTCACTTTCTTCGTGATCAAAATGCTTTAAAGTTAAGGCTGGATCAACGCAATTAGATTGAAACTAAAATGTTAGGAAATGAATTCAAGATTGAATAAAAAATAGCAATCAATGATACTTCTGTGTTTAATAGATTGAAACTGACAATCATGATAAATAACCAACAAAATGCTAGTAAATGTTGACTAACAATTAATACAAAATGATACCGAATCTCCACCCGAAAAATTATTTACCTTCCTGTTGAATGGATGTGAAGAGTCGAGTGAACGCTTTTAACCACAGTAATACATGACCATTGTTAGACTCAAATTGTCGTTGTTTAATGAACACAAAAATTTAAAAGCTCAACAGTCCGCCCATTAATTTACCTTCCTATTATCATCTTTTATCGTCCATATCATCATCGTCCTCCTCTCCTCTTCATCATCACTTTATTCATCCTTTTTTTTCTCCTTCCTCGTCATTCCCTGATTTTGTCTCTCTATTATTAATACTTTACAAGTGACTCTGTTTAGATTTTATAATCACAGTTTTGCTACTGTAATTATAAGTGTCGATTTACTGTTTAATTCTGATTTTTAATTCTCAACACAATAATGTGATAAGTATACAGTTTAAATATTGTGATTAAATTAATATTTGTGACAATGAAATACACAGCGAAAGTGCTATTTATCAATTTTATTGCGTGAAAATAGTAACATTGCCTTAACTTCAGTTTACCTTCACTTTTGTTTTAAACTTGTTTTGTCTGATATTTCACTTTGTATTGATTTATTGGATTATTGTAGTAACTACATCATTTTAATAGTCATTTCAAGTGTTCATCTTTTCGAGGAATGTCAACTTCGACTTCGACAATTGATTTGTTTGCATTTAGTTTCAAAATGACATGACAATCAATATAATAATAGAGGGGAAAATTGAGTAAAAAATGTGTTTTTGCTCATCCATAATATTCCCAGTATTTGATTGCTTTATCAGAAACAATTTTATACATTGAAATGAATGGTCAATTAATTTATTTCATTATTTCACTCCAATATAACATTAGCAATTAAAATGCCATCAAATTAGTTGAATGTCTTTTCAGGATTGGGTTTAAGTTACAAATCCTGTTTTCCCAATTGATTTATGTTGAGGTCAAGTCAGATGATAATTATTATCAATTTTCCAATGTTTATTTATAAATTATAATAAAGTGATAGTTAGTGATTATTAGTTGATGACAGACTCAACTAATAATTGGATTTAAAAACAATTATGTTAAATGGTTGAGCTTTTCATACTTATGAACCAGTTGAATATCTGATTGTTTCAAAGTTTATATTTAAACGATCCTTTGAAAGCGTTACAATGTACTTTCCATCCCTTGATCTTTCCTTTGAATGGGCTATTACAATGATCCTTCAAGAATCCAAATTTCGCTTTCTTTAAAAATCTGTTCAAACTGTAAGTAAACTAACCATTGAAATACTCAAACCATTTGACTATTGTCAGTGTAAATCTTTGTATTGTTGATCCAATTTGTATTAACAATTTGAAAGTACATCAATCGATCATTACAAATTGTTATATAAGCAGAGTCTAACATGTTTGTGGGAAAATGAAATGGATATTTAATCATTGAATGCACTATTGAAATGGTTTCTGTTTTACCAATTTAATGAAAAAGATTTGCTTTTAATTTTTGTTTAACTTTTTTACTGTTTAATATTTACTGTTAATTAGCAAAACCTTGTGGACGTCTTTGGTCTTTTGAACGCATCATTGGTTATCAATTAACTGATTTACCTGACCGTGAGATACATAATGTTGATTTACGATCAGATTGTCAAGATCATTGTTTAGCTGAATCTACTTTTGTCTGTCGATCAGCAACCTTTGATTATTCTCGGAAAATCTGTAAATTATTTAAGGAAACTCAAAGATCCCGTCCAAGTGCCTTTAAAGCAACATCCGAAGAGATTGATTATCTTGAAAATCATTGTGTTAAAGGTAAACCATTTAAGTTTGTTAAATTGATTAACCAAGTATCAACTGTTGATTAACTTGAGTTTTTATTGAAATAATTGTAAACACAGAACCATCAAGCTGCCAATACAAAGACTTCACAGATACATTTTCTGGTAATATTGATCGAGTAACTCACGCATTTTCATTGACCGATTGTCAACGCCAATGTGATACTGAACGCTTGTTTCCCTGTCGAGCACTCAATTATGGATTATTCCTTCTTTGGATCTCTTTTGATTCGGTTCCATGGACCAGTTTAAATTCATTGAATCATTTTCTCGAAATACTATTACTAATGTCATATTCTTATAATAATTTTTTGATTCATTTATTGATTCTTATTGTAATAACTTATTCCATGAAAATTAGCATTCATTCAGCACTCAAAATTCATCAAGATTTGTATTTCCAAAAATCCATTTTGTTTCATTTTTTATCATTTGAACAAAATCTCAAAACGTTTTAAAACTTGTGTTAAATGATTTTTTAATGTTGCATAAACTAAAACGTTTGTAAGTGAATTAAATGATTATTCGTTAATCAACCTTTATTTATTTAATTTGAAACTCATTGTTTATGGTTAACATTCACAGCACGCACAATATCAATTTTATATGATAGTTCAAGATCTTAACCAAAGGTTCCTTTACTGAGTGAGAAAAGCAGGATTACCATTGAAATCTCAAAAATCGAGTCATTACTGTTTGGTTCAACTTTTCTAGGCTATGGTTAGATCCAAGAAACTGTCGACTTTTCTCTTAGTTAATGATGCGATGAAGTTTCACATGATATACGAGTGTTCTCCTAGTTGCCTAAGAGGGAAGATTTTTAAAGAAAGCTGATAATATTAAGATCACCGATTGACCTAGCTGTTCGATGTTGAGGATACGCATGAGAAGAATGTGTCTTTGTGATTTGTGAAGCACAAACTGTTAAGTCCGTTTTGTTATCTTTTAGATGAAAAGACAAAGTCTATCTTTGAAGATTGAAAAAGACTTGACTCTGGATCAGGGACATCCAAGTTGATGACCATTTGAGGTTGGTGAAGATGGCTTAACGGACGAGAAAGGTTCCATTGGAATTGGTTCAAATACTTGTCTCATGGAATGAAGAGCATCAGGTCAAGTTGTGATCTCTTCTGGGATCCTGTGAAGAGTTATCCAAGCGTAAAATGAGCCTTTTAGAGTCACTTTGCCACTGCAAAGCTAAAGTTGCAACTTATTTAAACCTGTCTCTGAAATAATATTTCAAATAATTGTATTTCAAACTTACTAGTCTTTGATCCGATTAGAAGTATTTTTACTGATTTTGGACAAATATCTATGTAAGACAAGTTTCTTGGGATAATGTGAGTCTTAAAGTGAATAAATTCTTGGGATTCAGAATCAGTTTCTTCAAAAACAAAATTTCAAAAAAGTTGTTCAAGACCAACATTCAAATTAACTTGCAATTTAATAAATACCTTCAAGTTTCTATGTATTGTAATATAATAAGTTTAAAAAAATATCTTTAAAAAATCAATAAGTTGACAAGAGTTGTAAAAAACAAAGAAATGCTCATTGAAATTGGACTGGAATTGGGTAAAGGATGAAAATCAGAAATTGAATCGTTTATTGAATAAAAAATAGCAATCAATGATACTTCTGTGTTTAATAGATTACAACTGAAAATAATGAAAAATAAACCAAATGCTAGTAAATGTTGACTAACAATTAATACAAAATGATAATAATAATATAATAAAATCTCCACCCGAAAAATTATTTACCTTCCTGTTGAATGGATGTGAAGAGTCGAGTGAACGCTTTTAACCACAGTAATACATGACCATTGTTAGACTCAAATTGTCGTTGTTTAATGAACACAAAAATTTAAAAGCTCAACAGTCCGCCCATTAATTTACCTTCCTATTATCATCTTTTATCGTCCATATCATCATCGTCCTCCTCTCCTCTTCATCATCACTTTATTCATCCTTTTTTTTCTCCTTCCTCGTCATTCCCTGATTTTGTCTCTCTATTATTAATACTTTACAAGTGACTCTGTTTAGATTTTTATAATCACAGTTTTGCTACTGTAATTATAAGTGTCGATTTACTGTTTAATTCTGATTTTTAATTCTCTACACAATAATGTGATAAGTATACAGTTTAAATATTGTGATTAAATTAATATTTGTGACAATGAAATACACAGCGAATGTGCTATTTATCAATTTTATTGCGTGAAAATAGTAACATTGCTTTAACTCCGGTTATTCCCTTTGTTTTACTGTTTGTTGGCGCGTCTTTTTAACTGTTTATTTGTTGTGTTTTGTGCCTGTTATCTTAATTTCTGATTTTATTGGATTATTACAATTGATTTTACATTATCATGCTGATTCAACATCGATCAGTGCCTGATAGAGGAATGTTTATTTCATCATCTACTTCTTCTCATTACCATTCATTCCCTAAGCATAAAAAGAAAAGCCATTCCAATGGGTTCTATGCTAATCAATGTCGTTTTTATTGCTGTACTTATTATCATCGTAAACATTCACCTTTATCGTCTCTATCATCTTACAAAAAACCTAAAGAATACTCACTCTGTTTGTTTATCATGATGATCCTGTTTATACAATTGCTTTCAATGGTTGGTACAATATCGGCTGACAATTGTTTTGGTGGTATCCAATCGTTTGAAAAGCTGGCTATGACTGACTTTGATGATGAATATAGTCCAGCCGGATTTTTATTGAGACAACCCGATCAAGCTTTGACTCGAGATTGTATCAATTTATGCCGTCAACAACCAACCTGTCTCTCATTTGGTCTAGATTATACAAGGTTTAGGTGTGCTGCTTACGCTGTTCACTCACAAGGTCTCAATCGAAGAGCCAATCTGGTTCCATCCAATACAACCAATTTATTTGAAAAGGTTTGCTACCTAGGAGTTCACCGGGAAGAGTATCAAAAGGTTTGCGGAGTTGAAAGATTGTGGGCATTTGAGAGGGTCAAAGGTGCCTTTTTGGAAGGTTTTGTGGAGACAACACTATCCAATATTGGATCTAAAGATGAATGTGCCAAATCATGTATGATGGAAGCCTCATTTACCTGCCGTAGTGCTGATTATGATCATGATAATCGAGTCTGTCGATTGTCAAAAGAGGATAGGCGAACTCAACCACAAGCATTCAGATTAGTGTTTGGATCAGCTCGAGATTACCTTGAAAATCAATGTGCAGCTCCAGGTTGGTTTATCCCTTAATTACTATCAAGTCAACCAAATCATTTTTATTCCACTGGTTGAAAAGTGGCTCTTTTTTTCAAATCTTTTATACACTATCAAGGCTAATGTTCAAACATCAATCTGATTGCAGTCGTCAAAAAATTGAGTAAAAAATGTGTTTTTGCTCATCCATAATATTCCCAGTATTTGATTGCTTTATCAGAAACAATTTTATACATTGAAATGAATGGTCAATTAATTTATTTCATTATTTCACTCCAATATAACATTAGCAATTAAAATGCCATCAAATTAGTTGAATGTCTTTTCAGGATTGGGTTTAAGTTACAAATCCTGTTTTCCCAATTGATTTATGTTGAGGTCAAGTCAGATGGTAATTATTATCAATTTTCCAGTGTTTATTTATAAATTATAATAAAGTGATAGTTAGTGATTATTAGTTGATGACAGACTCAACTAATAATTGGATTTAAAAACAATTATGTTAAATGGTTGAGCTTTTCATACTTATGAACCAGTTGAATATCTGATTGTTTCAAAGTTTATATTTAAACGATCCTTTGAAAGAGTGTTAAAAGGCTACTCATTTTAACACTTGGTGTTGCCTTTATCATCAACTTAATTGACCAACATGGTTTACAATTACCATTTCAGTTTGTTTAATTTAATTGAACGTGATTGCTCATTTAGCTTTAACTCTATTGTTTAATGTCCATCATTATTATTTTACTAATCAATTAAACATTTTATCCAAGCCAATGACCAGTTGACATGAAACGTTCAACCAGTTTTTGGGTTTATCATAATATCAACAGATCAACTAACAAATGAACTGTTTTAATTGTTAACACTTTAGGTCAACTGATACAAAGGGTTGACTGTTGAAATATTGCAATTTGGGATAACAATTAATTTGTCATTGTCATCATCACTATTACAATGATAACATTTTTCAATGAAATAATCAAATTGAGCTTTTTTGTTTTACACCGGAATGAAACAAAATTGAATGATGATATTATACAAAATAGTAATTTTAACGAACCTTATGATGATTAGAATAATGATTAACCTTTAATTATTGTAGCAAAAAAAGTCTTTTGTTTCAATTGTGTGTGAAATTTTGCAAAAGAAAAGGAAAGTTGCAAATAGATTCGAATGTTGGTTTTCAAAATTTTGACCTAAATTTTGATTCCAGAGATTGAATGAAGAGACAAAATGAGTAAAGTAACCCACCCTCAGATGATCCTCATTGTCTCTTATTTAGACTGAAATTAGTTCATTGTTTTTGTTCCCAATTAAATCAATTATCTCTTAACTCTTGCAATTTTTCCCTTTCTTTCCTTCCATTACCATCAATTTCATGTCCCATTGTTTCAAATTTACAATACAAATTATTTTAAGTTTCATATTTTATAAGGTTACCCAGGTAAACAATGATATTCAAAGCTACTTTTGTTGAATTGATCTGTAACCAATGTTAGATTAACCGATTATTTTGAGATTCATGTGGAATCCATTTTTAACCAGGAAATTTATTCAAGACAGAAAATTAATACTTTTTCAATTCTCTTCTCTTTTCAGGTCCAACTGCATGTTTATATGATACCAAGCCAAATGTCGCTGTTATTACAATGGATTCATTAGTTTTTGCGCACAACATTGAAGATTGTGAACACAAATGTGATAAAGAGTATACTTTCAATTGTCGCTCCTTTTCGATTGATTCACAGCGTTGTTTCCTCTCAGGAGATGATTCCGTTTCCCTTTCACATGCCTCTCTACCCGTTAAACACGGTGCCATGTATGGAGAGAAAAAATGTGTCACTGAAACTTGTACTCATGGTATTTTTACCTATGAAAAGGTTACTGGAATGGTTTTACGGTCAGCTTTGGCAACTTCAGTTCCAATGCCTCATACAGCTTCCCTTGGAGTCACTGGTACTTGTCGTGATGAGTGTGATAAATCAAATTTAAATTGTCCAGCCTTTTCCGTCTCTTATTTAAACTCTCGGTGTGATCTTTTGGATCGCAACTCTCAAGGACAATTTGGTGATTTTGTACCCCGTGAAGGGGAATCTTATTTTGAAAAGATTTGCCTTCGAGGTCCTGAGGTTGCAACAATGTGTCAAGACAAATTTTGGGCCTTTGAACGTGTTATTGGCTATGAATTGACTCCTCTACTCTACGAACGGGTTTACCATTTTGTACAATCTCGCCGTTACTGTGAGGAATATTGTCTACAAGAAAAGCTGTTTGTTTGTCGCTCAGCACTTTACAATGATGAAACAACGGAATGTAAATTGTCGCGGGAAGATAGGCGAACTAAACCAGCCAATTATATACGCAATCAAAATCCGAAAATAAATTACCTTGAAAATCAGTGTATCCGTTCTCATTCACAGTGCCCTTATGAAAACACACCAAGTGCTTATCCAACTTATACCGATATTGTTGAATCTCGAGATGTCAATTCAAGATCTGTATGTGAACAATTGTGCTCAGAAAATAAGCAATTTATTTGCCGTTCATATGCTTTCTATTCGTCTAATAATAAATGTCTATTGTCTGGAGACGATCGAGCTTCTGGTGGATCTTCAGCGGTTACACTACAATCTGGAATGACTTACTATGAACGTCGATGTGCCAAAACTCCTAATGATCATTATCCAACCACTGAAGATGATGACAATTCAATAACAAGTCATCTGAGCACAGTTCCAGGAACTGCAAGTGTCGACGATCAAAATAAAGCTACTACTCATGTAACACCTAAACCAACTTCTCCTTCAACCTCTAACTTACCCGATGAAAACACATCAGGTAGACCAACTGTTCCAGGTTATAGTGATTCAACCTCATCCACTGATACAACATCAACATCAACGACTAATGGCAATACAAATAGCGATCATACAGATCACACGTCTTCGCCTACCGCAACTCATAATCAACCCAATACCTCTGACTATCCAAGCCCAACTAATCCAACAGTTGACCCATCCACCATAACCGGACCATTTAGTCCAACAACTTCAACTTCATCATCAACAAATGGCTCATCAACAGCTAGTTCATCAAGTAAAGATGGATCCTCTTCAACAAATGCAAGCTTTGCCAATACAACATCGCCATCGCCAGGTTAGTTCAATAAATATCTGATGATATGAATTAGTGTCATTAATTTTTCCATAGTTTTGTATCAATTTTTACCAAATGAAAAAGTTGATTGATTTTATATTTTACATTGAATTCATTCATATTTATCATTATTGTGTTTTTATACTTTAATATTGTTGTTGCTTTTATTTATGTGTTTAGCACCAAATAATCTTAAATGTGGACCGAATGGGAGATTTACCTTCGAACGTATTCCAGGCTTTGAACCAGTTGGTGGTTTTTTCAGTCTTTTATACTCGGATAAATCTAATCCAGGAATAGTAACTGAGTGTTCACGTCGATGTGAACATAACATTGGATGTACAGCATTTATTATGGATTACACTCGACGTTCCTGTTTTGGACTATTTGAAAATGCATCAATCGGACGACTAGACCTTCGAATTTCTCCAGGTCGTGATTATTTTGAAGGATTTTGTGTGGCTTCCCATTTAACGTGCCCCAAATTATGGACATTTGATCGTATTGTCGATCAAGCATCTATTGGTGTTCAACCTAAATCAATAATACGCTATCTTCATAAACCCGATTGTCGTCTTCGCTGTTTAGAGGAGCGCAGATTTAATTGTATGTCAGCTAGTTATGATGCGACTCTTCGTGAGTGTAAATTGTTTGATCAAGATCGTAACTCGGGTCCATTGAGATTGGTTTTCACCAAAGGAACGGATTACATTGAAAATCAATGTAACATTGATGTGTCTTCATGCAGATTTCATCCAATTGAACGAGATATAACAATAGTTGCAGTTACTAAAGCTTTAAAGGGTTCATCAACCTTCTTCTGTGAACAAGAGTGCAATAGACAAAAAGAGTTTAATTGTCGATCATACACTTATCTTGATCAGACAAATATTCCTGGAGGTAATTTATGTTTACTCAGCTCTGATAGCAGAGGAACCAGTCAAAAAGAAGCAATGGGATTCCGTCCAAGAGCTTTGTATGCTGAAAAAGATTGCCGTGGCTTTCGAAAGGGTCGAGTATCTTCAACTCCTGAAACAACAGATAAACCTCAACAATCGACTCAGCAACTTCCACCTCCCTCTCAACCTTCTTTCCCACCTCCACCAATCTCGTTTCCACCTCAACCTTTATCACCTCCAATTGATTTAACAACCATGATTACCAAAAGTCCAGCTGAAACAATTATTCCTCCAAGAAAATGTTCAACCTTTGACTTTACATATGAAAAAACGTATGGATTTGATTTGAGGTTTGCTCGTCGGGAAAGATCAAGAGTTCCTCCTAGTTTGGGAATAACCACAGCATGTCAAGATGAATGTACTCGTCGTGGACATAGGTGTCGAGCTTTCTCAATTGAATACGGTCCTAACCAACATTGTTTCCTTCTGGAAGATTCAGCTGGTGAAAATCATTTGGCTCTCTCAAAGATTCCTAATATTGCTTACTTTGAAAAAATTTGTTTAAAAGGTAAGTAAATTCAACTATTGATCACTCTAAAGTGAAAATCAAGGAAACTCTAAATTATACAAATTCAGAATCTTTTGATTATTTTAAAAGTGCTTAAAATGTTTGCTTGTTGGTCCAATTTGTATTAACAATTTGAAAGTACATCAGTTGATAATTACAAATTGATATACAGTATAAGCAGAGTTCAACATGTTTGTGTGAAAATGATATTTGATGATTGAATACAACATTGAAATGGTTTCTGTTTCACCAATTCAATGAAAGATTTGCTTTTAATTTTTGTTTAACTCTTTTACTGTTTACTATTTACTGTTAATCAGCAAAACCTTGTGGACGTCTTTGGTCTTTTGAACGCATCATTGGTTATCAATTAACTGATTTACCTGACCGTGAGATACATAATGTTGATTTACGATCAGATTGTCAAGATCATTGTTTAGCTGAATCTACCTTTGTTTGTCGATCAGCAACCTTTGATTATTCTCGGAAAATCTGTAAATTATTTAAGGAAACTCAGCGATCCCGTCCAAGTGCCTTCAAAGCAACATCCGAAGAGATTGATTATCTTGAAAATCATTGTGTTAAAGGTAAACCATTTAAATTTGTTAAATTGATTAACCAAGTATCAACTGTTGATTAACTTGACTTTTTATTGAAATAATTGTAAACACAGAACCATCAAGCTGCCAATACAAAGACTTCACAGATACATTTTCTGGTAACATTGATAGAGTAACTCATGCATTTTCATTAACCGATTGTCAACGTCAATGTGATACTGAACGCTTGTTTCCCTGTCGAGCACTCAATTATGAATCTTATTCTCGTGAATGTTTACTATCAAGTTATGACATTGCCTCAATCGGTTTAGGACAGAAAGCCTTACAATTAAGACGACACTCAATTTACAGTGAAAAAGGAAACTGTGAACAAGGTAAGTTAATTGTTCAATATCAATTTAATATAAAATATTAAAAATTCATTTTTCTCTCTCTTACCAGTTACTGTCCAATGTAATCCTCAAGATATGGTTTTAACCTTAAATTTTGATACACCCTTTATGGGTCGAGTATATGCCAAAGGAAATCCTGCTCAATGTTTTGAGGTTGGAACAGGACAAACCCGGATGCAATTTTCAATATCATTTGGAACTCGATGTGGAACTCGACAAGAGGTATCTCTTTCCTAATTTCATCTTCCTTTTCATTCTTCTCTCTTTACAATTAACACAACAAATCCTATCAATAACAATATCAACTTCATCTAGTTTTTCACTTCCTAATGTAAAACATTTTGCCTTTTTAACATCTTTGTCCCTTGTTAGTCCTTTTGAAATGCTTCCTTGATTCCGTTGAATAGCCCTTCAATAACCCTATTATATTGTATACGTTTTTTGACTCTTTTTTCTGTATCTTTATTATAATTTGCTTGTCCTTTAACATTTTTGTAATTTTATTTTTTCTCTCCTTTTTTTTGTGTAAACTTTTGTATTCCAGGGCCTAAAAAATTTTGTCAATGAAATTGTGGTTCAACAACATGCTGTCATAATGACTGACAGTGATCGTACAATTAAAGTAATGTGTTCACTTAATGCCATTGACCAGACGGTTACACTTCACTCAGCTAATCAAGGGCGATCAGGAATTGATGTTACGTGAGTTATTAATAAAATTAACTTGAATGGATTAACACTTGTGCATCACTTGCAAACTCCTTTTTGATAACCATTTACAAATTATCTTTATGTTTGTAAATTATAATCAAGTGTAAAAATATTGCTACTTGGGAAGATTTTAGAGCTTTTAATTTAATCTTTGCTTCTGCACCTAATATTAAACGGTTTGATTGTACTTTTGTTGTTGCTGCTGTTGCTGCCAATGTTGATGTTGTAAAGTCAATTTACAATTTGTTTTAATGATTGTAAAGCATTTTGATTATGTGATGAATTCATTTTATATGGTTCAATAGGATTGTGTTGTTGTTGGTTAAGAAACTGTAGTAGATAATAAATATGTTTATAGCCGAGTGTCATTATAACCATTGAGCTAACTAGTTTTCAGGCAAACCTTATTTTCTTTCTTTCTTTTTTCTCTTTCTCTTTTCGGTCGTTATTTTGATATTGTTGCTCTTGTAAAAAGGGCCTTTTTTCACGGTACAAAATTGCCATAGGCACTTATTTTCCTTGCCACTTTGTAATTATTATAATAATAAAAACCTTTCAGCTAATATCTTTTTATTTTTCTTTCTTCTCTCCTTTTTTTTCTAGTTCACTAAAAACTGGTAAAAGTGCTCTTGAAAGGCCAATACCATCGGTTGTTACCAATACTGCAGCACCTCCAACTGTGGTAATGAGGATTCTTGATCGAACTGATCGCGATGCAACCCTAGTTTCATTGGGTGACGAATTAACCATGAAAATTGAAATATTGGATATAACATCAGCATTTGCAATTTCAGCTCGTAATCTTTATGCAAGAAGCTCAAGTGGAGAGTCTTTATATCTTATTGATGCAAATGGGTAAAATAATTTACTTGTTAATTTATAAATTATTGTCATTTAATTTTCTGTGATTAGTAACAGTTTTTTTTCTTGTCTTTTTTCTGTAACTTAGTTGTCCAACTGATGCATCAATCTTTCCAAGTTTACGGCTTGATCCTAATGATGGCAAATCATTAAGATCAACATTCAAAGCTTTCCGTTTTCCTTCAACTGGTGTTGTTAATTTTGAAGTTCAAATACGCTTTTGTCCAGACAAATGTTTTCCTGTTAAATGTCCCGAATCACTTGAATCTTTTGGTCGCAGGAAACGATCAAGTTTAGGCAAAAATTCTGATGGTGATGATATAGTTGATGATGAAGATGAGCTTGAAGGTAAAACGATTCGAACCTTAGGTGAACCAACTAGTACAATAGCTACGGACTTTAAATTGGCCGATTTATTGAATAAAAATCGCAGCGCTCTTCACCATAGATCTGAAGGTTATACTTATAATGTTCCTGAGTCAGAGGCTAATAAAGGTTACAACTATGAAGTATCTCTTCATTCAACCACAATGGTTCCACATTTACCGGCACCGCTTGAGCTTGTTGGAACAACAAATAGTTTCAATAAATCTTATCAATTCTCAAATGATTATAAACCTGCTATAAATCGAATGGGTTCAAGTTATCATTCACCTCCATCAGCTTTGACTAGCAGTTATCAATACAATCCATACTCGTCTTATAATCAACCTGATTCAGGATATAATTATGGTCAAACTGGCTATGGTTATGGTCATCATTCAAATACACCAATGAATCAATATCCAAGTTTTAGTGGATATGGAAGTAATCAACCTAACAGTTATGTAAATAATTATCAGAATTATGAAAATTCGTATCAACATTCACAGCCAAATGGTTATAATAACAATAACAATAACCAACAGCAAAATAACAATGCAAACAATGAAAATTTTCAACCAATGGATCATTATCGTCCTTCAGCTGCTTCATCATCATCACCATCATCAGCTCAATCATCGACCTCTTATGGGTCTGGTACAAGAGTAGCATCTTCAAACAAATTACCTTCATCTTCTGTATCATCATTTTCCTCGGAAAGCAACAATAACTATCCAAGAGAATTACCTTCAAGTCCGTCAACTATCAACATCATTGGTACTCGCATTAATCCATCGGGTGGAGTTAACAAAGGTTTACCAGATAAAGATGAAAATTTTGCCTCAACAAACCGACCTCGACCCTCAACAGACAGGGAAGAAGTTCAAACCACCAAGACCATTGCCCAGGCCAAAAGGTATGCCTGTTAATCCAATGGTTATTAACTCTCCTCCAGAAGTCGATTCCCCTGAGGTTCCTCTTTCTTTAGCTATCGTAGTTGGTGACAAAGAGAAGAATAAGGATAAGAATAAATGGGAATCTTGAGACAAAGGGTAAGAAGAAGTGCAAAAAGAGCCAAGTTACAATCTAGTTTTAAAGCATTATCCACCTATTTGTTGAGAGCATCATTTAGTTATTAGGTTTACTCTAGCCATTAGTCCATCAGTCATATAAACCTTATTGTTTCGACCTTAAACTCTAGCCTCTTCTTTGTTAATACAGTAAAACCTCTCTCAAGTTAAATCAAAGGGTCGATGAGCAGGGAAATGCTGGAAATGCAGATAATTTGAAAAATTTTTAACCGATCAAAACAATTTTTACAATAAATGGCTCTTTTTACAAACTTTGAGAGGTTTTACTGTATTATTTCATTTCTTTTATAAAAAGAATGCTTATCCTGTTTATTTGCCAATCCATTTTGTAAATTATTAGTCTTTTATTCTAATTGTTTCTTTCTTTTCTTTAATCGATAGATAAACTTCAGCCATCATCATCTGAAATTATTGGCATCCCATGTAACACTGGACCTGCTATTTTATACACTGCTATAATTGTTACTCTGGCTCATTGTCTTGTTGTTGTTTGTGGCTATTTTTACTATAGAAAGTATGTTTATTACACTGGAGGATCTAAATTGTTTACATTGGCAGGAAGAACCGTTTCGACTGAAAATATAACCACAATCACACGTAATCCAAGAGCAACCAATTCAAATGTATTCTTTGGTTCTCCAGGTTTAATATCTGATCGACCAACTCCATCTTCATCGTCTTCATCTTCATCAAGTGTCACCAATGTTGGCTTCCGATCATTATATTCAACGGGAGCTCTTGGATCACCACCATGAGTTGTGAAGATTCTTGAGTCTAGTAAAACAATCCAATTGTTATTTCATCTCCATCTTCATCACTTTTAATTAATTCAATCTTAATTCAAAAAAATCGAAACGATCTGTTTAAATATTGTTTGACAATGTCTATAAATGAATGGCATCTAAAAATTTACCATAAAATTATAATTTTGTTTCCTTTCGAGAAATTCATCGTTTTTGTATTTCCCTTTTTTTGGTATTTAATTTTAATTTTATACAAATAAATGGCTAAATTATGAAGTATTGGATGAATGTTTAGTTTAAATTAAAAACTACATGAAACTTCATGAAAAGAGGAGCAAAACATGTTGACTCATAATCATTGAAAGGTGATGAACATTTGTAACAATTATAATTTGTATGCTTTGTTTAACCTAAAAAGAAGAGTTAATTTTTTTTAATCCTATTCCGTTGCGTTCGACCTCCGATAACACCACGACATTTGCTTGATCCACATCTACAGACTTGTTGAGTTTCAAGATTAAAATTATCAAAATTATAATCATAAGTCAACTCTTCACCCGGTTCGATGTCTCTCAAAGCAAACAGGCCAACTCTGTAATATCCATTGACAGACCATTTTTGCATTTCACAGTTAGGTTCACAACTGTGATTAACAAAGCGTCCTTCATTGGCCATACGATAACCATCAATGACCATTCCAGAGTCAAGATTAAGACAATAATGATGAGGATCATTATTGTATCGTTCAGCCATCCGAAAACGAAACTCTTGCACATTCACCACTTCACCAATATATTCAAGAATAAATTCACCCCTTTTGATGGGTTCAGTAGTTCTTATTCCCCATCCTCTGTTGGGTGTTTCAAATCTTTGTAAACCAGGACTCCATTCATGTTTTTGCATACGTTGATTGGCGCATTGATCACCACACGGGCATAGATTGGGAGAACACTCAACATACATTAAACGATTGAGACAATCACTTAAGCAACCTTTCTCACTGGCATCGGAAGGCTTTTTACAATTACAACTCTGCTCTTCATCAACAGAAATGGGTTTAACATTTACAAATACATTTGATTTAATCTTTTTATAAGCACGAGTTGAATTGAATGCAGAACCTATCAGTTGACCTCGAGTTGATTGAAGCCAAATGTCATAAGGAAGTTTAAAATTAGAACGAGTTCGTCTGACTTTTTGTCCAGCGTACAAAGGTGGTGGTAGTAGAGTTGAATAGCTAGGATCCAACTCATCGTCTTCAGGGATAGATTTTAAATTATCATTTGATACACTAGGACTGGGTGGACTAATTTCCATATCTTCACTAGAGATAGTTGATTGTGTCGACTCAGTAGCGAAATTGGCGGCTTGCATATTACTTTCAGTAATTTCTGCTTTAAATGATAATGAAAATAAGCCCGCTTTCAGCGTTTTTCGTTGAGGTAAATAAAAAGGATTTTTTGTCTTTGGTAGATTTGATTTCTTCTTTTTACCATCACTGGTTAAACTTGATGAGGGTGCAGTGACTTCGATAACTTGAGGTTTGAAAATTTCTTTATCTTTTCCCTTTTTCGGTACAACTGTTGATGCTGTCGGTTTTTTTGAAGCTGAATCAGTTGATTTTTTAGATTCTCGAAGAGACGTTCTTGAGGCTGGAGATACTTCTTTTGTGAGATTTTCTGATTTAATTGCTGATGAAGGTTTTGAACCTTTTTTCCTTGTTTTTGATACAATATTACGCTTAGCAATATCATTTTTCACTTTAGTCTCTGTTTTAGTTAAAGCTAATAGACGACAGGTCCTTAAAACATCTGATGTAGTTATTGATGGCAGCGTTTTTGAAACCTTTGTTGGAATGTTTAAATTTTTGCGTTCTCCAGTGCTTAAACGTCTTTTTCTTCCTCTTCCTGGTTTAATAGGCGGCAATGGATCATTTTCCTGGGGACCAGTAGATTCATTGATTATCGGACTAGAAAGAGATTGGGATTGATTGTTCTCTAATTGTTTTGGGTCAGGATCCGCCGTGGTTTTGTCTTCAATTGTACCATTAAGTTGATTGGTGCCATTAAGAGAATCGGGTTGAAGTGGATCACTAATCAAATCATTATTTTTACTAATTTCTTCATTGGTAATTTCTTCACTGGTAATCTCTTTATTGTTAATTTCTTCATTGGTGATTTCTTTGTTGGTAATTTCTTGATTGGTGATTTCTTTATTGTTAATTTCATATTCAGTTGGGATGGCGACTTTGTTAACATATTTCTTCTTCTTTTTCGTTTTCACGAATCCAGTTCTGTTGATAAGACGTCTCTTCTTAGTTACCCTGGGCTTAACTTCTTTAGGTTTGTCCAGACCTGGTGTTGACTGGTCATAGTTATTGGTCACATTTTTATCATGATTCTTGGTGTTCTTGCTAATTGCACCATTGGCCTTTCTAGCTCGTCTTGGATAACTTTTACGACAAGTTGATTTAGATGAAGCAGTTTGAATATCATCCGAATTATCAGTTTGAGGAACACGATTGCTTTTTCTCCGTGATTTAGATATTGTATTTTGATTATTATTACTGCCATTAATGTTTAAATTGTTACTGTTGCTATTTGTACCAGATCTTGACAATGATTTGCTACCTCCACGGATATGAACAAATTTTGTTTCAGTCTCAATAGAGGCTGAAGATGATGAAGAAATTGCATTGGCATTAGTATTGTTATTGTTCACATGATCATTACAATTAGCCAAATTGTTAGATTGATTTGAGATATTATTGGAGCCCGAATTCGACTGCTTTTCACTTTTTGTCTCAATATGACGATGATGTCTTTTCTTAAGAGGCAGTCTTTCCTCAGCTGCTTTTGATCCTGAGTTAGATTCACCTGATAGATTCAATTAAAATAATTGGTATTATTAGAATTAGTTGTTAATAAAAGTTATTGATAAAAATGTGCATTGTTTTTTCAAGTGTTCAGGTTAAAGCTTAGTCAACAAGTATTGTCAATAAAGTATAACAATGGATAACTTGATGGTGGTAAAAAATAACTGAGAAAAATTGATCACAAAAGATAGAAAATACAGTTAATCGTGAAGAGAAAGAATAATTTCAGGAAAACCTAGAATTATCAATACAGATAATTTAGAGAGTTCAATAATACTGCTATTCTAAATCTGTGTAAATATTATTTACTAAATAATGAATCAAAGTAGTCATTTTTTGTTGAATAGGTTAGATTTTGAAAACTAAACTATGAAGTAATAAATGTAAATAATGAATGGAAATAAAATAAATTACTAAAAGTGTAATAAGTTTTAATAAAACGATGGAAACTATTCATGAAAGGGCCATTGTGTTGAGTCTACCGAGGGACGTGGATGTTTTGGGTAGAGTAAAACTTGACCAGTTAATAAAATAAAATTGTTCTCACCTAAAGTTGCTTGTGATGCTCGTTTCCTTTCATTACCTCCTATTGTTTCGTCATTTTGTCCAGAGTCTTTGCTTTTCTTTTTACCCTTTTTACCAGCACTACTTCGTTCACCAGATGCACCGGTCTTGGAGCCCGGAGTAACAGAATTAGATGTGACATTCATGATTGTGTTTATTGATGATGTATTTGTTGCTGCTGATGAGGAAGAATTTCGCTTAGATGAATGATTATGATTACGTTTACGATGACCAGCAAGGTATTTCATACACTTAAAGAGACAAGGACGATTTTTAAAATCAGCAAGACTCTTCTCTTTAGATGAGATCTTAAGAAAACTGAGAAAAGAAGTGAGATTCTCTATGGCTGTTAAATAACTTGCATCAGCAGCCATTGGTTTCTCCTGATCTGGTCGAGATGATGTATGATGAGACTTGTGTCGATGTTTCCTTTTACGACGCGAATGAGAATTCTTTGAACGATGAAGTGATGAATGGATGAAGGAAAATTCGGGCGGTAAACATGCTTGTTGTACACAACTAGTATCATCCACAACGCTAGACCCGTCTTTTTCGTCTAAACATTTAGTTGAATTTGTTAGCAATGGAGATGAATATGAAAAAGCTGTTTCTTCAAATGAATTTTGAATAGTGGCACTTTTATCTTTTAATTCTTCGGCAATTGGTTGACTTTGTTCTTGATTTGTAGTTAACCCATCTTCGACAGAACTTTGCTTTGAACGATTCTTCCCTCTGCCTCGACCTTTTGTTCTAGGTTTAGCCTTCGGCCCATTTGTACATTTACCTAGATCTTGAGGTTTGTTTAAGCTTTCAGATTTTCCTCTCAGATTGTCCTGAAGCTTATCTGATTTCCGAGAAGAGGTTGCAACTTTAGAAGTTACAATGGTGTTTAAATTTGATGACGATGTTGTTGTTGTTGTTGTAGCTGCCGTAGTGGTTGTTGATGCTGAAGAAAAAGGTGACAATTTTAGAGATGATGAAGTTACTGGTACTGTTGATTTTGATGGTGACGAACCAACAGTATCGCAATCAGCATTATCTCTAATTTGAGATGGAGATCGCCAAACATTTGAGTTAGGTATAATGTTTTGTTGATTAAGCTCAAATTCATCATCTTTGTCAGCCTGAAATTGATTATTAATCGAGTCTCTAATGCTTCTAACCAGTAACTCGAAATCATCTTCTTTCCGCTGTGACACGAAAGGAGTCGTTGTTGTACTAGTAGGAGTTGATAAAGAGGAACCATCGTTATTAGTATTAGGTCCAGTAGATACAGGAGATTTAGAATTGGTTTTATTTGGAGAAGAGAGAGGATAATTAAGAGGAAATAATGGACTCATTCCGATTGGCAAAAATGATTGAGTTGAATTTTTACATAACTGAGATCTATTGTTAGATGCACTAGCAGGTGAAGAGGAAGGTGTAAGTGTTGTTTGAAAAGAGGTTGAATTGCTTGATAAATTAGATGAAGACATATTGAGAAGCATCTCTGTCAATTGAACCAGTTCACTTGTTGAAGGTTTCATTGGTTGCATTAAGGATGGCTCCATCATCTCAGCTGGCAATGGATTAACTTTGGTAATTTGCTTGTTAGAAGATTGATCTTCCTTTTCCTTATTTGGGTTGACATTTTTACTTTCAACGGTCCCAGTTTTAACAGGCGACGAAGGAGTATCATTAGTTATTACTTGATACTTCGAATCAACCCTATTTTTTGACCGAGTATTTTTTACTTTTATCTTGATTTTGATGGGCATTATTTTACTATTATCCTCATTATTAACACTGATGGCATTGCTATTTACAGTTAAATTTTCTTGGCGAGTGGATTGTTGTTGATTCACAGTCAATTGTTGACTCGACTGAGACTGAAAAGGATTTTGAATCATTTGATGATTTTGTTGATGTTGGTTATGCGAGTTTTTTGATGATTTTTTGTTATAAGAGCTCGATTCTGCTTCATTATTTACGAGTAAGCTCTGATTTGGTGATTCTCCTTGGGATTGCATTCCACTATCAGGAGATGTTTTTTCTCGTAAAAGAGATACAGATGCCGGACCAGCCGGTAAGTTTACTGGAATATTAACTCCAGTAGAATTTTTGATTCCTTGATTGATGGAATTTTGGCTCAGTGTTTTACATTTTTCTTGTAGCTGTGTAGTCATTTTTTCATGATTATTAACAGAAGTAGTTGATTTAAAAGATTGACTTGTTGAAGCTACATTTATCTGGTTTAAATGCGAATTGGCACAAATCGAATCATCTTTAGTAGGTTGTAAATGCTTGTTATTTTCAATCCTGTTTGGTTCTTGATAGCCTATATTAGTCGATGAATTGGCTCCAGATTTTTTAACCTTTTTCACTCTTATTTTATTCTTGGGTTTTTGTCCATCCGTACTAGGATCTTCCGAACTCTTCTTAGCTTTTTTGCCAACAACACGGCCTGGTTTAACTTTAACTTTAGCGCTACAAGAGTTAACTGAGCCTTGCTTAGCAGGTTTTAAATTGATAAGAAGCGGCGCCAAAGGAAGCTCATTACAGTCTGTTTGAACTTGAACGGCAACAGTAGAGGTTAATGGTTGAGTTTTCTTAGTTTCATGATTTGAAGATGACGGGATGGTCGACGAAGAATTTAGTTTAGTCCCAGTATTTTCGTTGAGAGTGCTACCTGGGCTGACTACTGACGATCTATCACGATTTTGTAAATGAGGAATTCGATAAGAACGGAGTCTCTGTCTTTCTTCAGCGGGATCTCTTTTCTTATTTGCTGAACCGCTGGTCATACCAGCAGTTAACGGACTATTTACACTAACCGATGGACTATAACAGCTGCTTTCACAGGACACAGAGGATGGTTGAGAGATCGGTGTTTGAGGATTTAAATGCAATGAATTTATAGCGCTATGATTTTTGTTTAACATTACATAACTATTGTTAGATTGCCGTGAATGTTCTCTACGATGATCACGAACTGCATTGCTGTTACCCGATTTTATTGCAGAAGTATGAGTTCTTTTAACAGTTCTTATTCTTGAGCGTCTCCCAAGAGAACTAGTTGTTTTAGTTGTCTCGGAAGAACTGCTACTGCTATCATTATCTGATCCACTAGAACTATAAGAACTGGAACCTGAAGGTGAACCACTGCTACTACGACTCGAGCTAACGCTTCTTGAAGGACTCGAGCTAGAAACGCGACTCCCACTGGCACTGTGACTTGGGCTACGTGATCGACTATGACTTCTTGAGCGACTACAACTCGAACAGCTTTGACAGCTGCGAGATGAGCGACTAAAATGCGACGAAGAAGAGTAACCACATGAATTATCACTGCTACAGCTCCGTGAAGAGCAATCAGATGAGCTCCGATCACTCTGTTGACTTCCAGATGAACTATTTGAAGTAGCACTGGAAGAATCACTATCATCTGCCGAGTCTTGGCCATTTCCAGCAGACGCTACCGTAGAGGCGCTTTTCACCGGTGTTAACAAATGACCCTCATTAAGACGCATATTGGGTTATCCGATGGTTAAAAGAACAAAAATACAGAGAAAAATCAAGGTTGGAAATCTTTTCACATAGAAGTTAGGTCTGACCAAACAAGATACATAGAAGAAAGAGGGAAGCAGCAAAAAATGTATTTATAGTATTTTTTGGACTTTCCAACTTTCTGGCCTTTTCACTTTCATTTTAAACCATTAAAGGTCAATACAATTTATAATAAGGGCATCGTCATGAAAATAATTAAAAGGGAATGTAATTATTTAAAATTAATATAAACACGTTAAATACAAGTATAAATAAAATAATAAATAAAACTCAAAAACCACAGTAAATACAGTGTTTTTGTTGCTCAATTTTACATTACATTCACAAAGCAAACCTTGTTTTATTTATCTTGTCACAAATAGATGGCGTCACAATTTCTAACCACGAATTTTTATTTTTTGAATGAATATGAGTTACAGAATAAGAATTAACAGAGAAAAACTCAATTGATTTAAATTAAAATTGAAAAACATAAATCAGCAAATGAAAATTTCAAGATTAACAAATTTAATTGAATTAAAGCATGTTCCATGGTTCATGGATTAAAGATTTCAAGAGTAAATTTTACTTTCGATTTCTAAGTGAACCAGAAAATAAATACCGCTCAAGTTGTTTTCATTTGTTTAAGCAAATTGAGTCAATTATCATTGCTTAATATCTGTAATTAAAAGCAAAATCATCATTTTTCTCAACAATTTCTTCAAATAGAAAAGTCTCTTCTTTATCAGCATTTTATCCCGTCTAAGTTTCTATTTTTAATCAGTTTAATCATCCGTTATTGCTCCAATATTTCTAGTAACAAAGCACATGGATTGAAATTTAAAACAACTAATCAATTTATTGCTTTTACTTATTCAGTTTGTAAAGAAAAATTACATCAAGTTTGTTAGGTTAGGCAGACAACAGTACAGATATGTTTATCTGTAATTATTCAAATAGGTTCTTTGTGTAGTCGGATAATGATCCTGTGGTTGTGACTAGATAATCGTTAGTCTGGTTGAGCATCGGTTGTGTAAATACCTCACAAAAAGGTGTCTTCACAATAATCACAAGAGAGGTAATTAGCATGGCAAACCAAACGATCCAAAAGAGTAAGAAGAAAATTAACCTTAAATGGACCCAGAACGGAGTAAAAGCAGCTTCCATCAATTCATTTCTTGATAAAAATTTTGCACTTTCTTGTCCATCTGAAGTCTCGAATCGATCGAAATTTTGTTTAGTTGAATCCATTGTTTTTTATTAGAGCACATTAATTAAAGATGGCTGTTGGGTTGATGTAAAAATGGTGACTGATTAGATGAAATGAAGAAAAAACACTGTTATGGAAACAATCTCTGCATCGTAAGATTTTCTTGGATACTTATTTCTTGTTTTCCTTATATTAATAGCTTTGATTACTTTCTCGTAATATCACAAAACCTAATCATAATTTAGCTTACACAAAAAAGATATCAGTTGTTATCCAAAGTAAATTAACTCGTGACTCTTATTTCATTTAATGGTTTAACCAAATGCAAAGAAAACAAAACAACCAATTGTGCATTTCTTTACTCTTCTCAACAATTGTGGCGATATTAGGTTTAAACTTGTGGTATCACTATTAATCAGCCAAAATCAATCTTTTGATCCTGTAAAGTCTCTGTCATCTAGAAATGGTAATAAGAGAAGATTAGGGCGTAATTAATATCCGGAATATTTCATAAACAAGACCAATGGTAGGTCAAAGCTCAATCCATTTCAATTGACTATAAAGAAGCTTGAGTCTATCCATTTGGTATGCAGAAAAATATTAATGAAAAGTAATACATACCGTTTTCTCAATTTTCATGCTCAATTAATGGTAATACGAGATGTTTTAAATCCAATAAGTGTTTTAAAAGAAACAATTGTTGGTTAATTCACATATTTATAGACTTGAAACACTTGAATATTTAACAATTTTCAAAGAACACTTGACAAAAAATTTCACTTCACAGCAAAAGAATGGAAAATCGTCTGACTGATATTTCATCATTTTAACCGATGAATAATAAAATGGCAATAGAAAATCTTTGGCTTATTTTGTAAAATTTTTGACTGGTTTATAAAATTTTTGACTAATTTGTCAACTAAAGCTCTCATGAGTTGTAATAATTAGTAATTTAGTTCATTATTTAGCCCCGAATTCAGTCGAACTTGACCCTCTTTTGAATTTGATTCCCCTATTACTGTGTTCTGATTGGCTGTTGCTTAGCCACGTGATGTTGTTCTCAAGTTGAAAAAAGCAGTTTTGAGACGACTGTAGGTAATCATTTTGTGTTTTACTTTCGTTTTAACTGTTACATTTTTTTTAATTGTGTACTTCTTGCTTATAAATTGAACTGAAATTGTTAATCACAGTGTTCGCAGATGGTTAAAATATATTTATTTCGATGTAAATAACATCAGAGTTGAATGTTTTTCTTCTCTATGTTTTCTTCTTTCTCCTGTTAACATTCTATTACCTGTTGTCCATGGTTAACTTCATCTTCTGATTATATTTCAAGTGACACGGTTTGATTTATTGATTGGAACAAACACAAGCTTAATAAGGAGACCTTATTTAAACTACAAGATTTTTCCTGGTTCTATTTGTTTCAAGATATAACTCTTCATCTTCTCAACTAAGTGATATAATAGAAATATTTATAGTTGTAAAATTGTAGCTTTTAAAGCTGCTGATTCATTTGGATTTCCTCTTAACCCGTTCATTTTTTTTCCTCAATCAGAATGGAAAATCTGATTCACATCAAAAGGTGTTCTAGACTATCTTGGTCTAATCTCTCTGCATTTATTGCGTCTTGTTTCATTCTAATCTCTTTTTTCATCTCGCTTGTAAATTGTGTTGAAACCAAAGCTAATTTAAACCTTACTACATGTTTGGTAACAGTCAATAATAACGTCTATAATTTAAGTTCCTTGGTTAGACATGATGGTGATCAACCCTGGCAATTGAATACAGTTATGTCTTTGACATTCCCTAGCCACCAACAAGTATTTATTAATCTCTGTCAGCCATTACCAAAAATATCACCTTTATTCACGGATGGAGGATGCAAAGAGTCAACTAACTCATCCATTTGTTTAGTTGATATGAATAATAATAGTACTACCTCACTTGCAGACTACAACAATATCGAGGCATCTTATGATGATGAGATGGAAGCAATCCATTTGCAAATGATCTCTACCAGCTCTACAATAAATCTATATATCCATTGTAATCCAACTTTGAAGAATAATCAACCCATTCTCGTTTATCAAAAAGCCAACAATCTCAACATTGAATGGTTTGATGCTGCTGGATGTCCAAAAGAAGAAGTTATTGGCGAAGATTGTCAAGTTAGCGTACCCAGTATGGGTAAAATTTTCGATCTGAGACCTCTAAGCAAGACTGGTGGCTATGATTTCCCAGAAGATGGCTATCACTATTATATCAATGTTTGTGGTCCAATTAATAGAACGCAATGTGGTCCTGATTCAGGCATTTGTCATTACAGTAAAGATGGTAAAATGCATTATTCTCTGGGTAAATGGAGTGATAAAGTTTCCTATTCGGATGGTATATTAACGCTTGTGTATGGTGGTGGTGATCCATACCGCAATGCTCAGAAAACGCCCCGTGTTACAAAAATTATGTTTATTTGTAATGCTACTGCCGGTGTAGGAAAACCTGATTTTGTCGAAGAAGCTAATAGGACATACATAATTCATTGGGAAACTAATTATGCTTGCCCTAAACCAATCAGATCTGTTAATTGTATTTGGCAAAACTCGACCCATCGAATCGATCTGAGTCCTTTCAAAAAAACTACGGGAAACTTCATAGTACCATTAAGCAAAAGTATTGTTGTTATCAATGCCTGCAGTCCAATCAATCCTAAAATACATGGAATTCAAAAATGTCCTTACTCCAGTGGTGTCTGCTATATCCCCAACGTTTTTGATTCAAAAAGTTCAAAATCAAAAGCTTTGAACCTCGGTGAACCTATTGGTCCACCACAGTTACTTTTCGACGATCAAATAAATTTGCTTTATACTAATGGGGATCCCTGTCCCTATTCTGATCCTGCTTCACAATACGTCACCCGTATAACCTTCTTATGTGATCGAAATGCTGGTGAAGGTAAACCTAATTTGATTGAAGGTAGCCCTCAAAGCTGTGAGTGGTTATTCGAATGGAAAACTAGTCTAGTCTGTGAAGCTCGTCCTATTTTTGCTCACCAATGCGTATTCGAAGACAATATGAATGGATTGAAAGTCGATCTGACTAAGGTTTTCGATTCATTTTCTCTAATAACAGAGCAAGAAAATTCAACTTTAAAACACTTTTTCATCAATGTTTGCTCCCATAGATCTCCTGCTAAAGGCTATCAAGATATGGTATTAGCTAAAAGATGTGTAAACTCATCAATTTGTTATGAAGAGAGTACTTTATATGATAGTACATCTGCTAACTACATCAGTCTGGGTAATCTTCAAAGTAGCGATTATTCTTTTCAAGGTGAATCATTGATTCTGAAATTTGGCGATGGATCAACTTGTGGCGAAAACAAAACTTTCTCCTCTGAAATTGACATAAAATGCTCTTCATCTGCTATAACAAACTACCTTGGTCGTGATTTTTCTGAATGTTCGCACAAATTCTTCCTGGAAAGCTCACTTGTGTGTGGCCTCAAATCTCCTAGCTGCACCTATCGTGTTAATGACTCATTGGTTGATTTAAGAGAGCTGTCATCTATAACTCATGCTTGGAAAGTTAGAAATATTAAGGACAAAAATAAGATTTACTATTTCAACTTATGCAACAAGATTCCGAATGATCACCATGCTGCGGACGGTATTAGCTCAGTAGTTGAATGTGATTTGATTGATGATGAGGAACATTGTATACACCCGATCGGTAGAAAAGATATGATGACAATGAATATGGAATATAATGCTGACAAGTCTAAAAAAGCTCTCATTATCTCCTACACTAATGACAAGTCAAATGTATGCTCGAACGTCTCTTCAGTAACTACCAAAATTAAGTTAGTGTGCAGCTCCATTTTCCGTTCTGAACCCAAGTTCATCCAAAAAATTGACAACGGAACAGCTTGTGAATATCATTTCGAATGGGAAACATATCTTGCTTGTTTCTCACATGAATCCGAAAGATTGGAACGTCCCATGGTTCGTGAAGGAAACTATTTCATCGACAACCGACCCGAATTAGAAATCGACAGAGCTATTAATATGAATGAAATTTTCAATAAAATACATACTGTAGTGGAAGGTAAATATGAATATACCCTGGATCTTGCTGGAATTGAAGCTGACCCCGAAGGAAATTGTAAAAACGCAGCTATTTGTCAGAGAGAAATTAATGGCTCTTTCACCCGAGACATTGGCTCTCTTAAAACAGAAATGATGGTCACTCAAGGAACTAAAGTAAAACTCAAGTTAACAGCCACCAATCATCAAAAATGCGGTAAAAACAGTCGTAAAAATGTTACCACAACCGTGTTTTTCCAGTGTAGCAGCTCAGAATCTGGTATTGGTTCTCCAAAATTCTACTATGAATCTAATGATTGCGATTATATTTTCTTGTGGGATACCGATATTGTGTGTCCAAGTAAAATGCAGCCTGCTGCTGATTTGTTAGCTCATCTTCGAAGTCAAAGTGTCACTAAATCACAGGGTTTCTCAGCTATTGCATCAATGTTTGGTGCACTCATCATAATAATTTGCATCGTTGGTTTAGCCATTGTTCCTGTTACATGGATTTTATTTCGTTTAAGTTATCGGGAAAAAAGGTTAGTCCCTTTTTTATAAATAAATTTGAATATCAATATGAATCGATTCCAATATTTAGTTGAGAAATCTTTAATTTCCGAACTGATTTATCAGCAAAAGTGAATCATTAAAGTAATTTAAAGTAATTTAAAAACGCTTTGATGAATTACTTTTGAATATTCATTTAATATTTTTCTTATTGATTGTAACTGTTTTACCGTCAGATTTTTTTACTTTTATGCGACTCTGCATTCATTATTATGATTTATCATTGAAATTATTTCTTGATTCTCCAACAGGAATTATCTAGTCCATTGGATCCGAAGTAAATTCCGGTCTCCGGTAATCACATCGTTCACTTACTCCCAAGTTTCATCCGATTCCACCAAGTTAGTATCCATGAATGATGACCTTTAGCATCAGGAAATGGAGAAAAAAGACAAAGAAAATTTAATAATTTAAAACTATTTAAAGAAAAGGTCCTATTTTCTACAGGTCGAAAAAATACCTAAAAATAAGAGAGAATGAAACAAAATGTGAAACAAAAGAAACATTATCATTCAAATTATCAACCTTAAAGAGTTTATTTGTATAAAACAAAATATGTAAGGATTCAACTACAAGACTGTGTTAGCATTTATCTTGGTTGATCTAACTTATCAAAAGGAATGTTTCTCGTTTTCTTTTGCTTTTTTGTCAACCAACCATCTCATTCTTTCGAATGAAAACCTCATCCAAAAAAAACTCATTGTTCTCAAATGTTATGTAAAATAAAATATAATCGAATTATCTTTTTACTATAAAACCATGCATCTGTTAATAATTCAATCCTGATGTTGTTAATGCATAATCATTTTATTACCGTTCAATCTTTAACGACTGATCTCCTGTTAACAATAACATCCTATAACCAAGTTATTACTCCTGTTTACTCTGATTTAACCTGCAATTCCTGATTTCTTTATTAGCCATTTAATGAACTCCATTTCAACCAATTAACTTTTTCATACTTTTTTCATTGAAAAACAAACAATCGCTGATAATTGAAATGAACGATATCTAATGCTATTAGCATATTATTTTCAATTATATTTCATGGCATTTTAATTTAGCAGGTAGAAGACATTTAATTTGCATAGAAACGGGATTTTAGACTAAACGAAATAACCTTCAATTATGAAGTTTTCATTCCTGGTCCATGTTGATTAAAATCAATTTTAGGATAAGAGATATAAATCTAGACATTTTCCAACTTATCTTTGATAAAACATTGCCTCTACATTTATTTGTATTTCAATAAACCATTGTACCTTTCGTTTATTGACAGATGATGAGTTGATTATAAAACCTGTTTTTTTAGTAATCGTCAAAATCCAACGCTGAATCAACATATTACTTTAATGACTGATTTGTTCTTGAAACTTCATCAGTGAGTTATCACTAATGAACCAACTGAATGTATAAAACTGTATTGACATTTTCCTTTATTCCAAAATGATCATTGACTATTAAGTGTTTTTGCCTTCCTTCAATCTAATCATTAACACTAAGACAATACAGATTTTCTTTATATTAAAAAAATTTTAGTTTATTTTTATTTGACATTTATTATTTATTATCACAAATCAACCTGTAATTGCCACTATTTTTTATTGTTTTGCTTCAAAACAAAAAGGTCAATGCATTGAGATACAATGTATATATTGTTGTCATGTCGACAAAACATGTTTTTACAGTTGAATTTTTTGTCTGATTAGATTGAAGACTGATGATTAATTCACATGATGCTGAGTTAATCTGCTTCACAATAATCACAATAACAATCAAATCACACCGAGACATCACATTAAAGCCAGGATGTTTTCTTGGTATAACTTTTGGTAATCTTAGAGGCTACCTAAAATCAATCATAACAACCTAGTATCGCACTTATTTGAGATATTTGAGTAGTTATTGAAGGGCCCGAAATTATTAATTATTATTAGATCAGTATTTGTTATAAACGCTTTTACTATTCGGTAAAGATGCGCTTAGATTTCACTGAAAATCACTCCTAAGTTAGAAGTTCTAACTCATTTTGAAGCAATGTGCACGCGAAGAAGTAAAACAAGCTTCACGCGAGGAAGTATAAGTGAATAATATTCACTTGTGTGTCAGAAAACTAAATTACTTATGATGGGTTGATTATAAACGTAACATATGTAATGAAAGTTGAACTAATGGTAAATATATCAAGGGACTTTGAACGTTATTTTGCTTCTTATTTCTACACAACTGTAAGTTGAAAGTAACAACCTTAATTGAGATTCCCATTTAAATGTCATCAATAATCAACTACAAAAAAGTCATTTTTCAATTGTCTTGATTAATTTGAAATTGAATTCACAAATTATTATCAGAAAACACTTAAGTTGAATAAAATTACAATGGATTGTTTCTATTAAAAGCAATGATGGAAGATAATGTGAAAGATTTTTTGTTCTTTTGAGTTGAAATGTTTCTAGTAAATATAATTACGTTTCAACTGGAAGTAAGTAAATAATTGATTAATTGTCTTGGACGTTCAAGTAATGTCTTGTTTAAAAGCCCTTTTCAGTACATAAAGATTTTTAACAATCACGAAAGAAAAACAAAAGGATTCTAGATATTTTCAGTGTATTCTTAATTTTATATTGCCTTAGTATTTTCAAATTTTAACAATATTCATTTGTATTTTTTTATAATTATAATATTTTCGTATTAGATTCTATAAAGAGTTATACCAATGGTTTTGTTACGTCAAATTGGGTGGCTAGTTGACTTTGATTATTATCACCAGATTTCAACTTTGTCAAACCATTCGACCTGATTTTCATTTCCAATGGGTAGATCCATCTAAAATTATGATTATTTATTAGTGTCGTTATTCATTTCTAAATCATTTTGTCCGTTTAATTTTTCAGCTTGTTTAACATGACTTTGATTGAATTGAAACAAAATTAGGCATAATAGTTTGGTGAAACCAGTAAATCTGTAATTATCGCAAGTTGATCTTCATTGAATTTTTCCTTATGTTGACGCCAATTGTCATGATGGGTCCTCTTAAAGTCTGAGAGAGCCTTTCTGATGGTTGTCTAAAAATTTAAAAAGATCCGATCAATGATTAGTAAAAATTTAATTAAATTAAAAGATGATTTAGAGGCGAAAAATGATCTTACTGGAATTGGTTGAGGATCATGAAGGTGATCACCAAGAAACATGAGAACATCTGGAAGAAATTCGGGAACATCATATGGATAAGCATGTACAATTGAACATAAACCAAGAGCGCCGCCATGTTTTTCATTCAACTCGGAGCTATCATAGCCGAAGTTTTGTGTACTTCGAGTCAATTTTCGTGCACATTTCCTTTTAAACCGATTAATCAGTGTTTTATCAACCTTTATAAATTGGTAATGAATAAGGCCACCAAGTAAACCGGCGGCCTTTTCTCGAACTTCCAAACGATCGTCTTGAAGAAGATCAAAGATTAAATTAGCTACTGTTTGATTGCGCTCAGGATCATTCATAAGAGTAAAAAGATTGGATGAAACCATCAATTGGAGAAATGAAATAACACAAACTCGAGTATGCCATGATTTATTTACTTTCATCTAAATATTGAAAATGTAAAAAAGAATGAAAATAAGATTAATTTGAACAATTGAGAATATTAAAATTTTAAATTCTACCTTTTGGCAAACACCTAAAGCAGCATTAATGAATTTTTCATTGATAGAGCATTGACCGATTGAATTTAAGGCTTCATGTGCTGATGCAGTTAGCTCATCATCTTTTGCACGATATTTAATCTCACAGACCTAAAGAGTGAAAAAGATTATAGATTAATAACTAATTCAATTTTGAAATAATTCATTTAACTTACAATTGGTACAAGCTGAAGAATCAAAGGTCTGGTTATGAAAGGATTCAGTGATAGATGAGGGTGAATCCAATAACAAATAGTTGTGACAAGATTGCTACAATCTTTATCAAATTCATCGACCGAATTACTACTGGAATCTACAACAACAACCTCTGAAGATGATGATGATGATGGTGAATGTGATGAAGATGGTGGTGATAAAGATGGCTGCTTGTCGTTGATACAAGCTGCCTCTAACTCTGGTAATGCAACGGCTAAAAGTTCATCAATTTTAGGATAATTTTGCAAAGTTTTGTTAGCTGAATTGAAGAAATCATTATCAAATTGTAATAATTGAGTTAATGAACAACCAATCAATTGTCGTATATTTTGATATGAGTTTTTCAGATGATTATGTTTCAATATGTGATCAAATAAAAGTCTTATATAAGGCATGGCTCGCCAACATTGACTAGTGAGCACATCACTCAAAATTTTCAATCGTGAAAAAGATTGGAATGAAGTTGCAGCTGTATCATTAGAGCAAAGAGGATCTTCAATAAGATACGAAAGTAGCCAAGAGAAACGCCGACCATCCAACCGACGAAAACCAAAGGAACAAAATTCAACATAATGTTCAGTTGTTTCACGAGAAATGATTTTCAATAGTTTCTTCATAACAGGTTCCAAAAATTGTCGCAGAGAAATGATATCTTTGTAAGGCCAATATTTAGACCCTCGAACAAGACCCGTTAATATATCACAACCACATTTATGAATATTATCTTTAGTTTCAAGAGTCATGTTTTCAAGGAAATCACGGAAACAATCTAAAGGTGTTATACCAAAGTTGCAAAATAATCCTTGGAACAGCTTGTATCGCCTTGGTCCCAGTAAACTAGTTTTTTTATCATCAAGTGTGATAAAGTCCAGAAGTTTAGTGACCTTAGCTTTGTCTAGGAAAAATTCAAGGATTACAGCTTCATCGGGACCAACAGAGTCTAAATTGCGAGCAGGTAAAGCTTGAGCATCAGTGTAATATTTGACACCTTCATGAGGACAGTAAGTAGGACTTATAAATGTGGAATTGACAAATTTCGTTGATTTCCACACGGTTTCATCCATATAATCAATTTCTGGTCGTATATAAAGCCAATCACAGGATTTAACATCGTCAGAGTTGTAGTCAACAAAAGTATGTTCAAATTCAATTTTACGTTTGTGTTGTCGTAAAATGGCAGCAACACCATTGATACAAATACGTCGGATAGAAATGTGATCATTAATTAAATTTTTAACAAGTATGCGAACTCCTTCAATAGGAAATTTGATGTCTTTACGAATGAGAGACTGTAGTAAAAGAAAGGCAAATTGTAAATGACGCCAATGAAGTTTTCCACTTTCAATTGAATCAACCAACGAATGAACAAACGATTCATAAAGATCACGATTTGCTTTATTGGCGGCTTGACATGAAATCATTCCTTTATTGATTTCCTCCTCACTAGGCATAGGCAAATTAGGTAAAATACCACGAGTGTAAAGTTGTTTGCCAATATTTTGAAGTTCAGTAGATATTTCAAAGTTTATCAATAATGGTTGAAGTTTGGAGAATGCATGTTTACTAAGTTGCTCAATTAAGACAATAATTGCTGGCTTTTCACTGTATTCTGTGTTGATTAAAGACAACCACAATGGTGTAACACATTCCCAGTCAGAGACTCCCATAAAAGCAGCTGTATGGTGATTAAGCAGAATTGAAAGAGCTCCTTGAATTTCTTCTGTTTCTCCGGCACGTTTCTTAGCAAACACTTTGGTTAATTCAGAAGCTATCAAACGATAACCAAAAGGATGTTTGAATAGAGATAAAGCTGCATGAGCTTTAGCTCTAACTTCAGAATAATGACTCAATGCAAGAGCAAAGAGATCAAGAACCAGATCACGGTGAAGATTTGTGAATTTTCCCCAAACTCTGTGAGACATTCTTGTCTGTAAAATAAGAAAGAAGAAAAAGAGAGATTTAACATAATGACGTTTAAGTTGAATAAAGAAAATCATTTACCTCATGTTGAATCCGCACTCTGTCTACTACAATTTTTCTTGGTAATTTTTTACGACCATAAAGTTTATTATCAAAATTTTTCCTCATAGCAGAATAATTTTCACGATTAATTTTCATAAAACGTCCACTTTTCATCCATCCTAAGACAAATTGGTATATACAAATGATAAGATCTAACGATTTGATGTCATCATCACAATGGCTGATTATGTGCTTTAAAATTTTTCGCGTTGATTCAGCAACAAGTTGACGAGGATTAACTCCAGAGGAAAGAAACAATGGTTTGGTCCCGATCTCGTGAACACGTTCACGTGGAGGTGGAACAGGAGTATCAAGGATAACATATTCATCCGAATCAAAAGGAGGTAAGACACAAAAAGCACCACTAACACAGTAGAGGACAACATTTAAACTTCTGTGAACTGACTCACGAGTTAGTGTCCGTTGATCTTCAGTCCATTCTTTGAGACATTGTAATTCAGTTACTAAAAATTCATCTAGTAATTTCTGTGCAAATGTAATTTCAGTTTCTGAAGGCACAAACCAATCAATGACAATGTCATCCTCTTTTTCGTGAATACCCCATAGACGGATAGGATTGATATTTTTAAAGTCGGATAATTGTTCCCATGATAAACTGAAACTATTTTTCGAGCTTGGATAAACTGTCGTTAAGCATTCAAAGCAGTTTTTAAGGATAGCAGCAGCGGGTTTGTATCCTTGACTGTGTTTCAACTTCAAGCCTCGTCTAACAATATCAATTATTTTCTGTTGATGTTGTTCGAGAGCGCTTCCTTCAACAACTATTGCAGAGGCAATTTGTAAAGCTAATGAAAGTTGAACATCAATTGAATCTTCTTCAAAAACATCTTCATTCTCCGTTAAGCCCATGATTGTTGAATGTAAGTAAGGCATAAATTTGTCTAAAACTTTCTTCGGGCGAACCTAAGATAAGAGAAAAGAGAAAAAATTAATAAAATTAAGAGATAGTCAAATTAGACGAATTGTGGTCATTAACTTGCCTTAGCAAAAAGTTCACAAACTATAGCCATTAGTTTAATTGTAGACCTAGATTCAAAAAGTCGACCTCCAAGGAAAATAAACATCTTGTCCAAAGCTTTATCAAAAATTTGAGGAGAAGAATGATAGAGAACCGTGGATAAAGAAATCACCATGGATGACTCGAAATACGATTCATCTGAACTTTGTTTGATGGGATCATTATCAATCTTTTCTGGTCTATGTTCTGGTGAATAATTTTCAACTAAAGTCAACACTTTTTCTAGAAAGATTAAAACAAATTCTTCGAATCGAGCCGTTTCCAAAGCAATGTTGTACTCATTTTCTGTCAAGTCATCACGAATGTCAATCATCGCTGAGCAATCCATCAAAGGTACAGAATCTACCAGATTAGTGATTAGTCCAAAGGTGTTGCCGCACTTTTTAATGTCATTACAATCAAGCCCAGGAAGTGATGAAAAAAGTAAGTTGATGAGATGAGTTTTACCATCTTCATAACGATCAAGACCATTAACCATAATAGGTCCAACTACTGTCAAGGCGGACATCAGAGAATTAAGTCGATGAGCTTCTAAATTAGAATCGAGAGCAATGTATAATTTTTCAACTAAAGGTGGGATAACTTTCTCTGGTCGTAGCCATGCTAGATCACGAAGAGCAGTAAATGTAGCTCCAGTTCCAAACCGTGAAAACATTGTTGTTAACAAAATTGGTAGCAAAATGTCAACAAATTTGTCAATCTCGGCATCTGTTATCTGATACTCTTTTGGAGCTTTAGGTTCCCATGATTTTTTACGGTATCTTTCACAATGTATACGTCTTATGAAAGTCAAAGATAATCTAGACAGTATATTGGTTAATTGTGAGTTCCACCGAGACATGTTACTAGGATGGAAATTTGATTCTACTGCTTTGAAAAGACCTTCAATGTATTCGAGAGCTTTTGATTGAGGTCCACCAATCATGGCAACAATCCAATTAACCAAAGATGAACAATCAGTAGAAAGTGCAAGAATTGCCAATGGTGATTGAATAACAGAATTATTCATGGCTTTGGTATATTTGTTGAAAATGGTAGGCATGTATGGTGTCCAATCGATGTAGCCAACATTGTGCACTGCCAATCGAGATAACAATTTAAACAAAATGTTTTCATACTGAATAGCATTAGGTCCTGCCCAAAGGGCCACGATTTCATCAAACCAGAGTTTGTATCCTTTATCATGATGTTCGGGAAACATCTTAGTGGGCAGAAAAAGTCCTAGTAGAAAAGCGCAACGAAATATTTTACAAGTTGTGAATGGACATAGAACTGGACGAAGTTCATCAAGAATCTCTTTAGTTGCTTCAACTGCAAAATAATTTCTAGATAATTCAATAAGGCTCCTGATATTTGATTCGAAACCATAAGATTGGCCCATCAAGAATAGATTTTTCCTTTCAAATATGAACTTGCAGTAGATATCGTAGAGAGGACGCCATTCAATTACTAAATCTTTTGATGATATTAAACGTTGCTTCCTGTTGATTAATCAAGATAAAAAAAGTTAATTTGTAAATGTTAAAATGATTATTTGCAAAGTTGTGGATAAAATAAGTTGATAATAATGCATCCTAATCTTTATCAATCGTACAAGAGTCAGAATGACAAGCATATGCAACGAAAATCAAACCTGATCGCATTTAGATAAAGAGTATAGATAGATTTTCTTTGATTCTCAGAATAAATAATTAAGACTAGTTGAATAATCATGAATGAATCAGTGGATGTGATAAAATTTGATTTACCTTAACAATGAATTTAGAATTGATACAATGCCTGATAAAGTGGACATTTCAATTCCAGGTATTTGCATGGCTTGGAAAAACAATTTGATTAACAGTATATGATCTTCTTTGGTAAAATATTGCTCATACAGAGCAAGGTAATATTTTACCTCACTAACACAATCAGTTTTGTGAACGGACAGGAGTAAACATTTTCCCAAGTTTGCCTTAATTTCTTTGAAATAATTGGCTGCTTCTTCTTCAAGAACAGAAGCATAAGGTAGATGACGATTGTAGGGACTATACGATTGAGCTGGTTGACCACAGATGAAACGATTAGAAGCAGGTATCATCTCAGATTCTGTACTATCATCAGAATCTTCCACAGGAGATTCTGTCAATACTAAAACAGAGGCTACAACTGGTGTTGAGTGATCACTTAAGTCACAGGCCATGATTATTAATTGGCTTTAGTCAAATATCCGTTCAAATCGGTCTAAATAAAGTAAAATTTGACAAATGATGCTGATGGTAAACAAGTGAAAAATTTGTAAAGTGGAACAAGAGAAGAAAATAAATTTTAAGACAAGATATGATTAAGACAAATCACAGAATATTTAAAAAATGATCAAAGTTGTAACTAATTAAGGCAAATTATGCTGTAATAAATGTTGAAAATTTTGTCATTTTAAATCAACTTATGTCTAATCATCACAGAATATATTCAAAGAATAAGTAACTACAATGTATGCGTAAGTATAATCACGTGACCAACGTACATATGTTTGGTAATTGAGCGCGTATTTTGTTTAATTTTTTACTGAAATCAACAGTAATTCAACTCAATTAATTTATCTTGACTATCAATTTGATGTTAAATCAACACCGTTTTATACCAAAATCTTCCTTATTGATGTAGTGAAATATTCATTGAGTTATGGTCCTCTTTACTAATTATGTTTACGACAGTGTTTAAAGTCAAGTGACTGATTTTACTCTTTCCAGGACCGTATTTAATAACGTATTTCAATGTCTTCCAATCTCATGAACTCTATTCATTACATTGAAACTTGGTATTTTCAATGGATAAATTCAAGATCAAGCTTTGTTACCCATTAACCGAATAATAATTAACCGGGTTCTTTATAAAAACTGGTTGCTACAGCTTTGGATAGTTTGACAAACTCTAGTCACAATTTTACTTTTTCAGTAACCTGATGATGGGATTGAACTTTTTCAACATTAGTTGATTTGAAAACATTTTTTTTAAAATTAAGATGAACTTATTGATTAGCGATTATTGATGTTTGTCTAAAAATACTTGTTGCATCAAAGATGGTTACTTAATCCATACTCTTCAAGTAACGAGTAAAGAGGCATAAAATATGGATTACCATTTCGATTAACAGTTTAAGTTTAAAAGCTTATCATAGATTTGTCTTTGCTTGTTAGATAAACACTGTGATGTAACTTTGTGCAATACTGAGACAAACCCTGCTTATATCATTGTATAAAAATAACGGTCTTGGTTAATTTTGGGTAAAATCACACGTGCCTTCTTGAACCAGTTTGTTATACAATAAGTAAGTAAGTTTATTTGCCAGTTATATCTTGAAGTGATTAATGTTTTGTTCGATTAATTGATATGTCCAGAGATTTAGAGATGGATGTTAAGGAACCCTTTTCCAGTAGATCAGCTGAGTCTTCGCCATCAAAGGTACAATTCGTTTCTTCCGGTGTAGAAGAAAAAAGAGGCGAAGTTAAGGTTGCTATTTCTGGTTACAATGGAATCAAGATTGGATTGAATAAAGAAGAGCTAATGAAATATGCTAATGATCCTTTTTGGATAAAGGTCCGTATGCTCTCCTTCATCTTATTTTGGATTGTTTGGTGGGCTACTCTCGCTGGTTCAACCGTCATTATCTTCTATACTCCTAAATGTAGTATTCAATCTGATGTTAAAGAATCCACTGGAATCATCACCACTACTTTGGCTGGCGTTATGGACAATTCAACCAATGTGCCAATAGTTTCTACACTAGCTTCTACAATTACTACAGCAGCTTCTACAGTAGCGTCAGTAATAATTAACGTATCTTCGTAACTGTGATTCAATTATTTCTTGTGAAACTTTACGACTCAAAGCTCGATAAGTCTTATTCAATAACCGTAAATGCCTGATTATTTAACCAATGTGATTCTTGTGCAATTATTACCATTAATAAGTTTAGCTTACATCTGATGTCCTGTGTAATTATTAATCTATCTCTACTTCATTTAATATTGTTATTTATTATAAAATAATATTTGATATTTCATTGCGAGTTTTTTACGTTATCGCAATTTTATTAGATATTGTTTAACAAATTTTGGTGAATCTACTTAATTTTTTGTTCTACTAACAAATAAAATATTAACTTAAGTTTGATTCAAATTGTAAATTATTTCATCTCAATATTATCATATCAGAAAAATTAATCTCAACCTTGATTAACCTCGACTCTGGAGGGACCTTTAAAAAAATTAAACACAATTCCTCAATAGTGACTTTGGTTTTGTTTTGTTTTATAATTTAAAAGTTCTGTCAACAATTAAGATGTCTTAAATCAATTTCAATGTTATCACTGTTTTATTCAGGTTCCATCACCAATAACAAGCCCAAAGAGTAAAAGATGCAAAGAGAAAGTCTCACTCAATCTTGATCACATGGTTGCTTGAGATTTTTGTTTACTGCCTGTGTAACAACTTCATTGTGCCTCGATAGGTTTTCACATTTCATCTTTATTTCCTCGTATTGGTTTATTTAATTTGTTTATTTGGTTTAGTTTATTACATATGTTATTTTTTTAAGTTTACTTTAAAATCTTAATTAGAGTTAAATTAATCAGTGTCATCTAAATAATTACGTGACGAAATCATGGCTACAAGACATCTTCTCAACCGTTGTTATACATTGATTGACAAGGCATCTCTAGGTCAACGTGTTTGGAGTTTATGTGGTAGCCAACAAAGAAGGTTTATAGACTTGCAAGAATATCAGAGTAAAAAAATTATGTCCGAAAATGGTTTGACAGTTCAAAGGTTTAAAGTTGTTGAATCGTTGGAAAATGCTGACTCTAATTTGTCTGATTTTACTTGCTCCGAGTATGTTATTAAAGCTCAGGTATTGGCTGGTGGCCGAGGAAAAGGTTACTTCAAGAAATCTGGTATGAAAGGAGGAGTTAAATTGACTAAAGACAAGAAGGAAATTTTACCACTGGTCAAGAATATGTTGAATGATCATTTGGTAACCGCACAAACAACAGAGGAAGGTGCTCTTGTCCGTAAAGTAATGGTTGCTGAAGCGTTGGACATAGACAAAGAATATTATGTTGCCATTTTATTAGACCGTTCTTCTGGTGGACCTGTTCTGGTAGCTTCACAATTTGGTGGTGTAAATATTGAAGAAGTTGCCGAAAAAACTCCTGAAGCTATTCACAAATTTCCTTTACCTTTGACTGACAATCAAGAGCTTGACCAAGATTATCTCAAACACATTGCCAAAAAAGGATTAGGTGAGATTATGCTACAATATAGTGAAAATGGAAATACAATTATCCATACAATTTCAAGTTGAGAGATTATTACGCTTTGGATTTCAAAATCATTGTGTTTTCCATAATGTTCATTGTAACATATTGAATCATTAATTTTTGTTATTATTTTCATTTTAGGTTTAACCGATCCAGAAGTTATCGACAGGGCTGCCAAGGAAATCGCCAATTTATTCAAGCTATTCGTTAATATCGATGCTACTCAAATTGAAATCAATCCTTTTGGATTAACACCTGAAAAAAAGGTGGTCTGCTTTGATGCAAAGATACAATTTGATGAGAATGCATCTTTCAGACAAGGATGGGTCAAAGAATTGGAAGAGGAAAATTTGGAAAAAGAAGACCCTCGTCAAGTTTTAGCCAAAAAATATAATCTTAATTTTGTTGCCATGGATGGTAACATTGGTTGTTTTGTCAATGGCGCTGGATTAGCTATGGCAACCATGGATATCATTCATCATCATGCTGGATCTCCAGCAAATTTTCTTGATGTTGGAGGTGGAGTGACTCAAGATGGAGTAGAAAAAGCTTTCCATATAATAACCCAAGATCCAAAAGTAAAAGTAATTCTGGTCAACATTTTTGGTGGAATCGTTAACTGTGAAACTGTGGCCGCTGGTTTAATTGCAGCTCATCATTTGGTTAATGTACCATTGATTGTTCGCCTTGAAGGAACCAATCAAAAATCTGCCATGAAAATGTTGGAAACTGTTCCAGGTATAATAACTGCCAGTGATTTGGATGAAGCTGCCCAAAAAGCCGTTAAAGCCGCATTAGGCAGTTAAAAAGAGAGACTTACCTGAATTGTCGACATTTTTATTAATCAAGTGATAAGACAAAAACGAGTCGAGTAATTGTAAAGAGAATCAGGTGGTGATAATATTAGGCTGTTTTGTGCATATAATTTTTAATGATTGCTTCCCTGATCGACTGTTTCTCAACATATTTGGGTTTCTCAAAATATTAAATGATAAAATTGAATACGAAAGATGACCAAATTCCCTGCAGACTCCAATCAATTGTTAACTGTTCTCATTTTTGTTTATTTTGTTACTCTAATGATATCAATAGATAATCAGCGAGATTTTTCGAAAGCGCTCGACATTTGAAACAGAGCTTATTAATTATAATAAAACACATAAATTATCTTTAATGTGCTTTCCTATGTACGTGCATAACCTACTGATACCGTGTTATCCTTTTTGACTTTGGTTTTACCTGACTTTTTCATTCATTTTGTCAGTAAATATTCGTTCAAAGTTTCATCTCAATTGATTTATCAAGCTTTCAGATTGAATCTCTAGATTTATTGATATTGAAATCATGATTAAATCAACTTCACACGGCTTCATATTTATATTGAGATTGAACCATTCAATATTGAAGAAACGCATTGTTTGATTAGTTGAAGGATGAGAGCTGGATCTGATCGCACTTATTTTTCAAACTCAATGATCAGATAGATTTTGCAGAGTACTATTTTGAACCGATCAATTTTTCAATCATTATATTTATAAATCGCTAGATATTAATGTAGTAATCGCGATGTATTAAAAGATGTAATAAATGCGAGTTTTTAATTTTTTAATAAAACAAATACAGTATAATGTATAAAGTCAAATGCTGTTTCAATCATTACTTTTATTTATTAACATGTTCTGATTTATCATGGAAGTCCATGCTTAAGTCAAAAGTATAAACTATAATAAAAACTGTGAAAATTGAACCATCCAGATAGACTTACGGGTAAACTTCACCAGTTTTTATCGAAAAAATTGGTTCTCTTGACGAGGGACCAATTCTGAGGCAAATAGTGCATTTGCTTTGTATTATAATTATAAATATTTATTCAATTTTGAATCGATGGCATTGAATTACAGAAAAAGATGAAGATGATTTAGAAATGAGATTCGAAGAAGTAAAGCTTGGTGTTAATTTGCATAGAAAATTGTAAACTAGGATTGTCATAATACAGACCATTAGCATTGAAAAATGGGTCATAAATGAAGTTGCAGTTATCGTGGATCTAATTAGTCGTCAGTAAATAAACTATGAAACTGAATTATGATCGTCGAGTGATTTTTTTTAATGCCAACGATCAACTTGCATAGTTAATTTCATTCAGTTAATTGTTCCTTTATGATTTAGGCGTCAAATTTTCATCTATTAATACGAGTTGTTGCTAAAAAGACACAATAAACACATTTGCAACGTTTTTGCACAAGTTTACACAAATGCTGCAAAACAAATGGCCAAAAACGAGTGAAAATTGATTTATTTCCAATTTAGTTTGTGTCAGTTTGTAGGGAAATAAAATCTGAATCCATAGGCGCTGTTGAAAAACTTCTCCAGCCCATAGTTTTCGAAAAAAGCGAGTCCAAAGTTAAAAATTCGATCTGCTTTTGTACGTTTCTGGATGCAGATTTTTTCAGGAAACTTACTTCTTATATGTTATTTTTGATTGTTTACCAGAAAATGAACTTATTTTGTGGAATAAAACTTTCCGTTTTTCGTAAAACAGATAAGTTCGATTTTCATTTAAACCGACTTTTTTCTGTGATCGAAACACTTAGAGAGTTGAAACTTATTGTTAGTAGATAAAAATTGTAGCTGCACATCGACATTTGAATGATTTTTTCGAGACATTGACAATTCTCTTGATTTTGGCTCTTTTGCATAATAACTTCGAACATTAATATTTCGAGAATGGTCGCAACTACAATCAACTTTCATTGAACAATCATTAGATCTTGTCATTAGCTATACTATGATAAGACGGAATACCGATTTTAATCTGAGTTAATCAATTTAATAATGAATACCATTCCAACATATGAGATTTGTGTTTGGATAAACATTTAGCTTTATAAATAAAGTATCAAGACAAACAACATAAGTAATAAAATGCTATAACTTTCTTTTCAGAATCTTGAATAATTTTAAATTGCAGTATATCATAGCTCATATCGTAATCTAATGATTTGTCGATGAATGTTGGTTGTAGGTGCAACCATTCTCGAAATATTAATGTTCGAAGTTATTATGCAAACGGGCCAAAATCAAGAGAATTGTCAATGTCTCGAAAAAATCATTCAAATGTCGATGTGCAGCTACAATTTTTATCTACTAACAATAAGTTTCAACTCTCTAAGTGTTTCGATCACAGAAAAAAGTCGGTTTAAATGAAAATCGAACTTATCTGTTTTACGAAAAACGGAAAGTTTTATTCCACAAAATAAGTTCATTTTCTGGTAAACAATCAAAAATAACATATAAGAAGTAAGTTTCCTGAAAAAATCTGCATCCAGAAACGTACAAAAGCAGATCGAATTTTTAACTTTGGACTCGCTTTTTTCGAAAACTATGGGCCGGAGAAGTTTTTCAACAGCGCCTATGGATTCAGATTTTATTTCCCTACAAACTGACACAAACTAAATTGGAAATAAATCAATTTTCATCCGTTTTTGGCCATTTGTTTTGCAGCATTTGTGTAAACTTGTGCAAAAACGTTGCAAATGTGTTTATTGTGTCTTTTTAGTAACAACTCGTATTAATAGATAGATATTTGAAGCCAAAATCATGAAGAAGCAATTTACTGAATGAAATTAACTCTGCAAGTTGATCGTTGGCATTAAAGTTTCTAAATTAGACAAGAGATCTTTTGTATTTGGGCTACTTTATCGATTAAAATGTACAATTTAACTGGTTAAATTGATTTACGAATCGTAACCATCATTAGGGCGATTCCTGTGATTGGTGTTGAACTTAGTGGTGGATAGCAGGGTTGAGATAAATTTGGATGAGGTGAAACTGGTAGGAACCATTGTGACAAGGGCTGGTGCAGGTTGAGAGCTGGTTCAGTTAAAGAGACAAAGATAATTGTACCTGATCGATTAATGTGAGATGGAGTGTTGGATAAGTTGGAGAAGTTTTTTAATAGCAATAATGGACTCAATTTTTACGTACCAACAAACTCACAGAGTCCAAACTTTGCAGGGATTCATTTTTACCCGTTTTCGCCCATTTGTTTCAATTCGTGTCAATTGGTGCATAAATGCATAATTGTGTTAAAAGTGTCCTTTTAGTATTATAACAACCAATTTAGTCAAAAAAAATCTTTTTTCTTGCCAGAAAAAGCTGTTCAAAAATTTTCATTGACCGAATCAAGCTACAGTCTTTTCTTGAACTGATAGTCAGAAACTAATTTGCATTTAAATTATGTGAAATAAAGTAGCGTAAAGTGAATTAAGTTATTTATTACGTATTGAAAGTTCTACTTTGTTTTCTTGAGTTTCCTTTTCCTTTTCAGCAATCAAAACTAAATCCCATTTCTGCTTTTTTATGTTCAGTGAAATAGCGTTAGCTAAAGGAATGATGAATAATAAACCAGTAATTATGTGCACAAGACCAGGATTTTAGTTCAATGTTGCTGAAAATACTTTGCTGTAAAATACTGATGAAAGTGTTGGAACAAACCCACCAATAACTGATGAAAATGCATAAACTTGACCAATCTCGTCTTTATGAATCATTCGAGAAATGATTGATCGATCGGCAACAAATATCACACCAGCGAAAGAACCAAATATGACAAAGAAGTATGATACTGGACTAAGGATAAAACCTTTGGCAAGATAAACTGTCATTATTGAAACAATGCCAATCATGGCCAATGCAGTATCATGAAGGTGCATTTTATGAATGAATAGTGGAGGGCCAATGAGTACACCCAAAGCAGGAAAAATAATTACCGTATAACATAAAATAATAAATAAAATGTTCACCGGTATAACAAATGTTTGCTATAAATCCAGTGAATATTGTTGATATCAAATACCAATGGGCATTATTTGGTCTTCTTTTGAAAACTGTGCGACTTGAATGAAGGATATTATCAGGTTTTATTATATCATAAATTATTTGTTTCACTGTTTTCTTCTTGCTTTCATTATTTTCAGCGCTTGAAGCATCACCATTTGCTTGAGATTCAGCTGTTTCAACTTCCTCGTCAACAGCGTCATATAGCATCAACATAACCCAAATAGCCGTAATAATCGCGATTACCGATGAAATGATGTAAACTCCAATGTAGTTACGAAGCTGGTTTGGAAACCAAGGTTTAGATGCGAGTACACTTTCACCCAAAAGGCTTGCAACAGGCATAGCTGTCAATATCAATTATAAGTCAAGCAATACGCTTTTATAATTAAAATTAGCAGTTTTAATTGAAAGATGTAACTTACTTGCAAATAAACAAATTTCTAGTATCATGAACCTAACAGCTCGAAACTTGGCTGGTGTCTTTCTTGTCGCATAAGTAAAGGTTACATTCCGCTTCCAGTGAACACTGGAACCAAATTCGTCCATAATAGCGAGTCAGCTTCTAAAAATTAGATGTTGATCAAATTATTTGAATAACAGTATAGTTTCCTAATCCTTCACGATTATCTATTACCCATTTCAAAGTGTAATTATTGATGTATAGTCATGATATGTTGACAAATGTTTGCTAAAGATGCTGAACCAAGAAGATATCGTAGATGACCAGGATATTTATCCATCCAATAACCCAAAATGAATGATAAAATAATCGCTGGTATTGTTGTCATTAGAGTAACATGCATTTTAAGTGTTGTAATGTCTATCAATACACCATTCTTGATTGTATCATATTCAGCTTCAGCAGTTTCCAAATTTAAACAGACACTTTCATTGACTGGATATTTGTTGATACAAAATTTATCCTGCATCAGTTGGTTTAGAGCAATCCCAGGTAATGAGGTACTTAAAGTTGCCAAAAAGAAGAAAACATCGATTCGTAAAAGTTTAGCAAATTCCCAAACCTCTTTGGAAGTAATTTTGGTCATTTTTATCACTTAAATTGGAATCAAATTCAAGAAGTTTATTCACTTCTAACACAAAGTTGAATAATGTCCAACACTTGTGTGTTGAAAAAAATTAAACTGAATTAAACAAAGTTTCCATCGGATAGACTTCACTATTTATGTGTAGTCTATCCGTGTTTGTATCCTTATATGTAATAGGAACCCAAGAATTTCATGATCGACAAGAGCAAAAGATTACACTGAAAAGGGAGAAACTTTATTTTATTCAACCATCAGTTCCACTATCAGGATTTTATTCAAAACAAATATTTGTTATTGAAAATAACTTGTTAGTTGAAACAGTTTCGCTGTGAAACATTGAAACCTTGACTTAAATCTAATTGATTTCATTTCCCTTCATTGATTTCAAATAAATGTAATCAAAATATTGTCACCTATTAATATTATATGTTCAGAAAGGTTGTCAAAATTACTGACAGAAAAGTCTGAATATTGATATTAATTAACCTAATGATTAAAAAGGACTTCGACTGATAATCAAGAATAAACCTATCCGTTAGAATTTTTAGCTGTAGATCCCAATAATGATTCAATATAACATCGTATGGACACAAGTTATAAAATCATTGCTGGATAAAAAGATTTTGAATAATTTTCTCATTTTTTGCAAACTTGAAGCAAATGACGATAAAATGCAAATTCATTGACAAGGAGCAGAATTTTTGAACTTTATTAAGTTATTTTTTATAATACAATATTACGATATTATAATAATTTATGAAGTGAAAATAAACAAAAAGGATTTATCGATCTTTATTTATAATTGAAACATCATAAAATTTTGGTTTGATTATTTGGGAAGCACGAAATGAATGATTAAAAAGATCTGTTTTAAACGATGAATTAGTCGAGATGGAAGTGAGAGTCTGATTTGTATCAAAATTATGTAATTCACAATGTAAGTCCGGATAAGGGAATTAAATTCGTTATTTTGCAAGTGGTGTGAGTTCAACTTTGTTTTCTTGAGTTTCCTTTTCCTTTTCAGCGATCAAAACTAAATCCCATTTCATCTTTTTTATGTTGAGTACAATAGCGTTAGCTAAGGGAAAAGTGAATAATAAACCAGCAATTATGTACACAAGACCAGGATTGTAGTCCAATGTTGCTGTAAACACTTTGCTATAAAACACTGATGCGATAGTTGGAGAAAATCCTCCGATAGCTGATGAAAATGCATAAACTTGACCAATCTCGTCTTTATGAATCATTCGAGAAATGATTGATCGATCGGCAAGAGGAATGACAGCAGCGAACGAACCAAATAGGGTGAAGAAGTAGGCTATTGGACTGAGGATAAAACCTTTGGCGAGGAAAGCTGTCATTATTGAGACAATACCAATTATGGCCAATGAAGTATCATGAAGATGCATTACATTAATGAATAGAGGAGGACCAATAAGTGTACCCAAAGCAGGGAAAATAACGAGAATTGCCCCATAATATCCAATTTGCTCAGCACTGAAATGATATACTTTTTGCGTAAACTGGTACCCAATATGTTGCTCACCAGTGTAACCAATGTTTGCTATGATGGACACCACGATTGTTGATATTAAGTACCATTGAGCATTATTTGGTCTCTTTTTGAAAACTGTGCGACTTGAATGAAGGATATTATCAGGTTTGATTATATCATAAATTATTTGTTTCACTGTTTTCTTCTTGCTTTCCTTATTATCAGGACTTGAGGCATCATCCTTTGGGTGAGATTCAGCTGTTTTAACCTCATCGTCAGCAGCGTCATATAGCAACAACATAACCCAAACAGCCGCAATAACCGCGATTACCGATGAAATGATGTAAACTCCAATGTAGTTACGATGCTGGTTTGGAAACCATGGTTTAGCTGCGAGTACACCTCCACCCACAAGGCTTGCAACAGGCATAGCTGTCAATATCAATAATCAGTCAAGCATTAAGTTTTTATAATTAAAATTATCAGTATTAATTGGAAGATGTAACTTACATGCAAATATGCAAATTTCAAGTATCATGAACCTAACAGCTCGAAACTTGGCTGGTGTCTTCCTTGTAGCATAAGTAAAGGTTCCTATTGAGATAATAATTCCGCTTCCAGTGAACACTGGAACCAAATTCGTCCATAATAGCGAGTCCGCGCCTAAAAAAATGAACGTTGAGTATCAAATGATTTGAATAACAGTATAAGTTATACTGTATAACTTCCTCTTCAATCACGAGGTTGCATTACATACCCATTTCAAAGTGTAAACATTGATGTATAGTCATGATGTTTTGACAGATATTTGCTAAAGATGCTGAACCAAGAAGATATCGTAGATGACCAGGATATTTATCAATCCAAAAACCCAAAATGAGTGATAAAATCATCGCTGGTATTGTAGTCATTAGAGTAATATTCATTTTAAGTGTTGTTGTGTCTTTCAATACATCATTCCTAACTGTATCATATTCAGGTCCAGCAGCCTCCAAATTTAAGCAGACACTTTCGTTGACTGGATATGTGTTGATACAAAATTTATCCTGCATCAGTTGGTTGAGAGCGATTCCAGGTAATGAAGTACTCAGAGTTGCCAAAAAGAAGAAAACATCGATTCGTAAAAGTTTAACGATTTCCCAAACCTCTTTGGAAGTAATTTTGGCCATTTTATCACTAAAAACTTCTAACAAAATAATTGAAGTGTCACAAACACTTGTTTGTTGCAAAAAAAATTAAACTGACATAAAATTTTCATTGGATAGACTTCACTATTTATTTGTTCGTCTTATTACAGTCAGAAGATTAAAGGTATCAATTCGTGAACGCATTGTTTATGATCAAAATAAAAGCATTTCCAGATTGTTAGATACGTTTCTCGGTACTCATTAAATTAATAAAGCACTGCACCCAAAGACGCCCTCCTTAATCCCCTTAATACAGCTGTAAATGATTCAAAACATTGTAAAATGATGAAATTATGCACTTGAATAATTACTCAAATATCGTCAAATTTAAATCGAAATTTGGAAGAGCACAGATTAAAAGTGGTAATAATATGAACTTGGAAATTTACTGATCGACAAGAGCAAAAGATTACACTGAAAAGGGAGAAACTCTATTCTATTCAACCATCAGTTCCACTATCAGGATTTTATTCAAAACAAATATTTGTTATTGAAAATAACTTGTTAGTTGAAACAGTTTCGCTGTGAACCATTGAAACCTTGACTTATATCTAATTGATTTCATTTCCCTTCATTGATTTCAAATAAATGTAATCAAAATATTGTCACCTATTAATATGTTCACCAGTAGCAAATCATTTTCTCAATAAAACGACAGGTTCCAACAAGCTTAGAATTGAAAACTGAGGATCATTTTTTATGTTTCAACATTCTGTGAATAATTTTTGCTCAAAATTGACACATCAGTCAATTGTGAATATTCATCCAAATTATCATCTTTAATTTCGGATGGAAATGAGTGAATTGACCAATGTTATCCAACTAGTATCGGAACCAGGAAGATTGTCAAAATTACTGACAGAAAAGTTTTACTATTAATATTTGAAAATTTAATGAGCAATATGAAAAATCATGTCATTTTCTTACATAAGATGTGGAAAAGGTTAAAAACAGTTCTTTGAATTTAAACCTCAATAAACTAGTCTTATGTTATTATGATATAATATGATGTCTTGGCAAACCTGAATGCAACAAAACAAATTATCATTTCTTTATATTGCTATTCACTTATCAGGTTTTTTCATGCAAAACCATGGAGATTTTGTGATTGATAAAGTTGATGTTCTGATTCATCAACCGTTATTGTTCAGGTTTTATCTGTTTGTGTGCTTTTTATGATCCATTATGACTGTATTTTTTCTTTGAGCAAGATTGCCATCTTACCATTGTTAAGAATGAGAAGAGTATTTGGAAGGACATAGAAATAGACAAAAATCAAGAAAGAAGAGAATAATTTGTACCATTTCTTTTTTATTTTACTTGATTTTTACATATTACGTATACAAATATCCCATGCAGTCAAAAATGGAGTGAATTTTCAGTAAAACTTATAGTAGGTTAAATGTAAAGCAATATGCAACATTAAAAATAAGATTTTTTTCAAGAAAACCTTGGTTAAACCCAAGGGAATTTCTGGCTAGCATCGATAGTAAAAAAATTGATATCCAATTAATCGATTTAATTAAAGCTTAATAAATAATGCAAAAAATGACTTGAAACTATTTCCTTTACTCTTTGGACTAACCTCCTTTACTCTTAACACTAAACATATGTGCTTAATGGTCAACTGGCATCACGTGAAAGTATCCATGCTAACGTTATCATTTATTGTCTTGTCTTGAGTTAAAAATGAATCACAGTAGTATAAAAAAGCCATTTCTGGCTCACCGCGATACCGGTTATAATAACAAGTTTAAATGAAAGTAAAACTTTATTGTATTCAAAATTCATTTTCCAACTTGAACCCAAGTGTTACCTTGGGAATCAACAACCACTTTGATAAAGATTAACGATTGATTATGTATAATATTTTTCAAAGAATTTAATTCTTCATTTAACTGTATGATTAAAAAGTTAGCAGTCGCTATCATATTTTCCATTACCTTTAGATCAGCATTTTGTTGATCAATCTGGTTTTGCAAAGAAGCCACAGAAGCGTTTTAATTCGAAATTTCCGTTGATTGGGCGTTCTCCACAATGAAATTTTGTACATATATTTGCAAAGTCGACGGCAATTCAGACGTTGGTTCGCTTTCCATAGGTGAAAAAGTAATTGTTTCATCACCAAAAAGCTCTTCGATAGTTGAGAAACTTGCAACATTTCGTCGACTAATGGAGTAAATCAGACTATAGTGAAAAGAAAATAAAAAGAGTAAAAATTAAAAAGTTCAAGACAAAGTTAAGGTAAGGAAAGATAAATTAAGGTATCAGAAAGGTAAATGAAAGACAAAAGAAAGGGAAAAACAAAGAGGGAGGGACAATAGTATAGGTAAGGGGGTTTTTTAAGTTATAGGTTAGGGTAATGCGCAAAGGGATAGATAAGGGTAAACAAAGAAACACAGGTACAGGTAAAGGTAAGGCTAAGGTAAGGTAGAAAAAAGGGTTAATGTAAAGGTGAGATAAGGTGAGATAAAGAAAGGTAAAGACAGGAAAGAGGATATAATGAAGGTAAGGTAAGGAAAGAGGCAAATGTAAAGAAAAGATAAGGTAAAGGTGAGGTAGGAAATAAAAAGGAAGGTGGGAAAAAGAAAGGGTAAGGAAAGCTAAGAAAGCTAACTGTAAGCAAAGGCTAAGATAAAGTAGACGAAAAGTAGAAAAAGGTAGGGAAAGGGTTAGGGAAACTTACTTTTATGTTGATTGTGGCATTGTTGCTGGTATTGAGCCATTCTTCCATTCATTGTTATTGAGCTTAAATAATAATTTGAACAAGTTGAAAACGATGAATTCAAACTGAAGCAATTAACACTCTGATTTCTCTTTCTCTACATTCACCCGCCCATCAATATCTTCATTAAACCAATTTTTCTTATTATTTTACATTCCACAGTGTACCTTTACCTGTACCTTCTGGTTCTGGTTCTGGTTGCTCATCATTCAATTTGACAATTTTCACAATTAGTTCTTCCGTGGCCTCAGCTGGGTTGAAGGCATAACCAGGATTGAATTCACAAATAAATTCAATAGATTTAGAACGACTTTTTTTAGCTTTTCTGGCTAATACTCTGTATTGATTTTATATTCATCATATAGAATTTCGTCGATTTCGAGTGAAATTCCAATCAGGTTGAGTTCGTCTTTGAATTCTCCGAACTTTTCCATAACAACTTTACACGATTCCTCCAGAACAAGAGATTTAAATTTTTCAAAAGTGTATTCTGATATCTTAGAGGGCAGGACGACATAATCTATGTCTCCAGCATATCACTCGAATGTGTTAAGTTTCAAAGTAGATAAATTTATCATTTTCTTTCTTTTGACTTGAAAAGTCTTATTGTTTGGACCAACACAGATGAGATTCTTTCTGAAATCTCCGTGTGTAAATTTTATATTATAATAATCAATTTTCCCTGCATCTTGATTTTCGTAAAGTCTGAACTCCTGACATAAATGATTATTGGCAACATATGCAGAGTAAATTATTAAGAAAATAAAAAGAGTGAAAGAGAATAAAAAGAATGAAAATAACATAATATTAAACAATCTTACATGGTTTGATTTCATCATTTGGTTGTCTATCATGTCTTGGCCAAAGAATAACTGCTCGCCAGAATTTGAATATGCGTTTGGCAATAACGATCGGTTGATTATCAACACAGCTAATATTGTAGATGCGTAAAAATTTTACACCAATGCTTTCTCTCTAATTCATCTGCTTTTACATTGATTTCATCTCCATGGAACATGCCTTTAAAGACCACAAAAACTGAGAAAGAAACGGTGTCGGGGATCAAAATTCTTTTGACCTCAGGGTTAGAGGTGAGAAGTGGGGCGCACAATGTCGCGACAGAGGAAAATAGACCTTTGTCCATCTCAAACAATCCTCCCAAGTGATGGGCGACGATAACATTGGCATCACTTTCAGGTTTAAGATGCACTGACATGGTGAGTAGAAATACTTGTGCGACAATATTTTTGAAAAAACAATAAAAACAATTTGAAATAAAATATGAACACAAATATGAATTTGATAAAAATATTTAAAGAAAATAGGACTTTAACTAGAAATAAATGTTTAGAGAAAAAGAAGAGTGGAAAGAGAACAAAACTAGTTATCTATTCAAACTCTAAATTGAAATGAAGAGCTTGAGCAAATTTTCGACTTAAATCATTGGTAAGCCAAAGGATTATGGTCATAATGTGGATCTTGTCTCCTCTTTTGTCTTCAACTCCTGTTTTAATCGTCATTTATCATCATCGTCTGATAAAACAGCCTTAGTTAACAATAAGTTGTCGGTTAAAGTAAACCTGAAAAAGAAAGTTACCCGATCTCGCCTCATATTACGCTTGTAAATATCCTTTTGGTTTTTATAATGTGATATCAATTAAGAAGCGAAAAGCAGGACAAAAAAAGAACTCCAGTATAATCTTTTATAATCTAATTTTTGTATGATTTTTTCAGAAATTTGCTTATTTTGAAGCTTTACATGGTTTATCAGTATTTTCAGTAGAACATGAATCATTTTCAGGAATTTTGAGAATTGAATAATCAACTTTATCTTGTTCAAAAAGATTCATCTTTTGATGGGACACGAATTTCAGAAGATTCTAAAGACAAAATTTAATACAAAGTTTCTTGAGGAACACGTTTCATTACATAAAAATAGTCTGCTCGATAGATGAATTATTAAAGTATTCAAATCTATCGTCACAACGCATGCAAGTACAGAATCAGGTACGAGTACTTCAAGAGGAGGTGTCAATGATAATAAGTAAAGGAAATCGAAAATTGAAACAGGTATATCAGCCGAGTTCATTGGCACTTCCTCTAAATGATCTAATCGAATGATTTCTGAGTCTGCGCAAGGTGAGTCATTAGTTTCTTGCTCATTCACATTCATCCCAACCGCTCTACATGATTAAATTGTGAAAAATTATCTATTAATCCATTATCATCAGCAGAAAAGCAATCAAATCATTGCTAAAATTATCTATAAATGAATTAGCAGCCGTAGAAAGATCAATTGAATCATTGGAAAAATTATCAATTAATTTAATTTCAGCAGTAGAAAGATCAAGTAAGTCTTCTGAAGTGTCTTCCATGGGAAAATCTTCATTATTTTCAATTGCAAGAGGATGATCAGAAAATAAAAAGAGTAAAAATTAAAAAGTTCAAGACAAAGTTAAGGTAAGGAAAGATAAATTAAGGTATCAGAAAGGTAAATGAAAGACAAAAGAAAGGGAAAAACAAAGAGGGAGGGACAATAGTATAGGTAAGGGGGTTTTTTAAGTTATAGGTTAGGGTAATGCGCAAAGGGATAGATAAGGGTAAACAAAGAAA